CCCAGCCAAAGTGTTAAATCCTTATTATGAAGCAGTAGCTTGTATGGTACAGGAATGCTGTATGGGATCTAGGAGATATTTTGGCAGAGAACCAAGTGTAATACATGTTCCCTATACCAAACAACAAGCTGATTGGTTATTTCAAAACATTGATTTCTTGGGCAATTGCTTTTGCTAAATTTTTGAGAAAAACTGATAATCAGTTTCCAGCTAATAGACTGTTGCAATTTGCCTTAATGCATCCTTTTGTATTCCCTAAAATTGTAGGGAGAAATCCTGTAAAAAAATACTATGTTAGTTTTTACTGATGGTTCTTCTAATTGAAAAGTAGCTCATGTTATTGATGGTAAAGAGTATATAGTACAAGCAACTCCAGCTTCAGCTCAAATAGTTGAAATACAAGCTGTTGGAACAGTTTTTCAGCTTCTAGTGAATAACTCATTTTATTTGTATATTGATAGTCATTATGTTTTTAAAGCTCTTCAAGTAGTATAGACAGTTCTGTACATTGGAACTAGTAATGATCAGACTAGAATACTGTTTCAACAAATTCAAAATGTCATTCACCAAAGGAAATCACCATGTTTGGTGGGTCATTCATACCTGGCCCACTGGCTGAAGGTAATGAATCAGTTGATAGATTAACAAAAATGGTTGCTCTATCCCAGGTAGAACTAGCTCAGTAGCCACATAGCTTTCATTATCAAAATAACAAAAGTCTAGAAAGCAATTTGGTTTAACTAGAGAAACTACTCATCAAATTGTCAAACAATGTAATGTGTGCCCACAATATTTATCTGTAACTAATTTAGGAGTAAATCCTAGAGGCCTGCTTCCTAATCATTTATGGCAAATGGATGTTACTCATATTGCAGAATTTGACAAATTAAAATATGTGCACGTGGCAGTTAATACACATTCAAGCTTCTTAATGGGCACTGCACAAACTGGAAAAGCCACTAAACATGTGATAAGTCACTGTTTAAAATGTTTTGCTTACGTGGGAGTTCCAAAAATTATAAAAACAGACAATGGATCTAGGCACACTAGCAAAGCATTTCAGCAATTATGTTACCAATGAAAAATTGAACACAAAACAGGCATTCCTTATAATCTTCAAGGACAAGGAATTGGGGAGCCTGCCCATAGCTCCTTGAAAGCACAACTTTAAAAAATAAGTATAGGGGAGTTGTGGCCCCAGTCTCTACATGATGCACTAAATCATGAACTCTTCATTTAAAATTTTTTGAATGTGGATGCCCATGAGCAATCTGCTGCAGACAGATTCTGGCATGATGGTACTCAAATGACTTTTGCTCAAGCCAGATGGAAAGATCCTTGCACTGGATTATGGAAAGGGTCGAGGGCATGTTTATGTTTTCTCACAGGAAGAAAACGAGGCTTGGTGGCTGCCAGAATTACTGGTGAGGTGTGTGAGAGGAATGCCAGACCTGTGACTGCCGTAGCCTGCCCAAACAAATTCCAGTGAGATCTGCTAGAGCAGGTCCTCTGACCCTCTGATGTCATTGGTCTGCAGTCCAAGAAGGAAAGGAGATTATAGTCGGAGATTTCCAGTCTCTCAATAAGCCTGCTGCATCAACTTTCTAGACCTGTGAGTTCTTATCCTGGATCCAGCCAAGGACTGAATGTCTAACAGTTTATCCATTCTACATCTTGAGACACAGAACTCATTTTTGCCAGTCTTTTCCTTTGGGGGAAAAGGACTCATAAGGACAATTGAACACTATTGTAGAAACGGTGTATGGCAAAAAAAAAAAAAAAAAAAAAAAAAAAACCCTCCATATATGAAGAGGGAGTGGACAACAGTTTTGCAGCTGGTATTCAGCACTCAAGGACTGCACTATCTCAAACTTATCTTTGGAAATTTCAAGTACTAATGCATTGGACTTCAAGAGAAGGAAGAAAAAAGGTTCAGAATTGTGGAGGTATTTATATTTCACCTATCATGAGAACATTTTATTGTCCTTTGATTGAATTGAAATTATAAGAATTGTAATCCAAATCAATTATGTACCTATTATTAATCATACTAGAATTATTAATGTTTGCAACCTTTGCTGTGCTGTGTATGTGTTAATGGATGAAAAAAGTCAGAGTTCATTCTGTCAGGAATTTGATGTGACGCTTATACATCTTTAGATACAATGTAATTAAGAAGGCAGATTTAGATTTTGATATAGCTAAAGCCACTTGGGACATCCCAGACCAATTTTAAAAGGCCGTTTTACCTTGATTCATCCTCTCCTTTTACAGGAGATGTTGTAGCCATAAAAGCATATGCATTGCTTAGCATTATCAAGCTTGCTTATGAACTCTGGATAAAAAGTTGGCTCAGAGGTGTGTGGCATCAAGCGATGCACTATCTCCTAATGTTTTTTGTTTGTTTGTTTGTTCGTTTGTTTTTTTTTTTTTTTTTTTTTTTACAGAGGCTGGTAGTCAAAGATGGGTAAGATCTTTTTGCCTCCAGGTGACCTAAGACAGGTCACACATGACGGAATGTGTGTTGCAATGACAGGTAAGGCTGGAAGGTGAAAGAAGACAACCTAAGACAGACACAGTCATTTGTCCTCTAGCAGAAGCACAGGTATTAATTAAATTAAGAAGGGGCAATTTTTCAGGGCCCATAAAGATTGGCTCCACTCCATTTTGACTAAAGGTCAGAGAGTTCAAAACTGTTCTTATGCCTTTAAGTCTATATATAGCTTAGCGGCTGCAGGATGCTTTGGCCTTGGTAGAGGATGTTTCTATCTAAATAACAACAGACCAGGATACAGCTGTGTTTACTCTCAACCCTGAAGGATGGACTACCAAATACCTGGAGGATTAAGGGGAGTAAGTCTGTTTACTCCTTACACATGATAATAGAAGTCTTCTGTCATTGGCCCCTCTTTCGGTTGGGTACTTGAGATTGTTAAAGAATAAACTAAGGGTGTTTGTTCAGTATGGATGAATGGCCGTCCTGACACCTATCCTGTGTCTGGGTCTTGTCTCTTAACTCCGTTAGCTAGTCCTTCTTTATCCACGCTCCTTCTCTTAAGTACAAATCGTGGGTTAGTTGGCTGGCTCCAACTGCAGCCCTGAAAAGATAGCTTCCCACAAGTGTTCACTGCCTGGACTCTGGTCTGTGTCACCATCAAGCAGCTTATAGCACACTGCCCATAAACCCTTTATTTTTCTGTATGAGTAAAAGCTAAATCTATCATGCAGCATGCTCTGTGGCTTGGAGATGTGGCAGCCTCTGTGTACTGTGGCAGGAATCTGCCATGCTGTATACAAGCCCAATTGCCACAGTGTCTCTGTACCATGGCCTGCATGAGACTGTGAGACTAGGAAACCCATTGCAGCTCCGTTTTACTTGGAAGCTCATGCCCCACGTTGATGGTACCATTTTGAAGATGGAGGTTTCTGTCCCACCAGGTCCCACACCTGGCCGCTTCAGCCCCAAATAAGTACACAAAGACTTACATTAATTATTAAACTGTTGGCCAATGGCTAGGGCTTCTTATTGGCTAGCTCTGTCATAATTATCAAACCCATTTCTATAAATCTACGTATTTTCATGTGGTGTTATCTTACTGGAGAATGCCCGGGCCAGGTACTTCGTTGGTGACCACATGGCATATCCTATCAGAGCCTCTCCGCCTATTTTTCCCAGAATTCTCCTCATCTCCTAGTTCCACCTATCTTGCTGCCTTTATTGGCTATTGGCCAAACAGTGTTTTATTCATCAACCAATAAGAGAAACATATATACATCCCCCATCAGTTTGGGGTTAGGGTTAGGGGTGAGAGTTAGGTATAGGGTTAGGATAGAGTTTGGGTTAAGGTTAGGGTTAGGTTTAAGGTTAGGGTTAAGTTAGGGTTAGGTTTAGGGATAGTTTAGTGTTAGGGTTAGTGCTAGGGTTAAGATTGGGTATAGGTTTGTTTTCAAAATAGTTTATGATTAGGATTGGGGCTAGTACTAGGCTTAGGTTAAGGATAGGATTAGTGTTATGGTTAGGTTAGGGTTCATGGGTTACAGTCAGGATTATGGTTTGGTAATGGTTAGTGTTAGGGGTAGGGTTAGGTTTAGGGTTACAATTTGGGTTAGGGTTAAGTTTAGGCTTAGGGATAGGTTAGGGGTGGGGTTAGAGTTAGGGTTAGGGTGAGGGTTAGGTTAGGGTTAGCCTTAGGTTTAGGGTTATGGATACATTAGGGTTAGGGTTAAGGTTAGTGTGAGGTTAGGGTTAGGTTTAGGTTAGGGAAAATGCCCAAATTAGGGTTATGGATAGTGTTAGAGTCATGGTTAGGGGTAGGGTTAGGGTTTTGGCTATGGTTAGGGTTAGAGTTAAATTTAGGATTAGGGTTAGGTTAGGGTTTGTGTTATGGGTATGATTAGGGTTAAGTTTAGGGTTAGGATTAGCATTAAAGTTAGGCTTAGTTTTGGGGTTAGGGTTAAATTTAAAGTTAGGGTTAGAGTTTAGGGTTAGCATTAAGTTTAGGGACAGTGGCTGAATTAGGGTTATGGATAGTATTAGGGCTATAGTTAGGGTTAGGGTTAGGGTATGGTTTAGGGTTAGGATTAGGGTCAGGGTTTGGGGTTAGGGTAGGGTTTAGGGTTAGGGTTAGTATTAGGGTTAAGTTTAGGGATAGTGGCTGAGTTAGGGTTATGAACAATGTTATGGTTATGCTTAGGGTTATGGCTAAGATTAGGGTTTATTCATTGTTTAGGAGTATGGTTAATATTAGGTGAAGGTTAGGGTTATGGTTAATGTTAGGGTTAGGTAGGGTTAGGGTTTAGGGTTACAGTTAGGGTTAGGGTTGGGGATATAGTTAGGGTTAATTTACACTTAGGGTTATGATTAGGGTTAGGTTCACTGTTTAGGGTTATAGTTAATATTAGGTGAAAGGGTTATGGTTATGGTTAGTGTTAGGGTTAGGGTTGGGTATATAGTTATGGTTGGGGTAGAATTAGGGTTAGATTAGGGTTAGGGTTAGAATTAGGGTTAGGGTTAGAATTTGAGTTATGTATATCCAAATATATCTACATGTTAAATGAATACACTGAGAAGAGCAGGTCCCCTAAATGTTAGGGAGATGATCAAATTTTAACTGGAGGACTTGTTTTCTTCCATCAGGTGTGGGGGAGATGCAGCTTCCAGGTATAAGAGGCAACAGTTGATTCTAATGGCAGAACAAGACAAAAGTGAGAAAGTAAATTGAAAATCATTCCTACAGGTACCATTTGGGTTAAAAATGTTAAAATAACAAGAACAATGGCTAAAAAAATATGTACAGTGGAACAATGGCAAAACTTACCAATTTAAAAATTATGTTTTCCAACCTAGATGCCCCTCAACTGAAGAATGAATAAAGACGATGTGGTACATTTACACAATGGAATACTACTCAGCGGGGGGGGGGGGGGGGGGGAACAAAACAATAGAATCTTGACATTTGCAGGCAAATAGCTGGAACTTGAAGAAACCATTCTAAATGAGGTAACCCAGTCACAAAAAAACAAACATGGTATGTACTCACTCATATATGGATTTTAGATATAGAGCAAAGGATCACCAGCCTACAATTCATACCACCAGAGAAGCTAGGAAGCAAGGAGGATTCTAAGAGAGTCATATAAGGTCCCCAACAGAAGGGGAAAGGGACAAGATCTCCTAAGCATAGTGGGAGCTGGGGGGGGGGCAGTGAGTGAAAAGGGAATTAGGAGAAATAGAAGGGGAGAAGAGGAGGGGAGAGGAGAACATGAGGGACCAGGAAGATTGAGTCTGGGGACGAATACACAAGAGCAAGAAAAGGGATACCATAACAGAGGGAGCCATTATAGATTTGAAGAGAGAGCTGACACTAGGACAACCCCAACTAACAATCTGAGCAATAGTGGGGAGGCTGCCTTAAATGCCCTTCCCTGATAATGAGATTGATGGCTGCCTTATATGCCATCCTAGAGCCTTCAACCAGTAGCTGATGGAAGCAGAAGCAGACACCCATGGCTAAACACTGAGCTGAACTCCTGGTGTCCACTTGCAGAGAGGGAGGAGTGATGAGCAAAGGGGTCAAGACCAGGCTGCAGAGACCCACAGAAACTGCTGACTTGAATTGGGAGGGAGCTCATGGACCCCAGAATGATAGCTGGGAAACCAGCATTGGACCAACCCAGACCCCCTGAATATGAGTCTCAGTTGGAAGGACTGTGTAATCTATGGGACCTCTGACAGTGGAACCAAGATGTGTCCCTTGTGCACAAAAGGACTTTGGGAACACATTCCCCATGGAGGGATACTCCCTTAATCTAGAGACAGGAGGGAGGGCCTAGGCCCTGCTCCAAATGACGTGGCAAATTTAGATGGTTTCTTCTGGAAGTCCTCACCCTCCTGTGGAGTGGGTGGGGAATGGGATGGGAGGGGGGTTGGAGGGCATTGGAGGATGGGAAGGAGAGGAAGCTGGGATTGATATGTAAAATAAGAGAAAATAATAAAATAAAATTAAAATCATTCTTCCTCCCTTTTCCAAAAATTGAGCTCATCTGATACCTGAGTGGAAAATTTGGTCCTGTGAGCAATTTCAGGGTTCTCATGGCCATACCATTGCTTACTTCAGTATGGTACTTCTGAGTGTGCAGTCATTGTTTAAAAGGTTTTCACCAGCTATTCCACAAGAATCCCTGGAGACACCATCCTGCCTGCCTTGTGTTTTTAAAAATGAGGCCTTTTCCTCTATCTGGACACTGGGTCTTAAGAAAGTTGTTTATCATGCAGAGACAGACCAATTGTCTTGTCTCGGTAAACATTTTAATACCTGAAGCCAATCCACAGGAGTGAAAAAACCCTTGTGTAACCTATCCCCCTTTGTCCTTCAATCCCCTTTCTTTTAAATATAATTATAACAGAATGGCAACAATTCATCAGGGAAAGGAAGACAATGTATAATTACCCTTTAAGAGTTATGTTTATTAGGAGAAAGGGCCTTTGGACCAAGACTGGACCTCGAGGTTGGGGGGAGACATTAGACACTATTGGTACAATGTGTGTGCAATGCAAGTACAATGGGTGGGGGGTGGGGCCTTCAAGGAAAGTAAGGCTTCTCTATAAAAACCTGGAAAGGACTTCATGAAGAAAATAGTGGTGCCAAGATGGTCGAGTGGTCCAAGGTTCCAAACTTAAGAGTAAGGATATGAGAGACATCGAGAAAAAGAGTTGGGTTCCAAGAAAGGGTGTACAGAGCTACCGGCAGACAAAATCCCCAGGGCATCCCTAGAACAAAGGGTTATCGGGGTTTTCGATGCTTTTAGGGGGCAATGGGATGTTCTAGAATATTAGTTTAAGATGTGTTACATCCTCAAGGCAGTGGTAGCTCCTGCCTTTAATCCCAGTACTGGGGAGGCAGAGGCAGTCAGATCTCTTTGAGTTTGAGACCAGCTAGTTCCAGGATAGCCTCCAAAGCCACAGAGAAAGCCTGTCTTGAAAAACAAAAAACAAACAAACAAAAAAGATGTGTTACATTCATTTATGCCGTAGAATATTGTTTAATGTTGCAAAGATGTGATACTTTCTTTTATGTTGCATTTGTTTAACTCTATAAAGCTCTGTTAACTTTGCCTGTCTTCAACACCCGATTGGTCTAATAAACAGCTGAATGACCAATAGCTAGGTGGGAGAGAAATAGGCGGGGCTGGTAGGCAGAGAAAATAAATAGAAGAGGGGGTTAGGAGAGGAGGATTCCAGAGGGCGCCAAACAGCCAGCCATGGAGTAAGGAGGAAGGAAAGGTATATAACATCGAGAAAGGTAAACGCTTAGAGGCAAAGGATAATTTAAGAAAAGCTGGGTAGAAACAAGCCAAGCTAAGGCTGGGCATTTGTAAATAAGTCTCCATGCGATTATTTGAGAGCGGGGTAGTGGACCCCTAAAGAGTAAAATAAAAACCTACAGTGGGAAGTTTTACTTCACATGATTCAGTTCAACATAGTATACATGACAGAGCAGGAGCCAGGTACAGTTTAGAACCATAAATTATAGACTATAAAAAATACAACCTGAAACAGCTTCTTAACTCTGTCCCAGGGAGAGCTGCAGGTGGAGATATGGCCCGATCTCTTCAGGGAATCTGAACTCATGTAAGAGTGACCACTATTTTAAAGTGTTGGCCTGTGTTCTAGCATTTGTATTCTTTAAAGTTCTCTTGGGGGAGAGCTTGGTCTTTTATGGGGATTCTCTCCACTAGGATCATAGAGAATATGTAATAAAACTCAAGGCTCTTCCACACAGTAAAATCTCAAAATCTCCAAACTCTTTTTTTTTTTTTTTTTTTTTTGAGACAGGGAAACAGGATCTCAATATGTAGGTCAGGCTAGCTTTGAACTTTCATCAGTCTTCCTGCCTACAGAATGCTGGATGCTGGCATTACAGGTGTGTATGACCATGACCAGCCAGTCCAATCTGTCCATCCTTCCATTCTCTATCCCTTACCTCTCTCCTGCCTTTCTTTTGGCCTAAGTAGCTTGAACTTCCTATGTAGCCAAGACAAAGAGCGTGGACCTTGAATTTTGACCCTCTTGTCTCTGTCTCCCAAGTTCTGGATTTACAGGTACCTGAGGCTCTATTTATACAGTGCTGGGGATTCAAACCCAGGGCTTCTCACATGTTGGGCAAGCATTCTGTTGATGTAGCGGTGTGCCCAGCTCAAATTCCTTGAGCTCAGGCCCTTGTCTTCCCCTCCTCCCCGCTTTGCTCTCTTGGAATCTGCTTGGGCTGGGCAAGGTCTCACAGTGGGTACAATATGCGTCCCACCATGTGTGGACAGAGAACACAGTTTATCAAGGAAGCCCACCAACACCAAAAATGCTGTTGGTAAATCTTGGTAAATGAAATTGCCTAACACCTATTGCACTTCTGCTTCTCAGTCTTTGGTTGACAGTGGGCCTTTGGAAACTCTTTTGTAACAGTGGATTTCAGCCTGTGGGTTGCTGCCACGTTGGGGTTGAATGACTCTTTCACAGGGGTTGTCTAAGACCATCAAAAAACACAGATATTTATATTATGGTTCATAACAGTAGCAAAATTAAAATTATGAAGTACCAATGAAAATAATCTTATGGTTGGGGGTCATCATAACATGAAGAACTGTATTAAAGGGTTGAAACATTAGGAAGATTCCTGTAAAGTTTCTGGTTGGTATTGGTGAGACACACTTGAAGGCAAGACCGGTACTTCTATGGGCTTAAAGAGTGAGCTGCCCTCCAATACTTTTAAAGCTAGTACAAGGATACTGCAAAACTCAACTGGGAGACTTAGACATGGGGTTTGCATGTATGTATGTATGTATGTATGTATGTATGTATGTATGCATGCATGCATGCCACATATTTACCTGGTATATGTGGAGGTCAGAGGAGGGCATCAGAGCCCCTGGAAACAGAGTTACAGAAGGTTATGAGCCATCATGTGGGTACTGGGAACTAAACTAGTGTCCTCTGTAAGAGCAACAAGTATTTTTAACCACTGAGCAATATCTTCAGCCCCAAGTCCTAATCTATGTGTTGTTTAAGTAAGGGCTGGTCTTGACTTGAGAGCAATTAACAGTGAAAAGTAAAATGATCTGTGCAATAAAAATTGTATAGGTGGAATTGAACAGATAAATGACTAAAAATTAGCTCAAAGATGGTAGATTAATAAAATACAAAATGTATCAATTGTCAGCAACTGAGAAATTGAAAATTACCTTGTGGGTTTATTAATAGATAACATTCATCTATTTAGTTTATTTCAGTGATGTGTAATAAGGTCCCTTTATGTTACATATTATGTATTTTTGGTGCTGATGAGGAGAAAGAAATTTAAGACAAACCTACTATCATGAAGTTTGTTTTAACTTTGAAGATTTCTGCAGGAAATGTTTCTCATGAGACTCTGCCATCTTGTTCCTTCATACTGGTCCATTTTAAGAGAGATAGTTCTTAATTGCTAGGCAAATGCTCTGTCACTGGCAAATGCTCCATCGCTGAACTATGCCCCAGACTCTTTTGATCTGACAATGTTTGTCCTAGGCTTCTGGGTAAAGCCTAAAAATGGCAGTCTTGGCTGCCTACATGGGCAAAAGATTATCCTTTAGAGCAGTCAGTGGTTCTCGACCTTCCCAATGCTGTGAGCCTTTAATACAGTTCCTCATGTTGTGGTGACCCCTACCCACAAAAGTATTTTCATTGCTACTTTATAACTGTAATTCTAATACTGTTGTGAATTGTAATGCAAAAACTGTATTTTCTAGTGGTCTTAGGCAACCCTTGTGAAAGGGTTGGTCAACCTCTGAAGGGGTGGCAACTCACAGGTTGAGAAACATTGATCTAGAGGCTACTGAAAGTGGTGGGATTCCAACCCAGTGATGGCAAAATTCAATCCAGTTGCAAGCAGGGTTCTCTTATTAGGTTTTAGGTACACCATCTGGAAGGTTGTACGTTCAGTCAAGGTAACAGAAAGGATGCAATATCTGATTCAAGTGCAGGGTGGGCACAATACCATTTACCTACAATCCCAGCTACTTGGGAGGCTGAGGCAGGAGGGTCATGTGACCCCACAAATTGGAGACTAAATTGGGAAACATAATGGCAACCCCGCCTGTAGAAATGTATGGTTAGAATACGATTTTTCAGCGAGGTGGGTATTTTACCATTATATGTTTTAATACAGCAATCACCAATGTTTCCTGAGGTAAATACAACTAAATCAGAACAATAGCAACAAAAGTGTTAGTGTTCCCCTTGCTTCACTTTGAAAAGTATGAGAAGGGGGAATGGGGAACATTTCTAGATCACTTCAAGTTGTGAACCGAGGTACCTGCTGACGTCTTCTGCTTCTTCCGTCAATGCGGGCTTTTCTCTTCATGTGATCCTCTTGAAAAGAATCGAAATAGGCACTGTCCAGCAGTTGGGCACAGGTCAGTCTGTCATCTGGGTTCATCTTTAGACACCCCTTTGGAGAGGGAGAAAAGAAAAATAGATGTAAGAGATGGGCGTACTTGGCTCCTGAGCATCCAAAACTCTAATGAACAAGTGACCAAATGGCTTAAGAAGGGATGTGTCAGGCTGGATGTAGGTGGTGTGATGCTTGCCCAGTGCACATGCAGCTCTGGGTTTGATCTTAGAACTCAGAAGGCAAGAAAATCAAGAGTTCAAGGTCATCCTTGACTACATGAGTTCAAGGTTAGCCTGTGCCTGTGCCACATGAACCTCTGTCAAAAAAAAAAAAAAAATCCAAGAAATTAAATAAATAAACCATCAAATTATTGAGTCCTTGTTTGTTTTAACTTTTTTCTTTTTTTGAGAGAGAGTATCATGTAGCTCAAATTGTCCTTGAACTTGAAATAAAACCAAAGATCACCTTAAATCCCTGATCACCCTGCCTTCATTTTCCAAGTACTGGGATTACAGGCATGTGCTGCCATACCTAAGTCCTTGGAACTCCTTCATAGCTAGACATGCTCTTGGAACTAAGACTTTCCTGTGTGAGTGCATGCATGTATGTCTATGTGTCCAGGTATGGTTCTGCATGGGTACATGTGTGTTTGTGTGCATATGTGCATGCATGTATGCGTATTGTGCATGTGTGTATGTGTGCTCATGCATGTGTGGAGGCATGTGTGTGTGTAGATAAACCTGCTCATGTGTATCTGTGGAGGCCTGAGGTTGATGGTGGGAGCCGTCCTGGATCATTCTCCACCTTATTCATTAAGCTGGTCAGTACAGTACTCTAGCTAACCAGATTGCTACAGAATGCCCCTTCTCTACTTTTGAGAGCTATGATTACAGGTGGGCCGCCATGCCACTGGCGATGGGGATCCAAACTCAGGTCCTCACATTTGCACAGTAAATGCTTCATTCACAGAGACACCTCCCTAACCCGCCACTCAGGCTTTTGAGAGACTGTGTGTGTGTATATCTTTTGAGAGACTGGGAGAGCCACACATGGATCAGGGGTTGTCTCTAATCAGTGACATCTCTTTTTGCCATGAGTGGAAGCAGTTTGTCCAGTCCAGAAGCATCAGTGTCACCAGGAACTCGTTAGAAATTCAAGTTCCAGCTGGGTGTCGTTGGTGGCTCATGCCTTTAATCCCAGCACTCTGGAGGAGGCAAGTGGATCTCTGTGAGTTCTAGGCCAGCCTGGTTTACAGAGAAAATTCCAGGACAGGCTCCAAAGCTACAGAGAAATCCTGTCTCAAACTCCTGAGAGGGGGGGGGGAGGGAGGGAGGGAGAGAGAGGGAGAGAGAGGGAATGAGAGAGAGAGAGAGAGAGAGAGAGAGAGAGAGAGAGAGAGAGAGATTCAAGTTCCAGGTCCAAGGGCACATGGGTGGTTTGAGGCCAGGCTGGGCTACATGGTTCAAAGGGTAAAGGTGCTTGCTGCCAAGACTGACAGGGGTCTATCTCCGGAACCCACACAGCGGAAGGACCAACTTCCTATTGTCCTGTGACCTCCACATGCATGTTATGGCGTGTGTGTACAGATACACACACAGTAAAGAACAGATAAACGACCAAAAATTACATCAAAGATGGAAGACTAAGCAAACAGAAAATGTTTCAACCATCAGCTTCTGGTAAATTGAAAATTACCATGTGGGTTTCTTAATAACATTCGTCTATTTGGTTTCATTTAATGATATATAGTAAGTGCCTTTTATATGTTAGATACTGGTTTTGGTGCCATTGAAGAAGAAATAAAAGGAACCATGAACATGGAGCAATGGTCATATTATACCCACAAGAGGAGAAAGCGGTGACTCAGCAGGGCCCAGCTCACTCTTTCTACTCTTACACAACCCAGTATGCCCTGCCCAGGGAAAGGTGCCACTCACTGTGGGCAGGTTTTACCATCTCAATTAATTTAATCAAGGCAACCCTACCCCCTCTCCACAGACATGCCCACAGGCCAACCTAATCTAGAAAATGCCTCACTGAGTCTTCTTGCCAGGTGACTCTAGGCTACACCACGTTGGCACTTAAAGCTAATCATCACACTTTCAAACTCAGCACACTTTCGTCTTGAATTCATTCGCATTCTTATGTGGGGTTTTCAGTCTATGGAAATGGAGGCCATTAAATGAGTTGTTTACTAAAGAAGCATTTTCAGAGTCTAAGGAGAGGCTGCCATCCTGAGATGCTTTGGAGCTTCAGACGAGAACAATGTCTTGCTTGATTAATTTTTTTTTTCTCCAAGACAGGGTTTCTCTGTGTAGCCCTGGCTGTCCTGGAACTTGCTCTGTAGACCAGGCTGGCCTCAAACTTGGAGATAAGCCTGCCTCTGCCTCCCAAGTGCTGGGATTAAAGGCATACACCACCACCCCTGGGCAATTGGTTACTCTATTGAGTACTGATACTGATTTGATGGAGATAGGGCTCTTGAGTCATCATCTCCCCAAATAACAATTTCTATACAACTGGATGAGTCCTTAGACTTCCTCTCAGCCAGCTCCAAACCTGGTAAAAGGTCTGAAGTCAGGATTTGGGAAACAAACTACAAAGTCCAAGGTGGGAGTTCCTTTCATTCTAAAAAATAATTTAAAAGTTGTTTGTGTGTGAGAGGGATGTGTGTGTGGGGGGGGGGCACACATGTCATAGAACATGTCAGGGTGGGGGTGGGTACAGAGGATAACCGTGAAGTTAGTGCTCTCCATCTTTAAAAGGGTTTCAGGAATTGTGCCCAGGTCATCAGGCATAGGCATGAGCACTTTTATCACCTCCCTCCCCCTCTTTCCATTTTAAATTACTGTTCCCTACTTTGGCACTATGTTCCAAATAGCCTCCCTCGCCTCTGTGCTAAATGACCAGGTTCAATAATTATAGTTAATTCCCACATACCTTCATGAAACTTAAAGCCACAGGCTGAACATTTGAGAATTTTTCTTCTAGAGTCTCCTGGAAAACAGAATTTCAGTGTCACATAACCACAAAGTAATGAATATGCATGTGTGAATGTGTGTATGTATGTATGTATTACGTATTTCATAGTCTTGGGGAGCTAGGTTTATAGCCTTGTGCACGCTAGGCAAACGTTCTACACTGAGTCATCTCCCCACCCACAGTGTGTATTTGGCAAAACATTTGGGTGACCCTTTTGAGGTTTTTTTAAGTACGTTTTTACATACGTTGGTAGTATAGTATAAAACCAGAGTTACGGTCTTAATTTGGCAATGACTTACTCTTGGTGCTAGTAATCCTGAGAGGGAAGGGAACAGGGACGGTTCAAGTATGAAATACACCCACCCGAGATCCTGTCACCGTGCTTGGCTGTCAGAGCCTGGTGCTTGGCTGTCAGAGCCTGGCATATTAATGAGGGTGCTCTGAGCATTCTTGCAAATATACTGACTTACATACAGAAAAAAACAACAGCAGCCAATGGAAGGTGAAACATCACAGAATAGCAGGGAGGGAAGGAGATGGAGAAACTGCAGAGTTAATAGTAACGTTCTCCTTTTCAAACTGGACAGCAGACAGACGAATTTGTCATATCTTCTTTACATTAGACACATTAGACACATTACATAATTCTTGTGTGACTTTTTTCTTTTTCAGTTTTGTGTGTGTATGTATGTATGTTGTGGGATGAATGTGCAGTGTGTGTGTGTGTGTGTGTGTGTGTGTGTGTGTGTGTGTGTGTGTGTGTGTGTGTGTACACGGAGGCAAAGGTTGATGTCAAGAATTCTCCTCTATTGAGGGAGGGTCTCTCAAACCCAGAGCTCTTCAATGTGGCTAGTCTTTCTAGCCAGCTGTCTTAGGAATTACTTTCTGAGGTCTCTGCTTTCTGAGATCAGAACCATAGATGGGTAAACACAACCAGCCACTCTTTATCGGGATTTGGCAGCCTCTAAACTCTCTTCCTCACACTCAAGAGAGACAAATGCCTTAACTGCCAAGCCATCTCCCCAGCCCTCTTTTTTAACTTTTATATTTGTAAGTCAACCTTTAGCCTTGACCACAAACATCAAGGTGTTATGTCAGACACTGAACACGATTTAAACTAAATGTATGTGAATTGTGGAAGAGATAGGTCAGGCAAACTGATATTTTCCTTCATAATCTTTTTAATTATTATTCATAATCTTTTAATTATTATTATTTTGGTATGTATACACATGGGGGTAGCTACAAATGTGTGCCAATGTACATAATCACATAAGTGTGTGAGGAGGACCAGAGGACTGCACTGAGTATCCTTCTCTATCATATTACTTACTTCCTTGACTTAGGGTCTATCATTGAACCTGGAGCTGTTTTTAAGCTGGGCTGGCAGTTAGCAAGCCCCAGAGTCCCTTTCCCACTGCTGGCTATGGGTATGCACAGTAAGGGTGCCTAGTTCTCCCATGCTTGTATAGCAAGTACTCTTAGCCTCTGAGCATCTCTCTGTCACTGGTGTGTGTGTGTGTGTGTGTGTGTGTGTGTGTGTGTGTGTGTGTGTGTGTGTTTCACTATATATAGCTCCAGCTGCCTTGTTCCAGAATTTATTGTATAGCTTAGGCTGGAATCAAAATTGTGTTAATAGACCTGAGTGTTGAGATTATAGCCATGCTATCATGCCTGGATTTTTATAAATAGTTTTGGAGTCAGGGCCTCCAAACGGCTCTTGCACTCAAGTGACCCGGCATCTTGAATAGCTGGGAATTCTGTTGCGCCCCGCTGTGTGTGGCTCATACATTTTAAAGGGACTTCAAACTTGCATCAGTGTCTCATATGGAAAACAGCAGCCAAAAGCACACTTGGGAAACACCCATGTCTTTACAGACACATTACAAACAAGTCATTCAGCACAGAGCCTTTTACCATGTCTTCTGGTTCAGGTATGCTGATGCCACGGAAAAACTGGTTACTCTTAAAGATAGACTGATGTCTTGGGATGAGTTTCCCTGTAAAACACAAACCATGAAGCTCCTGATAACTCAGGTTAGAAAGTCATAAAGCATATTATATAAAAAAAAAAAAACTTCCTAAGATGAAGGTATTAAGGGGACACTGCCTAGTGTTTCTTCTAGACGTGGGCAGTTGAGCCTGTGCAAAGGCAAGGACCACTCTCCACATTTCCTCTTCGCCAAACAGCCTCCCTGTAACACTAAGTGAGAGGGTGCTGCAGGATTCTTCACACTCATGGTCTCACCTCCTTTCCTAACAATCTTTCCACAGAATTCATAGCTTCCTTCCCTCCCTCCTTCCCTTTCTCCCTTCTTTTCTCCCTTCATCCCCTTTCCCTCCCCCCCCTTTCTTTTTTTCTTTCTTTGAGACAGGAGCTTGTCTATTCCAGGCTGGCCTTGAACTCTTGGTATTCCTGCCTCTGCTTCCCAAATCCTAGGATCACAAGCATGGGCTATCATGCCTGGTCCATGCAGTACTGGAGTTCAAACCTAGGGATGTATACATGCTTGACAAGCACTCTATCACTGGGCTACATACCCAGCCCGAGAATTGCCAGTTTTCATTTCTGTGAGGAAAGTCAGATCTGTCTACAGAGTTGGGGAACCTAGCAATCAGACACATACATAGAAGGTGTGACCCACAGTGATGCTCTGCACCACACCTCCATGTTGCCTGGGAGAATGAGCTAGTGAGAAGCCACCTTGTCCAGCAAGCAAAAATCCAGAGCAGTTCTGGGAAAGAGTCTGTGTGTTCATCCTGTGGAGAGAGCAGTTAATAGCTTTGCATCCAGCTCCTGGAGTGGATCTGTAGTCTACCTGGGTTAGATATCCTTCCAATTATGGGAGGACGACTACAACTTCTGACTGTCAGGGATGACACAGTGGTCAATGCTCAAGAGACAAGCTCTCAAGTGGGCTGGTGGAAAGCTCAGTGGCAGAAGGCTTGCTTAGCATACATGAGAGGCAATGGGTCCCATCTCCAGCACATCTCTCTCTCCTCTCTCTCTCTCTCATTCCTATTCTGTACCTTACCAGGTATATGCCTTCAGGCTAACTATGGAGGCTTTTAAAACCTCAGTTTCAATTATAAAATAGGCACAATTAAAAGTGATGTAACTTGGGGCTGGAGTGATGACTTGGTAGTTAAGAGCACTTGCTACCCTTTTAGAGAACTCAAGTCCAGGTCCCAGCAGCCACAGTGGTCAGCTTCACAACCCTCTGTAACTCCAGTTCCAGGGATATCTCACATTCTCTTCTGTCTGTGGGCATCTATACATGTGTGAACACCCCCCTACACACCACACAGAGAGAGAGAGAGAGAGAGAGAGAGAGAGAGAGAGAGAGAGAGAGAGAGAAATAAAAATAAAAACAACCCTTGTTGTTGATTTTTGTTTTTTGAGATAAGGCTTCTCTACATAGCCCTATCTGGCCTGGAACTCACTCTGTAGACCAGGCTAACCTCTAACACACAGAGGTCCACCTGCCTCTGCCTCCTGAATTCTGAGATTAAAGGCATGAGTCACTACACTTGGCCAAAATAAAAGGAATCTTTAAATAAAGATATAAATTCATACCACGAAGTGGTGGCACACACTTTTAATCCCTGTACTGGGGAGGCAGAGGCGGGCAGATCTCTGTGCGTTCAAGGCCAGCATGGTCTACAGAGTGAGTTCCAAGGTAGCCAGGGCTACATACTGAGACCCTGTCTTGAAAACAGACAAAACAAAAACAACAAAAGACTCCAATAAAATAAAACAAAACAACCCTCCCATCAAAGATATGAATTCCTTAACATGTTGTTTAAAGTTATTTTATTATTTATATTTTACTTATGTAGAATACTATATAAGCAGCCAAGGGAGAGAAGTAATTAAATAGTCCTGACCAGCTGCAACACTCATAACCAGGACAATGACCAGCAAAGCAGGATATGCACACAGGTACAATAATGGTACCCACATGTTGGTGGCAACCAACAGTGGTCAGATTGGACTTGAAGTCTTGCCTGTTTCTGGAAACATAACCAGCTTCCCTGGCCTAGTGAGGTTATGGGATTTAGAAAAGAATGTACTACAGCCACTTTTCTGACAAGCAACTCATTCTAAATCTTGCACTTATACCCGTAGATAAGTGCAGCTGCAACCCCTTACCTAAGAAGCCTCTCTTTACAACAATTATAGACCATCACAGACAACAATGGTTAGACACAATGCAGAAATCCATGGGGAGCCCACCACAATGGAAGCATCCACACCACGGCTCCCACATCTACAGTTCAGGGAACATCAAGGAGAGGGATGGAAAGATTGTAAGAGCCAGAAGACCAGGGACAGTTTCTCCTAGAAATGAGTGTGTAAACAGGACTGGAACAAACAATAGCAATATCAGCAGACATACTAATGTGGAATGGGGAGTTTTCACGAGGTCATACTGCTAATGAAGAATTACAGGCAACTAATGACTCCTGGGAGGAGGAGAAATAGCTTCCTCAGGGATGAGTTCCCTTACTGGTGACAGACTAGTCAGTCACAAAACTATACACACATGAATAATAAAAATGGACTCAGTAGGTTTTATATATATGTACACACATATAAATACACACACAATAAATATATATACACATATATTTATACATATATATATATCAATAGTAAATAAAAAGAGGTTATCTACTTCAGAGTGGGAAAGCATGGGAAGGGTTGGAGGGAGGATAGCTGGGAGAGGCTGGAGGGAGAAAAGGGGAAATGTGATTTAATATTACTTCAATTAAAAACGTTAAGAAAATAATGATAAAAATTAATTTGGAAAAGGAGTTACTTTATTTTACTTATATATATGTCTGGGGGTATGGGTGGGGGGTAGGGGTTGTATTATGAGTACAGGGCCAGAGGTGTTCAGATCATAAATGTTTTTTCTTAAAACTGAGAATTTATAACTTTTAAGGTATTATACAGATGAATTACGCTAATATCACTTTAAATATTGGCTGCTACTTAGATCAGGCAATAATACCAGACTTATTGGATTTTCTTGGCAAGGTCTGTGCAGACTCATTGCTGGCACTGTGTGTTCAGACAGGATTGGGCTTCGCCTACAACCGAGAGACCAGAGATCTTCCCCCCCCCCCCCCAGAGCCTTAGAGACGCAATGGACTTCTTGATTTCGTTATATTATCTATCATATGGGTGTCATAACAAACATGTGGACCACAAAAGGCAATTCATACCCAGTGTCCTGATGATCAAATAAAGTTGGTCCACATCTGATTTTCCTGGCCAGAGTGGCTGACCTGTCAGGAGCTCTGCAAAAACACAGCCGACAGCCCACACATCCACAGAGGAACCATACTTCGTGTCTCCCACGAGAAGTTCAGGGGCTCGGTACCACCTGGTGGCAACATAGTCTGTGTAGGCATCTCCTGGAACTGAGAGGGAGAGCATCGGGCAGATAAGATGACTTAATCATCTCCTGGCCTCAGTGTCTCTGACCCATACTCCCTGGAGCAGCTGGGACAGCAGTTCAGTCAGATGGCTTCTGTAGCTCTCAGCCAGGATCTTGCTCACACTGAATAGTAAGTTGCACACTGAACCAGGGTCCCAGTGAATACTGAGTGTTCCCTAACTGGAAAACATGGGGGAATCATGCCAGACAGATGTGAGAATTCCTGTCCTGTCACCCAAGCCAGATTTCACCTGTTTCTGTTTCTCATCAGCACAGAGCCTGTTGTTAACTAAACTGTATCCTCCAAACAAAACACAATACAACAACAAAAACCAAAACAACAACCCTTCCCCCCCACCCCACCCCCACCAAAAAAAAAAAAAAAAACCATAGATTTGAAGTCCCAGTTTCTAATATCTGTGAATTTGAGCTTGTTTGAATATAGGGACTTTTCATATATTGTTGAGTGAGGCGGGCCCTGAATTCAGATTCAGGGACGTGTGTGTGTGTGTGTGTGTGTGTGTGTGTGTGTGTGTGTGTGCGTGTGTGTGCACGCACATGTGTGTACGCGTGCATGTATGTGAATAACCAAGGATCCACCTGAGGTGTCAACCCTCAAGCCACTGTTCCCACCACCACCCTCTTTTTAACACAGTGCCTCATGTTTCCTGTGTTGTCCTTGGACCCCTAATGCCCCTGCCTCTACCTTCCAAGTATAGAGTTGAGATGTGAGCCACATCCATGGTTTATGTAGCCCTTCATGTAGGTGCTTTAGCATCCAAGCCACATTCCCAACCCTTACCTTGATTTGAGACTCTAACTTTTACCTAGAATTTTTCAATCTGTGTGTAGGCTGGCTGGCCGGCAGAGCCTCAGGGATCTGTCCGTTTTTGCCTTCCTAGCACCCAGATTACAAACAAGCACACAACATAATACCTAGACTATTTTCTTTTAAAGCGTGGCTTCTGGGTATTAAACTTAGGTTCTCATGGTTGTGCAGTAAACACTTAGCCATTTGAGCCACAACCCCAGTCCAAGGACTGGCATTATTACAAGGTGGCCCTTCAGGGACACAGAGAGACAGACACACAAGTGAGTAAGAGTGGGTGCTGAAGGAAGCGTCTGCCAGCTTGGGGTGCAGGAAGGAGCCTCCCTGAAGCCTCCAGGACCAGGGGAGATCCCCTCCTACTGCCTTAAGCCTCATGGATTATGGATGTTCACTCTGGCAACCATAGAGACCATTGCAGTCCTGGATGGTTGCACACACTGTCCTTGTTCATTTCTCAGGACTAGTGGGACAACTTGGTTTGACTCCTTGTACCACAAGTCATGTCTGTATGCCAGGCAGATGATGGAGGTCTAAGTGAAACCTTTCCCGTCAGAAATGTCCTTCTGCCCTGAGAGTGCACTCCCTATGGTCAGGTGTGTAGGATCTAATCCCACAATGCCGCCTGAGCTGGAAGGTCACGGGATCTCAGTTCTTCTCCCTCAGAGGCTGGGGGGGTGGGGAGGTTGATGAAACAATTCTAATGGGCCTTTATGTGACAAGATCATTTGAGTTCTTGGACCAAGTCCGCAAATACATCACAGACAAAGAAAAGTTGGTAAAATAGTGGCTTACAGAGGCTTCTCTGCCTTTAAAAAACAGGCCTGGGGCCAGTGAGATGGCTCAGTAGGTAAAGGTGTTTGCCACCAGCTTTGACCACCTGAACTACACGGTAGTAGGAGAGAACCCACTCTGGCAAGGTGTTCTCTAACCTCTGTGAGGTGCGCACACACACTAAATAAATGGTTTTGTTGTTTTGTTTTTATTTTGAGACAGAGAGTCTTCTTGTAGCCCCAACTGTCCTAGAACTCTCAAAGTAGACCAGGGTGGCCTCTAACTCAGCGATCCACCTGTCTCTGTCTCCTGAGTGCTAGGATTAAAGGTGTGTGCCACCTAGCCAGGCATTTGCGTGTTTTGTTTTGTTTGTCTGAGACAGGGACTCCCTATATAGCCCTATGTGGTCTCAAACTCATAAAGAGCTGCCTGCTTCAGCCTCTTAAGCTCAGGATTAAAAGTGTATAAAGTGTATGCCACTTCTTGGCTTAAGATAAGGCTCGATTGTGTAGCTAATGCTGGTCTTGAAGTCTGAATCATCTTGCTTCTTCTGCCAAGTGTTGGACATATATGTATTATTAAACTGGGGTGGCAATTCTCCTTAGTAACTGACCACCACAAAAAATCCAGGAGTTACAGGTCATCAATCAACAGTCCTCACAGTAAGAACAGGAAACAACTTTGACTATCCATGGCTCTTTCCTAAAATCATATCATTGTTTGGAGACAAGGTCTCCAAAGCTTAGGCTGGCTCAAACTCCTTATATACGTCAAGGATGACCTTGAACTTCTGATGGTCCCATCTCTACCTCCTAAAGTGCTCGGACTAAAACTCTGTTCTTCTGAGCCCAGTGTATGCAGGGGCTTCCTGCATGCTAAACAAGCACTCTACCCTTAGAGCCCAGGGGCCCAGCCCTTTTACCTATGTATTTCCTATGTAATTACACTCACATTGCCTGTATACATTTAGCTTGCTTTTTTGATTACAACATCTTGAATGTGTGTATGAGTATTTGAATACCATGTGTGTGCGTGTGTGCATAGGTGTGCAGGTCAATGGACAACCTCAGGGATTGGTCCTCACCTTCCTTGTTTGAGGCAGTGTCTGGTTTTCGGCCGCATCCTCAAGGCTATTTGCCTGTGAGTTTCTGGGACTTTTCCTATCTTAGTCTCTCATCTCATCCTAGGAACATTAGGATTGCAAATGTGTGCTGTGTGTCCAACTTTTATGTAGCTTCTGGGCATTCAAATTCTAGTTCTCAGACTTGCAGGGTGAGTGCTTTACATTGAGCCATCTCTCCAGTCTTTGAACATTTCCTAGTGTCACTGACAATTCTGTGACCATCACTTCTAACTGGAACCTTCTACCCCACAAGGAGAACACTTATTCCAGAGTCCATAGCTTAGGAGCATCTTGGTTTGCTTGTTTCTCTTTCCAGCCAGGGCAGGGACCAGTTATCCTCCCGGTCCTACTGTTTTGCATCACCAAGCACAGTAGCCTCAGGAGCACTTGGCCAGTTTTGTTTCACCCTTTCAATCGTTTCAATCACTTCTGGGTGCCATTGGGATGCAGAGGATGCTCATACCCCCCACCCCTGTAAGGTGCATGTTGCCAACACAGGTTCCTGTTTCTCCTGTGCTCTATACTTGTTATCTACCCTCCATCTCTTTGGCTCCTTGCTGCCTGGGGATGGTGTTCTTTTTCTTAGCACTGTCTCTGAATCTGGTAGCTCTTTAACTTCCAGCTGACTCTGACAGTCTCACCAGCTCTGTGGAGCTTTTCCAATCACTCAAGCTCATGTTGCTATCTCTCCCCGGGGAACCATCTGCTCCTTCCCTTTAGTACTTTCTGCCCAGAAATCTTGTCTTATTCTTTCATCTCATTTACTCTGGGTTATAAGTGCCTGCAGAGCAGAAATGCATGTTATGATTCCTTTCCATTCCTTTAGGGCTAAGCCACAAAGATGTCATCCAATAAATTCTCGCTGAATGGACAAAAGCTGAATTATCAACTGACCGAGAGGCTAACATGAGACTTTTTTTCCCCTTTGAATAACAAAACATTTAGCATCTATCCATTAGCATAACAACGAATACAAATGATTTCAATTTCTTGTCATCTGAATTAGATGAAGCAGGTGAAAAAAAAAATGTACTTACTCAGAATCCGTGCGAATCCAAAGTCACAAATCTTGATCATTCCTTGCTTGGTTATTAGGATGTTTTCAGGTTTTACATCCCGATGAATACACTGTAAGACAATAAAGACAATACTTGCTTAATTAACTGAGCCATCAAAGTGACAAAGAATCAGCAGTACTTATTAGTTTAAATGATGGATAGTTTACAATTGCTTACAGAGCTTACAAAAGCTTCATAGCTTACAATGAAAAACAGAGATCTCCTTCATTTTCTTAGAAAATTTTAAGTTGTCCATTTTCATGTATGAATCTTGTCAAGTAAAAGAAAAATTTTACCTAAATGTCAGGCTAGTATCAAAGATATTAAAACTATAATTGTTACACATGGGAACTGTGTCTGTCTGGATCTTTTGAAGAAAGAAACACACATAATAGAGTGAGTTCATTCACTTTCTACTGCTCCTATTTGAACTGTAATAGAAGATGGAGAAATGTAAACAATAGGAGACTCCAAGTGCTTTTAACAAGAATCCCTGCTATTTATGGCCCACAATTCAAGTTGGATAATGCAGATTTAACAGGTTGGGACAAAACCAACAACCCAACAACATTAAGATGCTAATAGAGGACCATGAGAAAGTGAGCATATTTGAATGAGATTTTCATTTTGGGGGAGTTAAATTTGTCTAGAAATTACTACCCCTTCCTGACACAGAGAATATGCAGCAAGCCTGGCAAGCTAAGTTTGATCCTGGGGACCCAGGTGAAGGGGGAGGGGATTAATCAGCTTCACACTGTTCACTGGCCTCCACATGCCCACTGGGGCACGAATCACCCCCATCATGAACATATCTGCAACAATGATCATACTCAGAAATTATCTCTTTTCTTTTTTTTTTTCAGTAATGGCTAAGGATTGTTAATGAGAAGTCTGCAGCATTTTAAAGCTCAGGGTATAGGATATGTTCTTCCACCTGGAAACGTGATGTCAATTGTATTAAGCTACAATAATTGCTTGGTTACACTCAGGAAAGAAGGCTATTTGACTGAACATCCACCCATTTACCTGGTTATTCAACAGATATAGAGCATCTTTTATATAAGAGGTCCATGTTATGGTGTCATCAGGGCCAGGCTGTCTCCGATGGCCATGTCTGGGTCCATGGCCCTATAGCAGCCAGTTCCCTGGCTCTTTCTTTCTATCGGCAGAGTTAATATTACGTAGAACTTCCTAGTATCTGAAGGTGCTACTTACATTATGTTTGTGGCAGAAGTTAAGGGCTTGAAGGGTTTGCCACAACACACTTTTGATGACTCCACCAGGAACACTGGAGGAAAGAACAAAAGTAGAAATGAAAACTCCTGGGATGGGGTCCCAGAGGCAAGTGCTGGGAGCAAGGGGCAGATGGGCTCAACACAGTCAGAGAACACAACACACTGGGAAGAAGGGGCAGAATTGCTTTAAAAATGATCTGCATTGTTCTTCCTGCTTGTGGGTTTGTGCACCACATGCATGCCTGGTACCCTTGGAGGCCAGAAGAGGGTGCGAGACTCCCTGGAACTGATATTACAGATGGTTATGTGAGGCCCTGTGGATGCTGCCGATGAAGCCCAGGTCCTCTGGAAGAGCAGCCTGTGCTCGTAACCACTGAACCATCCCTCCATCCATGCCCTTTAGAAAGTTTTCCTGTATATATAAAAATTATATGTTTGTTTACGTTCACATGTATGAGAGTGGACATGTGCCATAGTGCACATGTAGAGGTCAAAGCGATGGCCGTCACCTTCTCCTTTGAGACAGGGTCTGTTCTTTGTCATTGCATACTCTCAGCTCGCTGGCCCTGGAGCTTCCAAAGTCTCTTGTCTCTGCCTCTCATTTTGCCTTGTGAGCCCTGGGGTTACAGGTGCACACTACCAGGTCTTGTTTTATGTGGGTCCTGAGAACTCCAGTCCTCACACTTGTGTAGCAAGTGCTTTACCCATGGGGCCATTTCCCCAGCCTGCTCCCCCATTAAAAGCAAACAAACATGTTTAAAAGCCTGTTCTCATGGCACAACCCTTTAACTCCAGCACTCAAGAGGCATAGGCAAGAGAAGCACTAGTTTGAAGCCAGCTTGGGCTACATAAAAAAAACAAACAAACAAAAAGCTAGGTATGGCAGCCCACAGTGGTAATCTCAGCACTCAGGAAGCTGAGGCTGGAGGATCACCACAAGTTCAAGGCCAGCCTGGACTGCAGAATAAGACTCTGTCTGAAAAAGAAAAAAAAAATAAAATAAAACCACACACAGAAAAAAACTTTTTTGTTTTTAAATCCATTTTTAAGGTTTGGCATGGTGGCGCACGCCTTTACTCCCAGCAGTAGGGAGGCAGAGGCAGGCGGATCTTTATGAGTTGAAGGACTGTCTGATCTACATAATGAGTCCCAGGACATAATAGAGAAACCCTGTCTCAAGACAGAACAAAACCTTTTTATGACAGGCATATAATTTTATAGCTTGAAATATCTACAAAACTATGTATATATGAAAAATTAACTGTAATGTTCCAACCTCAAAATAATTGCTTTATTTTAGAATGGCTGCACATTCAGGCACCTCTTGGTTCTCTGTTTGTGACCCTGTCTCTCTTTCTCTATCTCTCCATTTACCTTTTGACTCTTAGTTTGAATAAACGTATTCTCATCTTTCAAATTTTAAAAGACGTAAGAAGATGTCATCTCTCCAACACCCAGTGGGCCACCCATCAATTATTCCCATTCCACCCTTGCCTCTTTCAGGGACATTTTATGTGCAGAGGTATCAACGCCAACACGTACACATGTGTTTCAGTAGCTGTGATGGAGCTCATCTGAGTAATTACACTTGACATCCACTAATGACAGTTGAGCCAACTGTTCTTTCTAGAAACACTCCCAGGAAGATTCTCAACTCTCTATGTGATGACAAGCAAACAACTGCCTGCTTGTTATCTTGCTTGCTCCTTATTTATTTCTATTTATTTACTTGTTGAGACAGACTCTTACTTCATGGCCTTGACTGATTTGGAACTTGCTCTATAGACCAGGCTGGCCTCAAAGTTATACGGATTGGCCTGCCTCTGCCTCTCAAGTGCTAGGATTAAAGGTATTTATGTCACCAGTTGTGGCTGGCCCTAATGACAAGGTACTGCCATGTGAGGCTGGTCTATTCAGAAAAATGAACACAGGGAGTGATTTTTCTCAGAGCAGTTCCTTATTTTAGGTCATGATCATAGTAATATGCCCTTACAGTCAGGTATCTGATGGCAACTTTTGACCCTAGTCCTAATAATTAATATTATGAGACCTTATTCTTAGTAAAACTCCTTCCCCATATAAAGTATCTATTTCTGTTTCCTGCACTGAGTTTTATTATAATTTTACCCTTGTCCACTTTTCCCTAGCCAAAGCTGAGATAACAGCATTTCTTTTTCTTTCTTTCTTTTTTTTTTTTTTATGAAGTGCAAAGGCAATAGCCTACTTCCTACTTTTTATAAAAGTTATAACCTTAGAGAGCTCTGGAAGCTTCTGTTTTGCCTACGTGAAAATAGAATAACACCCTTAAATTCACCGAGAAAGTTACAACCAAAACGCGCAGGTTTAACATCCCACTTGTGTTCAGGAGATGAAAGTCTGAGGCCAGATGAAGCCAGTAGACATGACTCTGACCCTGACATGGAGATCAGAGGTCCCAAAAGTAGCTGTTCTGGGGAGAGAAAGGACCAGGAGTATGGAGGAATATAAGGTTGAAGCAAGAAGCTGTAGAGTCCCATGGAACCTTCTGGAATGTGGACTTTGTTCCAAATCCAAAGCCATCAAAAGGAATCAAGCAAGGAGTGATACAGTGCAGAGTGGCTTTGGGAAGAGTAAAGTGAACATAGGGAAATGAATTAGAAAGCTGATCTAGCAGCCCAGGCAAAAAAGGGTGAAAGTGCTGGAGGGAGGGACAGCCACAGGCACAGACACAGGACACTGGGCAGGCACCCAGAGACTCAGGAGATGGGGACTGGGAAGCAAGCCGGCTGCAAGGGTTTAGAAATGGCCAGAAACCTGACTGCTAACCTTGTTAATGAGAAACCAAGCAGAGCTAATTCGATGGGGGCATCGGTTGTCAAAGAGGATATTCAAAAACTTCTTACTGGAATGCCATGCCTCTGTCCAGTTAGCTCAGCTTCTAAGAAGGCAGAGTCCACTGCTGGCAGAGTCAGCATCTACTAGGGATGAGTGACATTGACCTTAGAGAGGAGACGGGACTGCAGATGGACGGTTGGACAGTGCTAGGGAGAGCATACCTAAGCCGTTCTGACACAAGCAGCAGTTTTCAAAGCATTGCAGAGTGAAATAAAACGCTCAGTAGAAATCAACCCATACTTTGATCTAGTGTAAACACAAATACCAAAAGCAATACTGAAAAGCTTAAAGCAAAGATCAGTTAGCTCAGTTCACGCCTGAATGGGCATCATCATGTCTAAGCGACTTGAGCTACCCAGCTCAGAAACTGCAGCCTTGCCCATCTGAAGATGATGCTGACTTCACAGTTCGCTTGTGTGTGAGTGTGGGATACACTCTCACTCATATGTCTGGGCATATGCATACATATGTGTACATATCGTGCATATGTTGGAGGCCAGAGGTTTGTTTCCTAGGATCTTCCTCTGTCCACCTAATACCTATTATTTTGTTTTTTAAAGATTTAGCTGGGCAGTGGTGGCACATGCCTTTAATCCCAGCACTCAGGAGGCAGACACAGTCAGATCTCTGTGAGTTTAAGGCCAGCCTGATCTACATAGTGAGTTCTAGGACAGGCTACAGAGAAACCCTGTCTTGAAAGACCAAAAAAAAAAAAAAAAACAAAGATTTATTTTATTTTCAATTTTTTATATTTAAACTTACACTTAAATTTTAATAAAATATCTAGTGCTGGAGTTTTCTTTGTCCCACCAGGTCCTGCTGCCCTTCTCAGCCCCAAAGAAGCTGGTGGCTGGTGGCTAGGGCCTCTTATTGGCTAGCTCTGTCTTAATTATTAACCCATTTCTATAAATCCATGTATTTTTACATGGTCTTGGCTTACTAAAGAATGTCTGGACCTGTTACTCCTTTGGCAACTATATGACATCTCTTTGTGGCACCTCTCTGCCTACCTTTCCCAGAATTCTCCTTGTCTCCTAGTCCTGCCTATCTTCCTGTCTCTATTGCCCAAACAGTGTTTTATTCATCAACCAATAAGAGAAAAATATATTAAGAAGAACATCACCCATCAAATATCTCTTTTTTTTTCCTTCAAGACAGGATTGTTCTATGTAACAGCCCTGGCTGTCCTGGAACTCACTTTGTAGTTCAGGCTGGCCTCAAACTCAGAGATCTGCCTGCCTGTGCCTCCCTAGTACTGGGATTAAAGGAATATGCCACCACTGCCAGCTTTTTATTCAATTTTTATGTGCTGAATAAACCCTTTCCTCCTCAAATTGCTTTTTTACAGCAATAGAAACCCTAACAAAGACAGTGTCCGTGTGTGTGTGTATGCACTCACTTGTGGATGCCCATGGAGACTAGAGTTGTCAGACGCCCTGGATCTGGAGTTACAGTCGGTTATGAGCCACCTGACTTGTCTGCTGGAAGAGCTGTACATGTTCTTACTGGCTGAGTCATCTCTCGGCCTGTTATTTCTCCAGACCTATTATTATTATCGGGACAGTGTCTCTCACAGAACCTGGAGCTCACTGATTTGGCTACAGTGGCTGGCCAGTTCCAGGGATCTTCCTGTCTCAACTTTCCCAGCACCAAGATACAGGTGTATGCGTCCACTCCTAACCTTCTACATGGGATAAGGGAAAGAGGAGAGAAACATATCCAAGTGTAGGTATGGACTTCTCAGGGGAGATTCATGTCTTGACTCACAAGTTCTTTACTACTGGAAGATTAGGTCAGCCCCAGTTCCAGTTCTGCATAATGATGTTTGAATATCTGTATGTGTATTTTTGTACTTATCTGAACATTTCCCTGATCCATATTTCTGGAAGTGGAATTCTGTGGTCAAAATATGAAAACAGCTTTTAAGGTACTCATACGCATTGGCAAATGATCCACCTAGTTGCGTCCTCTCTAGCTGGAGGAGGTCTGCATACCTGTTTTGTTTGGGGGTGGGCTCTAACTTGAACCCCTGTACCTTGCACATGACAGACAAGCTCTGTCCCACTGTGCTATATCCCCAACCTGTCTTCAAACATTTGAGACAGGGGCTTGATGGGAGTTGCTCAGGTTCACCTTGAATTTGTAATCCTCCTGTCTCAGCCTCTCTACTATACCATAGCACCCGACTTACTCAGATTGAAAATTATTAATTGTGGTAATATTTTATGGAAATTATTTTTTCTTTATTTATGGAACTTTTATTTTTTTATAACTTTGTTCTAACTTTTGAGTTTAAAAAATATCCTATTGGCACAGTCTGATTAGAATTTTGTGCTATGAAAAAAAAAATGATGAGGGGCTGGGCACACCTTTAATCCCAGCACTTGGGAGGCAGAGGCAGGTGGATCTCTATGAGTTCAAAGCCAGCCTGGTCTACAGAGCGAGTTCTAGGACAGCCAGGACTACAGAATGACACAGTGACACAGTGAAACTCCGCCTCTAGGGAAAAAAAAAAAAGATGAAGCAATATGTCTATACATTTATAGTATTCACATCTAAAAACACATGCTCATTTCAATAAAATTCTTTAACCATTATAGTCAGATTTGTAGTTGTCTTTTTGCCTTTTTTGAAAGATTATTTTTTTAAAAATTTATTTTATGCATGTGTGTGTTTACCTACATGTATGTGTATGCAACATGTGAGGGGAGGTCAAAAAGGGGCATCAGGTCCCATGGAACTGGAGTGACGTTTCTGAGCCACTATGCGGGTGCTGAGAGCCAAACCTGGGTCCTCTGCCAGTGCTCTTAACTGCTGAGCCCATCTCTCCAGCCCCAATAGGTGCCTTTATACTTTAACTTACTGGTGAGTTAGATGATTAGATTTCCACATGCTAAATTGTGGTCCTTCCTTTTTGAGGGCAGGTGATCTGGTGATCTGGTCTATGCTTTCCCCTGAAGCTACACTGGGATTTAGACTCATTGCCTATTTGTTCTCCTGGTTACACTTTATCTCGGTTAGTAGTCATTTCCCTTTGGGCACATTCTACCTGAAGCTGGAGCATGGTAGCCAGATGCATCAGGATAGATGGGGGTGGAGAGTGGGTGGGGAGGTAAGGCAGGATGGGATAGGATGGGACCAGGTAAGAAGGGAAGGGAAACCGGGGCTGGAGTTTGAAATTTGCCATAGTCGCCTGCACACAGAACGGAAGGCAACTGGCCACAGAACTCTAGTTTCTCCATCACTTACCCGTTCGGGTTTCTCTCCAGCTCATTTAACAGCGTGTGATCACAGTACTGGAAAACTAAATGCATCTTTCTCTTTCTTCTGAATACCTCGATGAGGTTCACAAGGTTTGGGTGTTTCAACTGCTGCAAAAGATTGGAAGTGCATAGTTGAGTGAGTGTGTTCCCACTTACAGCTGCTCTCCAGGCCTGCTGTGGCACTGGGGAAGGGGTTCCCTTTCATCATTCTGTCTCTGGGCACAAGTTTCTTGGTGGGGGCGCAAGTGTGTGTGTGTGTGTGTGTGTGTGTGTGTGTGTGTGTGTGTGTGTTTAAAACCCTCTGGTGACAGCAAAGGGCAAATAACGCACAACTGTGAAACCACCACATAGCATATGGAAACTAGGAACACACGAGTCATAATATAAGTGGAGAGTAGAAGAAAAAGAGTTATGCAAAAGACTATAAAATAATCAGTGCCTACATACCTTACACATTATCATGAGCTAAAAATAGTTTTATTTTCTTTTTAATTTTTTTTTTTTTTGTGTGTGTGTATGCACATGAGCACAGGTGCCCGAAGAGTCCAAAAGAAGGCAGCAGATCCCCTGGAGCTGGAGTTACAGGCAGTTGTGAGCCACCTGATGTGGGTGCTGGGAATTGAACTTGGATCATCTGCAAGAGTAGTGTGTATTCTTAGTCTGGGCCCATCTCTCCAGTCCCCCTTTACTATGGACTTAATGCAAATGCTGGCTGGATTTAAATGCAGTCTGATCCCCAGTGTTGGCTCTCTGCAATACTGGATCCTTGTTCTTAAATTTTTGTTACACTTCTTATTGCAGGCATCCCTCCAAGTTAATGCATTTAGCTATTCTTTTCATTACATTCTGTTCTGCTGGTTGATTCTGCTGGCTGCTCTGAAGTACAAATGTTATAAGAATTCTATTGCCACATGGAAATAATTCAGAAAGTAGTCTTTGATATTTTATTTCTTTCTTTTTTGTTTTTCTATGCAATATAACATTATATATATGTGTTTTTAAAAAAGTGTTTTATGTGTATGAGTGTTTTGCCTGTGTGTACCAATGTGTACTACTTGTATGCCTGGTATCTAAAGAGGCCAGAAGGCATCAGATCACCTGGAACTATAGTTACAGATGGCTGTGGAACTAAACTCATGTCCTCTGCAAGGTTAGTAAGTGCTCTTACCTTTGAGCCATCACTCCAGCCCTTTGTCCAATATTTTAAGCCAAAATTAAAATGCTGATGAAGTCAGATAATCCACCCCAAGAGTGAATGTAACAATCATATATAGAAATACATTTAAGAGGTAGATACAGAACAATTGTAGGTAAATTAGTGTACATGGCTACTCTGCCTATGCTGAAAGGGCCCACATACTTAAGCATACATACAAGGACACTCCAGAGAGTGGTGGGAATCTGGGGCAAAAACTACAAGCCAGGATGTCCCTGGGCAAAAAAGGACATATGACCTCACTTATTTGCAACTCCTTTTCCTTGTTGTATATCTACTAGACAAATCAATTTTCTAACACACTCACACAGTGTTTTGTATATTGTAGCAGTTTAATAAGTATTTTGCAGGCTCAGTACCCAGTACAAAATTTTGGCACATTCAGAACTTTGCATTGCATGTCTGTAGATGACTATCTGCAAGTATGGCTCCATTTACAAAAAAAAAAAAAAAAAAAAAAAAAAAAAAAAAAAATCTGGGCTGGAAAGATGGCTCAAAGGTTAAGAGTGCTTCCTGCTCTTACAGTCAATGTGTGCTTAGTTTGAAGCGCCCATATTTATTGCTCACAACCACTTGTAACTCAGGCTTCAGGGGATGCCATACCCTCTTCCGGCCTCACTAAGCACCTGTTGGGGAAACTACACAGATGAGAAATGTGTCCAGAACTCCAAATCAATTTGCATTTAGTTTACTCCACTGGTGGAAAGAGTCTAAGGTCAAAGGGTGTCAGGTGTCAGGAATGGTTTCACAACCGACAGGCTGCTTTGTGCGTTAGCAAAAACACAGTTTGGAAGCAGGACAATTTTCCTGCCAGGTGGACCAGGGATTCACAGACCCTGTAGCTCCACGCCGCTGTGCCCAAACGCCGCCGCTGTGCCCAAGTTTAACCAGTGTAAACTGTCTGTGGGCAGGCCTGTGATCCACAGCTACTTGGCTAGCAACATTGCCTTAGCCCGTTCTGTGGCTGCCTAAAGTGAAACAGGTAGTGTGAGAAGAGTGAGGAAAATTAAAAAGGATGCATTCAAGGCTAGCAATGGAGCAACAGCAAAATGCAGGAAAGCAGTTCTGAGCTATCATCAGACACCTCAAAGAGGGAACGACGCATGGCTATTTGCACGTTAAAGCTCATCTTCTGATCAGGGCAGTTTTAACTCAACAGTTAAGTAAGCAAAAGCCTATTATCGCCAGAGTAGCCTGGTTCACTAGCGCCCTCTGCTGGCCAAAGGTAAGAGAATCATAATCCTATTTTAAATTCCATTTTAAGTGAAACATTGCAATACAGGGAAAACTGCTCATGATATTTGAAAAGAAGAAATAATGTAATTATTCTTCACTTTTACAAGCTGAAATTTCACTGAAGATAACAGAAGACACTTAGAAAATGAAGGTTGGCTGCGTGCTCTTCAAATGTGTGTTCCTGTTCTAGTGGCTTCTCTACCTCTGGGAGCCTGTTAGAAATGAGACTCTTCAAGAGCCACCCCAAATCTCCCACCTCCAAACTCCGCATTTCAGTGAGACCCCCAGGGGTTCCCAAGGGCGTTCATGTTGGAGAAGCTCATCCTAGGTCTTATAGCTCTAAAAATGAGAGAATTTTAAGCTAGGAAAGCATTTCCATTGAGAACATATGAACCTTCTACATTCAGTTCCATCTGAGTGAAAGCAATGGCAACAAAAGAAAAAAACTGTAAGATACTGTGTACATGTCTGGGTGATACTCAGCAGAGGCAGATACATGTTGACATCTACAGGGACACTGGGGGGTAGGGAGCTTAGGCTGGGATGCATGCATGTAGTTTTGGTGGCCAGGTGGAGGGCAGTTGGTAAGTAGTAGGGCCAGGACACTTAGGACAGCAAGTGTTTCCCACTCAGGGAGAGGTGTATGGAATGCCGAGTACTTCCATGTTTTAACCACCTATTGCTGTGCATATAAAAATCAAAGAAGTTGGAGTCCAACCCTATTTACCAAAGTTGCTGATCCCCAGGAATTTAAGTCCAGTGGAAAAGAAATCCGACTCTAAAATTTTTGGTCTTAGCCAGGTGGTAGTGGTGCCTGCCTTTAATCCCAGCACTCAGGAGGCAGAGGCAGGCCGATCTCTGTGAGTTCAAGGCTAGCCTTGTCTAATGAGTTCCAGGACAGGCTCTAAAGCTACAGAGAAACCCTGTGTTGAAAAAAAAAATTTTTTTTCAGTCACTTCACTGTACCCAGTTCAATCAATGCCTTGTGGGCGCAGAGTGCGTGACCTACCTTCAGCATACGTATTTCTCTCAACGCTATTTTCTTAACAACTGGATCATCTTCGGATTCCACAAATTTTTTTATTGCTACCACTTGTCCAGATGACTTGTTTCTGCACTTGAATACAACCCCATAAGACCCTTCCCCAATTTTAGCCAGTTTTTCATACTTTTCCATTTTAGTTAAAGCTACTTAAGTTGGCGTAGTGATTGACTTGAAGTACAGCGATGCACCTAGAAAATAAGAACAGCTCTTATCAATCAAACTATATGGGACACTGTTCTCATAGTTTGTATATGGACAGTTTGCATGGGTTGCCAACGATTTATGTTCACTCTCTAATTTTTGCTTTCTATGTATAGCAGGAGTGCTCGGGGGGTGTTTGCTAGTGCAGATCCCTATTCTTCCAGCTATTGCATCACCTGCAGGGTCATTTCTGATGAGGGCTCTGTGCTGACCACAGTTCAACAACAACAACAACAAAACCAAAAAACCTTTACCCAATCTATTGTTTTTATTGTCCTGGTGGAAGTTATTAAAATGCATGGCTTTAAAGTGCAGTAAAAGGGGATGGGCTTTTATACTCTTGAATATGGAATTTGCCTTCCTAACTAACCCACCAGAAACCCACAGTGAAGGAGAAGAATTTTGCAAAAGGACAGAGTATGAAACTCTATACCTCCACCTGGTGGACAAAAGTAAGTAAATCGTGGTTGCTGAACAATGCAGCTTTTCTTAGGACCCCATGCCCTTAAAATGTTTGGGTTACACTTTATTATCATTAGGATATGGATGGGAGATATGTATGTATGTGATATGAATATGAGATGTGGATGTGTGTGCTATGGATGTGAGGTGTGTGGTGTGTGTGTGTGTGTGTGTGTGTGTGAGAGAGAGAGAGAGAGAGAGAGAGAGAGAGAGAGAGAGAGAAAGAGAGAGGAGAGAGAATCTCATTACTGCTTTCTTCTCTAAAGGGCACAGAATAAAATTCAAACTCTAGCATGATCCCTTACAATCCTTTCTACCCTGCCCTGATTTATTTTTCCTATTCTATTTGATCTCTCAGGTTCCTCTCAAACTACTTCAGCCTCCTCTGCTTATTTCTCGGTCTGGAATGTCTGACCCTTCAGGATCATATTTCAGTCCTCTTCATTTTTCACAGTTCAACTCAAATGTCTCAGTCCCCAAAGTCAGGCTCTTTTCAGAACACACACGATGCTACCAATGCACACCCTACCCCACCCTATTTCACCCCACCCCACCCCACCCCACCCCAGTTTCACATTACTTATCACCCTGGACTTCCATACATACCCCATGCTCTGGCATGCAGTAGGCTTTTAAGTCTTATTATAGTTTCATTGTCTAATCTGTTTCTTCCTTCCTTCCTTTCTTTTTAAAGCAAAACCCACACTATTTGGGACAAGATTAAATGGATGTAGTTATTGGTTGAAAATGTTTTCCATAGTTATCAGTTCTCACTTTCAGCTTGAAATGGTATACCTTTCATGCCAACTTCAGAATTTATAAAGCAACTATTGAGTTAATGGAGTCTGTCTACAAATACAATAATAGGCTGGGGGCCACCAGCGATTGCAAAAGGCCACACCTAGACAGACAGGTAGACGGGTGATGACTGAATTTTTAAACCTTAGAAAGTTTCTATGGAATTTCCTTATTGTAAGGATTTACAGAATAAAGTATGTAGGAGAAAAGAACACTTGGAGGTTCCTTTTTCACGACTAAGTCCCGGGGGATCGAGGAAGCACAAGGAATACACAGGCAAAGTTAGGACAGGGAGAAGTGGTGAGCAGGAAAAAAAAGAGTGGAAAAATGACTCTCCTAATCTACGATGTAACAGAAAACTATTAAAAATAAACCAATCAACCAACTAATGCCTGGCTTTAGGAATATTGAAGGGAAAGGACAGTTTCAATGCTAGGGAAGATCACTTGGGGATGCCACCTGCCCATCGCTTACTGTCACTTGTTTCCAATGAAACCAAACATGCATTTATGTTTAATAAACTTGATGGGGGAAACGGATTCCACAAACTGAGCATTCCGAACTGCCTTACTGAGTTACTGCAATTTAAACGCACACACCTGCGTATAAAGGTGTTCCTGTCAACACAGTTCGTCTTGTTATAACTCCCTGAAACTAGATCACCATGTCATTTACACAATCTGCACCACGCTTCAGGTGTGCACACAAAAGACCTGGGAGTTTGGCAAAAACACTTCAGTTCCAAGCCTCTGAGCCTTCACTTACTGACTTTTCCCTTCGTCCAGGCCACTCGTGGTCTCTAGATGCACTGGTGCATCCGTGCTCTTGGCCATCCCCAGGGCTGGCTCCCCGCCCCCCCCCCCCCCGGGGTGCGCCCACTCCAGGCCTCCGGAGCCCCGCGGACCTCTCTCAGTTATCCCCGTACTAGGAACCTGCACTTACGGCGAGGGTGATGAGGGTGATACAGTGCACAGACGCTGGGCCCCCCCAGCCCCGCAACAGGCTCAGGAACTCCCTAGAGACTCAGCTGCAGCAGTGTTGCCGGGGCAACCAGGACGCGCAGGCCTTGCAGCTTCCGGACAAAGGTTTCCACCCAGAGCTCCCTGCCTGGGTTCCCTGCCAGGCAGCCTTCAGCTAGCTACTCACTCATCACTCTTAGCTCTTTTTTGCTTTGTGCTATTTGGAGTTAGGTTTTGAGGCATCAGCTGTGGCTCATCAACACCATTTGTGCAACTTAGCAACGATGCTCCAGAGTCCAGGGTGGATTAAGAGTAGGGGACAAGGTTGGTTATCCCAAAGGAGAACAAAGTGAGGCAAACATCATTGAATGTGTCATGGAGACAAACACGTTACACCTCAGGAAAGAGAATTTGAGTTGTTACCCATAGAATAAACCGAACATTAAGGCACACACACATAAAACACCTACCATATGCTTCAATTCTGTCATTCGTGTGTGTGTGTGTGTGTGTGTGTGTGTGTGTGTGTGTGTGTGTGTGTACGTGCACCATGGCCTTAGGTGTCTTCCTTGCTTTTCACCTTGAGACAGGGTCTTTGTTTGCTTTTGTGTATGACAAAGTGGCTGGCCTGTGAGTATAGGGAGATTGTCTCTTCCATCTTACCCCAAGAGCATTAGGATTACAAATGGTTGCTCCTGAGCCCAGCTTTAGATGAATTCTGGAGATACAAACTCAGCTCTTTGCATTTTCATGGAAAATGCTCTATTCACTGAGCCCTGTCTCCAGCCATAGGGCCTCTCTATTCAGTCCTGGTTGTCCTCAAACTTGCAATGTACAAAGGCTGGCCTTAAACTCAGGAATTTGCCTGTCTTTGTCACCTCTTTTTTTTTTTTTTTTTTTTTTTTTTTTTTTTTTTTTGAGAGAGAGAGAGGATCTCATGTTTCCCAGGCTAGCTGAAGAAGACACTGACATCCTAAATACTGGGCTGATATGTGCATCTCCTGGTTTCTCCAAGTTACCTATCTATACATACTTCACTGGCCCACCTCTGTCCCCCAGCAATGTGCTGGGGCCTTTTTCCATGTGCTTTAGGCTCCACTGCACTCAATGTCACACTGTTCCTTGAACATGCAGTACTTTTTCATGTCTAAATTATAGCATCTCCCCTACCAGAACAGCCCTGCACACTGAAACTTTCTTTTCCTCTACTTAGGCTGTGTACATAAAAGTTTCTCTTCCCCAAAGCACAATCAAGGTATTGTGTGTGTGTGTGTGTGTTCTTACATATGTGTTACATTTATATAGAGGAGCATGAGAGAAATACTAGAGCACCTTCTCTACACAACCTGGCCTTGAATTTGTGATCTCCCTCTCCACCTGGGATTACAGACATGCTTGACCAAACTCTTTACTTCTGTGTTTTACTTCCATTTTACCAAGCACACTGTCATTTCTCCAAAGCTGGAAACACACCTCAATAGGAGATACCCAACAGGTGTTAGACAACTTTTCAGTGTTTACAGGCTATCCTGCAACGGCCCCACCCAAACCCGTTACTTTTCCTTCAATGATAGAAATGACTAAAACCTTTATTTTTGTGGTTGCTACTGAAACACGACTCAGACACACTCCAAAACATCCACAAACAACTGCCGTTTTCAAAACCAGTAAGGACACAGTTAACAAGAAAGGCATCGTGACTGGGTGTTGGTGGCGAATGCCTTTAGTCCCAGAACTTGGGAGGCAGAGACAGGTGGATCTCTGTGAGTTTGAGGCCAGCCTGGTCTACAGAGCTAGTTCCAGGACAGCCGAGGCTACACAGAGAAACTCTGTCTTGAAAAACAACAACAAAAGGCATCCTGAATGTTAGTGAAGACAAGACTATTTTCAGCATTCATGTGAGTGATCTCTTCTGGTGGGCCTAGGAATTTGCACTTGAAACTGCATCCACATTCAGAAATGTTGACTTAAATGGAATCTGTACCAGCAGTTCTTAATTCATGGGGAATATCAGAATAATGTATACCTCATTAAAACAAAGGTTATTGGGTCTTACTCCTAAAGAGTTTGATTCCAAGAATTTTGGGAAAAGTTTTTGGTTCTGGTTTCTTAAAAACTTGCCCACAGTCTGTTTTTCAGCTAGTGATGTTATTCTCATAAAGGTAGATTAAAGAATTAATGTTGATTATTTATAATGTATTAGGGGAAATAAGTAATGTCCACAATTGCTCTGATTCTGGACACATAAATAAATATTGCTCTGAAATAAATGACCCAAGGTCACTGTAACAGGTTGTGGAGGAACCAACAGAAACAGCATCTCTTGCTCACCCAATCAGGTTCTTCCCACTTCACGTTTCCATTCCTGGCCTTCAGGAGTTCCCCAACACTCCTTTGCTGTCTTATCTCAGGCTATGACATACTACGTTCTGTAAAGGGCCTGACAGCAGATACCTGAGCTTTATAGGCCAGATTGCTCCTCTAAAACCGCTCAGGTTAATTACACAGGTGGTGTTGTATTCTCATAAAACTTTATTGACAAGAACAGGGGGTGGGCTAGATTAGTTAATTGCCAACTCTTACTCTAATCAAAATACTATGAGTGTTTGATTTTCCTGACAAGAATCCAAGATTCTTCAAAAGATGACCTTTTCTCAAATGTGGGAATCTTACATTAAAAATATTAATCAAATAATGATGACTCTTTAGGGGACACTTGGATATTTAAGATTTAAGTGAAATGCAAAGCATTTCTCCTTAAGGCTGTTAAGCCCAGATGAGAAGCAACTACTCCACAGCATGTTAAAAAACATGTTTATTTTACAGTATGTACAATCAGGAACATATTAAAACCATTATCAATTAAAATAAATGAAAAGCATAAATCACAATTTAGTTTGTTCTTAGTGTATACATACTCACATCAAAATATAAAGAACATATACCAAAAACAGCCAGAAGTGTGCATTTTGCTACAACTTGATATCTATCTTAGCGACAAGACAGATACATTCCACTAGAAAAAAAACCAATCAAAAATGATTTTAACCAAACTAAGTTCCTGTGATGTGTAGTAACCATTGTAATGTTTATATGAGGTAGAAACTAAATTATTTTGGCCATGTATTAATACTCTAAATCAAAAGAAATATGAAAGTGACGATAAAATAAGGCCAACAAAAGTAAAAGTTCCATGAGAAATTTGATCTCTTCACTCTGGAATGTTACATTTTTTTCAGTGTGACCATGTGAAATGTCTAGTGTGGACTCTTTAACAGTGTTAGTGTAGTCTTTGTGTACACCGTAACCCAGATGACAACTGCAGTGTTCTATCATGGTACCGCCATTCGGTGATTTCAGTTTTTTTCAGAGGCGTATCCTAAACACAGACAAGCAATCTTACACGATTCTGCTTAAATATAAAAAGATCAGTTACTACAACAGGTGGTTAATCAGTTTGTTTCACATAGAAAATGATCCAAACACACGTTAAAAAAAAGTTGTTGTGGAGCCAAATGCATACTCACGGTGTCACAGCTTTCCCTGTGACTCAGTACATCACAGATCAATACTCTGTGCAAGGAGAAATACCAGTGCACTTGCATTAGAATTAAAAACAAGATTATAAAATGATCAGAGCTCGTTACCATTTTAAAAGTTACAAGATTTATATCCATATTACTAATTACATATAATAAAAATACAATAGTGTTAATGTCTTGTTTCATTGCCAGCATCCCATTTTGTAATATAATCACATCCAAGAATATACTAAGGAATTCTTAAAATATTAACCCCAGTTGCATTTTAATCAACATTTACATCTGTACAGATAAGACACTTTTACATCTCATAAAAGTACATTATCTACATTAATTCTTAGTGTATGTCTTCAACAAATGAAGTTTCACAGAAAAATACTGCTTATATGTACAAAGATTACATAACAATGAATTAAGCACTTGTGTGGTTCAATATGCTAAATATATCATACCACTTAAAACAAAAATTCTCCCATCTGTCTCATGCCACAATAAATTAGAAGGAACTGAAGCCAGGTGCCTACAGCTTCTGTGTAGCTTGCTCCACGCATCCACGAAGGCGGCAGCAGCCGTGGTCACTGTTTCTCCATATCACTGTCAAGAACACCATGTCTTCAGTAGCTGTTTTCATGACCCGCCAAGATGTATAAATTGCTATTTGCTGTTGGGTTATCAGTTGGCCTACTTTCCAAAACCACAACCCTAAAAGTAATAAACACACAACAAAACAAAGTCATTTATTTATGAAAACTAACATCAGCTGAGAAAAACAAAAAAAGCTCACTACCTCTCTGTTAGAAAGCCCTCTAAAGGCTGCCCATTTGACTTATGGGAAGAACCCATTTCCAGGCACTACGATTAAAAGGCCAGTTCCAGCTCTGGGAGGAGGTGTCCACTGCCTGCCTACCTCCAGGTAAGTTCTTCTAGGATGAGGGGTGAAGGGCAAGGGATGAGGAGAAACCAATAACATAGGAATAATTGGGTGGGTGGGGGCTTGATTCTTCCTATTGATCCTAAAACAACCTGCAGTTTAGCATCTGATGGTAATTCAGAATAAAAGTCCAGAATCTTATCTGGCATGAGAGCTAATCAGTTCTGTTTGTTAACATACACTGAGTCACTTTCAACAGTGTGACTGAGTCCCATCAGGCCCATGAGATTCAATAGTTACAACAACAAACAAATAGTGTTGAACATGCAGTGATTTCAATTCTCCTGAAAGAATAAGTAGCTTAATACTGGATCTGGAAAGCATACTGACTACCAGACGTTTCATAAAACCCATCTTCATACCTGTCAGATCCAAGGAGCCTGAAAATTCTTGTATTATCTGAAATTTCTTGTGTTACCTGTTTAGTTAAAAAATAATTTTTTAAAATTCCTCAAGTTAAAGATACAAAATGTCTTAAAAATTCTTCCCTTTGAGTCAGTCTTGCTATGTAGCTCAGGATAGACCTGAACTCCTGATCCCCCTGCATCAGTCTTTTCAGTACTGAGACCATTCATACTCATACACACACACACACACACACACACACACACACACACACACGGCATTTCACCTGACTCCAATATAAAACCTATGATAGTTGACAGGCAACATCATAACTCCCACAGTTTGTAAGATGGAAAAGGTCTCCGCTTCATTATGGGTTATAATTGTGTACTCCCATCAATTTTTTTAGTTAAGGAAAAACTTAATTGTGGAAAATTTGGAATCAATCCAAGAATGTTGGAGAAAGAAAATTACTTGCTAGATCATAGACTCCCAGAGAAACTTTTAATGACAAGCATGAAATTCGTTTTATTCATCCAAAGTGTCCGCCATTTATGTTAACATGAGTGGCAGGGCCACAAGCAGCATCCTGCCACTCAAATCTGGTTTTGTGCCTTGAGTGGTTGCTATGTGGTAAGACAGTAAACATTAAAAAGCCAGCCCAGAGTGTGAGTTTATCAGTTGCGATTTTAGGTGAGATGTGCACTCAACTAGGAACAGTTCTGGTTCCTTCCTGTAGATAGCACAGGAAAGGTCCCTCCTGGAATGCCTTTAAGTCTAACGTGTGGGACTGCTCAAGACTAACAAGTGTATTCCCACTTCTTCTCTGTTCTTTCTGGTGGATGTATCTCCAGTGTGAGCAACTAAATGCTAACCACTCAAGGAATAAAGATTGAGACTATGAAAAAGAAGAGAATTCAATGTTGATGGCTTATAGAACACAAACTAATCCAAATTGTGCCTCTAGTAACAAACCTTTCACAGTGTTAGAGGCTGAACCTTAAATATTCCATTTGACATTGAAATGAAATTTACTCTTCCCAAACCCCACAATGAGTCGTTCTAGAAACACCGGTGTCTCTTCACCTCTGGTGTGACACAGCTCTGCTGAGAGAAGCCCTTCACGTCTGCAATGTTGACTGGGGCCTGTGACTGCCAGGGAAGCAGGGCTTTACCTGTTAGAAGGATGTGACTGTCTTTTGGGAGAATCTCACTATGCAGTTTTAAAAAGGCCTCCATGTACCTTGGACAAACTTTCTTCCTGCCCCCAAACCTCCTTTTCTATTCCAAACTGCTCAAGTGATGAGATTGGCATGGGGATCCCCAGGAAGTTTTGGATGGCTTTACCTGCCTATAACATTGTAAGGGCAACCATTCCTCCTGCTCATGCTAACCAGCACTGCCAGCAGAAAGGCTGAGCTGCATCAAGTATGTCACATGTCTGAGAGTGACTTCTGCACAGTAGGAAGCGCTCATGCTAAGGGGTCACCACGGCTGAAGACAGGCAGGCCTGAGCTTCCTGGACCTGGGGGTGTGAAGGAGTCCGCTGACTCTGGTCAGCAGGGTCAGAGGTTCTTGTTTTGAGGCTGAGGGTGGTTAACGGAAGCACAAGAAGGATGGACTGCAGCTGTTCGGCTAATGGAGTGGACGGCCTTAGAGTGCTGATCTCACCACTGGACTGATCCCAGCAAGCATAAATAAATACAGCCATTGCCGGGATCACTTTAGAACTTCACAGTGTTGAAAGAATTGCTTGAAACATGTTGTGTCATCTACTTAATTTCCTTTTTAAAGGACTCACAGCCAGGCATTATGTGGAGAGAGTCCAAAATGGGGGTCTCCATTGGGTCCCTCTCCTCAGAGATTGGGGAACTTCTTAGAAGAGAGGGAGGAAAGACTGTAGGAGTCAGGAAGGGATGGAGGACACCTGACCATGGAACACAGAATCAACTAAGCAGGGCTCACATGGGCTGAAAGGCAAGCACGGGGCCTGCAAGGGTCTGCCCCAGGCCCTCTGTATATGTTCAGGCTATTAGTTGGTGTCTTTGTGGGACTCCTAGCAGTGGAAGTGGGTATACCTCTGACTCTTCCTCCATTGGGTTGCCTTGTCCAGCCTTGATTTGAGGGTATGTGCCTAGTCTTAACTGTATCTTTCTTTGTCCTGTTTGGCTGTCAACTTTTGGAGGCCTTTCTGAAAAAGAAATGGAGGGGAGTGGATCTGGGGAAGAGGGGAGCCGGAAGAGACAGGAGGAGAAGTGGAGGGAGGGGACTCTGCAGTGGGATGTACTGTAGAGAGCTAAAATGATTCTTTGGCTTTATTCCTTATGATTATTTAATGAACATTACACTTCAATAAAGATGGCTTACCTCATTAGATCTAAAACTTCTACCTTGCATCCCGTGTTTCCAGAAAGCAAGCACACTGTCTTGTAGACAAACTAGAAGAACAACAACTCAGTCACTGGTTATAGTTCCACAGTTCATCTATAAGCATCCCTTCATGCCTGCCTATCCTGCACAAGCCCACTGCTAATCTCGGTACTGCACAGAGATGGCATCTTTACCTCTGGGATTTAAAACATTTAATAAACATGGTGCATTCACCTTTTTGGTATGAAAAAACTTACTGAAAATGTGCAGCAGGCATTTGTTTTGATAAAGTAATTAAAAAATAAAATATATGAACACACAGAAAAGTACAGACAACAGTAAAGAAGTCATCTATATTTCTTCCCAATTACCAAATCTAAATATTTTATCACATTTGCCTTTGCTTCAAAAAAGACAAACACACCTAGATCCCTCAACCCAACCCAGATCTCATCTGGCGGGCCCTCCTCTCTTGGACAGCGCTGTAATCAATTGTGTTTATCACTCTCAGACATGTTTATATTTATTAGTTCCACACTGTCATGGTAACTTTATGTTGATGTTTCCACTGTCATCCATTTGTTATGATGAACAATTATTTCTACTTTTCCTTATTATAAACGGTGGCACAACAGTCATTCCTGTGCCTGCACAATATTTTCTGAGGCATGGCATTAAAAGCAGACACAGTGGAACACAGGCCATAGACATAAATGAGGCAAATTTCAGTTTTACATGTTTATATCTTTCTTTCACTTCCATGTTTACATCTTTGATAAAGTGTAACTGTGAGGAAGAAATCGGATTTGTTTCCTGTAGAAAACTAATGGCGCTGGCATCATTTCCCCACTGACACACAACACTCTTATGTTTCCACTGACATGTGGGCCTGCTCTGGCCCTTCTCTCTGTCCCACTCTTCCTTCTGTTTATACCTGTGCTGACAAACAAACTTTTTGCTCTTGGCCTTACCCTTTCTCAATGTATGTACACACACAAAAAAACTATTTTATTGGAAAACAAAACGCCCAGCCCAAACCTCAGTACATTAAACACTAATCATTCTTTTCTTCAACACCACACTTCATGGTCATTTTTCTTTTATTTTCTTTTTCTCAGCACTTTAAAATACTGACACTGCCAGAAAGCCCTTCCAGAAAATACAACCAATCATGAGAAAATGGCAAGAATTTTTTTTTTCTTGCTAGGTTTCTAAGGCTAGAGTGGAACTTGCTATGGAGTCCAGGCTGGCCATGACCTCAAAATCTTCCTATCTCAGCCTCTTGAGTTCTGGGGAATACATGGATACATCTCTACTTTCAGCTGAAGGAACTCATATACCAAAAACTCTCAGCGCAGGCAACAATGGCAGAAGCACAACAGGACGCACTGAGTGTCAACTTTGAAAGCACTTATAGGGAATCCATAGGATTCTGGAGGAAATGTAAACTCATAAACATGCTGTAAGAAATACCATTTAACTGTCTTCTGTGAATGCCACATCTGTGAGGAAGGAAACATTTACAGCGTATGTGATTACTGCACAGACTTAGAGAATGTAAACAAAAGAAGCCCTTTAGTGACCTCATACTATTATATCCAAATGAAAAGGGCCCTAACAATACACATTTGCAATGTCAGTAACTACCAGATAGATAATTTTAAACAGTTCACAATGCAAAGAAATACAAAGCAGCGACTCACCTATGGATTCTATCTGGAAATCGAAGGTGAGTTCTGATGATAATTTCCTGCTGGATTTTAATCTTCCTTGGAGATTCACTATTTTTATGCAACCTAGAGAAAAACAGAAGTCACTCAATCAATAGTGTGAGCAGAGGAATGTTACCCGAGAAGATGCAAATGGAAACTTACAATCCAAGCACACAAGGATGGTGTCTCTCTCCAGCTGGGTTACATGGGTGACGTTTGTCTGTGGGGTATCTACAACACAAATACAGCCGGATAAAGTTATGGAAAACTACAAAATTTACAATGGTCTTCTTAAACAAAATAAGAGTTGCGAATGTTGCATTTTGAATGGATGGACAACTCTTGCAGGTCATGTACAATGGCTGCACTGGGCCACTTGTGTTCTGATGGTGATGTGGACAATGGACTCAGCAGAGCTGGCTCCTGTCAGTTCAACCGATAATGAGGGTGCCATTTATATTTACATTTGAAGCAAAGAGTCTCATCTTGTAAATTATGGTTCTGGCCAATTTCTGATTTTAAACTCAGAAGATCCGCACTGTGCTTTGAACATCACCAGATGCAATCACCTAGCTCATGTGACCAGTGAATTGAAGAGTTAAACAAATTCCTTTTTAAGTATAAATAAGCTAAAATACTGACGCTTTTGTCAGGAGCTCTGAACATGTCTGTGGGGTGTCTAGATGGTTGTGTGTGTTTTGTGCTTGCCTGTGCTCTGTGTGTAGGCTAGAGGTCAACACTGGGTATCTTCTACAATTCTATTCTTTTGAGACAGGGCCTCTCATTGAACTTCGAACTTGATGTTTCAGCTTAACTGGATGCTCAACAAGTCTCTGGGGTCCTCCTGACTGTCCCCTAGCACTAGGTTACAGATACACAACACATGGTGCCAGGAATCCAAACTCAGTTCCTCTTGCTTGCACGGAAGCCCTGCATCCAATAAACCTTCTCCCAGGCCCCAGATAATCTTTAGGAAACACTGATGCCAGAACAATACTCTCAAGATTTCCCGAGAAACTATAGTGTGAGAGACGGGCAATATACGTTAAAAACACAAACCATTCCCTTTATTTTACCTCATAAACTCTGAGGGATATTTTCTGTATTTATGGGAATCCTTAAGTTTTCTAGGAAGGGAGCTATTTTAAAGTCTTCTGTCAGGAAATGAGGCCTTTTATTTAACAATTAGAGTATATTTAAAATTAAAACACTTTAAAGAACTAAGGCATTATTGAAACTGGCAGCAAAATATTTCTCATCCAGCAATCTTTTCCTGTTAATTAAGGAAAAAATAGGAAAGCAGGTCTGTCCCAGCTGTCTCACAGTAGATAGTGAATAACAGATCATTTAACAGACTTTGGGAGAACCAAAGAGAAACCTTATAATATTTAAAGGGCTATATTGTATACCTCTTCCTTCCACAAGTCTCTGTAAAGACACCTGTTTTGAGTTCAGTGTGCTGTTTAACACCTTGGGCTTCATGTGTTGTGAATGCATTTAGCATCTTTTATCCCTGACCTCAGCGTAAAAGTTCCTCAGTTTGTGTGTATGTCTGTGTCTTTTGTCCACTCTTCCCTTTTCTCTTCTCAACCCCCATCCCTATCCAATTCTCTGACAGGTTGTCACTGTTAGCCCCGACTGGCTTGGAATCTGTGTAGCTTGGGCTGGCCTTAAACTTCCAACAATCTTTCTGTCTCAGCCTCTTGAATGCTAAGATTACAGGCGTGAACGGCTAGGCCCTCTGCTTACTCTTCTTTTTATTAACAATCTTCTAGATTTCCAGCAAACTCCTGCCTAACAATATTTACTAGAAAACTGCTTCTTTCACATCTCCCTTCTCAGGTGTCTATTCTCTAGTGCATAGCAGAACACTCCGTAATGGTATGTGTGTGTTGCTGTTGCTTTGGGGAGAGGGTCTCATGTAGTCGAGGCTGGCCTTGAACTCACTATGTAGCTGAGATTGGTCTCGAACTCCTGATCTTCCTGCCTCCACCTCCGAAGTGCTGGGATTACAGGTGTGTGCCACCACACTTGACTCTACAGTATTTTTAAAGAGAAAAAAGTAAAAGGGGCTTTCACCATCAATAGGTTGTTTAAAAATTAAAGATAAGACATTTAAAGGTTATGTTTTTTAAATGTGAGAGTTCAATCTGGTTTATTTACCACAAAACTAATGTTGTATGTCTTTTATTTTGCTACAGTACAACATGAATTTCAAACTATAATCAAATGTCTACAAAAGGACTACTCAGACCTAATATTGCTAAGGTAATTAGGGTAAATTACCATAAAGGAAGTACTAGTTCAGCAACTTGGCAATATATATTTAATATTTGAAAAAAATAAATTATATTGGAATTATTTTCAAATAGCCTCACAAATACTTCAGAAATATTAACTTACACATGTATCTGAACTTTAAATCAGTTAAGTTTCAATAAAGATACTGAGTATGAGAATACCAATGATAGGAGACATCTGTTCTCCAGGTAATGGAGCTTTCTTTCCTAGGCACTGAGCTTTGTGTACATGAGTTTAAAGAAAATTACTTTATTATTTATGTGATATGAGTATCTTGCCTGCATGTCTCTCTGTGAACCACTTCCCTGCCTGGTTCCTAAGGAGGCCAGAAGAACCCTGGAACTGGAGTTACAGACAGATATGAATGAGCTGCTATGTGGATATTTGCTGGCAATAGAACCTGGGTCCTCTGGAAGAGCAGGCAGTGCTCTTAACCACTGAGCCATCTCTCCAACCCCGACACTATGCTCTTAAGGCGTGGTCTCCTTTAACACTACCAGCACTGACTGTGACTTACAAAGGAAACACTGGAGTGGGCCCAGGAGTACTGATGAAGCTCACATTTGGGAAGCACTGGTCTTCACTAACAACTACCCAGTGATCACCTTTACTGACATCTTTACTAGTGATGCAGTGTGACTAACAAGGTAAAAGTTATATTTAAATACTTGAATATATAAATGTTATCTACATTTTTAAAAATATTTGTTCTGAGACAAAGTCCTTGTCTCTGATTCAGCCTCCTAAGCACTGGAACTCTCAGTATGCACTTCCACGCCTGGCCTCTGGCAGCTTTAAATGGTTCCTTCATTAAATACCTGAAAGACTCGATCTTTATGTGAATACATAGCACCAAACAACTGAATTCTGTAAAACTCTAAAACTTAAGCATGGAAAGAGATGGAAAGCACTATCAAAATATTAAGAATTATTTGCTCATGTATAAACTGTTACTTGGTTTTTGAGAAACACAATTCAGTTGGGAATATTAACACAGCCTTTTCAAAGTAAAAATATTAGAGAAGTATGTGATTTCTATATTTTTGAGGAGAGAGAGAGAATGCTTGAGATCAGACACTAGGCTTTGTATGTGCACTTTTAAGATTTTAGTTTTAATTTGCATATGTGTAGGGATTTGTAGATATGAGTGCAGGTTCCCTTGGAGGTCAGAAGATCCCTAGAGCTGGAGTTACAAGTAGATGTGAGCTGTCTGTCAGGAGTGCTAGGAAATGGACTTGGGTCTCCTGCAAGGACAGTATGTGCTCGTCACTTCCATGCCTTCTCTACAGCCCTTGCAACACCAGGCTTTGTGTGTACTGTGCATTAAATATGCCCTCTGCTACCCTGCCACACCAGCAGCCTACAGAAGTGACCAGAACTTATTTGTGGCCTTCAAAGCTGTCTGAAGTGCATGGCTTTAAGTAATGTATTCCTTAAATTCAGAAGAGCACGCTGGTATCTACCTCACTTTAAGTTTAAGACATGGGTGTTGCTATGAAAAACACTTATCAAATATATACGGTTATGGTTTTGATCTGAAATGTCTTCAACAGGCTCACATCTTAAACCTTTCATTTTTTTTATTTTTAGAATTTACTTGTGTGTGTGCATGTGAGTTAGTTACAGTGTGATGTGGAGAAGAGAACAACTTGCAGGAGTCAATGTTCTGATATGTGGGTCCCTTGGATAGAACTCTGGTCATCACATTTGGCAGCAAGCATCTTTACCTGCTGAGTCTTTTAGCTGGCCCCTCATGTTTTATGTTTGCTCTCGATTGGTTGGTAGTGCTATTTTGAGAAGCTGTGGAATCCTTAGTAAGGAGGGGACTCACTGCCAGAAGTTCACCAACAGGGACAGGGATTTCAAGGTAATAGCTTGTCTCCTACTTAATGTCTTGTTCTCTGTTTCCTGGCTGGTCATGATCTGAACGGGCTTATCACATACTCCCACTGCTATGAACTGCTCTGCTCCAACAGGCTTCCCTGCTAATGTGGCTCAAGCATTTTGAAGCCATGAGCCAAAATAAATCTTTCTTAAGTTGTTCCTAGTATGTATTTTGGCCACAATAATGTATAAATAATCATGACACATAACAGATTCACAAACCAAACTCATTTCCCACACTGTATGAACTTTCTTTGCTTTTCTTTTTCATTTCCTTTTTTTTTTTTTTTCCTTGAGACAGGGTTTCTCTGTAGCTTTGGAGCCTGTTCTGGAACTCAATCTGTAGACCAGGTTGGTCTCAAACTCACAGAGATCCACCTGCCTCTGCCTCCCAAGTGCTGGGGTTAAAGGCATGCGTCACCAATGCCCAGTGCTGCATTTTCTGACCATGTTTTTCAGTCAACTTGTTTTAAATATGTTGAACACACTAACTATACTGTAGAACATGCCATCTTCTCCTTCCAGTTTAGTAATACAGTTACTTAAGACTGGTTTTTAATGCAGTTTCTGCTTGCTGGGAAATATAGAACACTCATTGCCTTTAAAACAACTACATGCAGTGGCTTTAGTAATTACAAAGCGATCACAAACCTGATTCTGTAAACCACGACGAGGTAGAATTTGGATTGACAGTCTCAAATTGAACCACTTGGTTGAAGTCTCGCCCTCTGCTGACCCCAACACAAACCAGAGGATACTCCTGCTCAGGGACCACCAACATCTCAAACATCCGGAGTGGACACGGCATCGGAAAGTCTATGTGCTAGAGAGAGACACAAACACATTGAGCAGTGGGACCAAGTCACAGACAGCATCCAGTGGCAGCAGTGAGAGACCTGAGTCTCCCAGATGCAGAAGGGCTTTCTGTCCCCAAGACTGCTTCTTGCTCCAGCGACCCAGAGAGTGAAGATAAATCTGAAGTACGAGCTATCTTTATCAATGTCAAGTTGAAATCACACAATTTTTGGATATGAACATGACGGGAATCTCTCTAACCATCTCTCGAGAGCAAGGAAGTGAAGTTCAGGAGCTCAGTGGTTAGTCCTGAGTCACCCAGCTAAGTTCTCAAACTGTACTCATCTGCTTTTCTTATCAGATGAGAAAACATGGAGGGAAGGCAAGAAATATCACCCACACATGAAACCTAGCCTCCCATCTCAACTGATTTCATCAATACATTAACTTTAATACAATGCCACTCTTTAACGTTATATAACATTAAAATTATTTTTATATTGCTATAAAGAAAATAAATGTTCCCAGTTTGGGTATCTGAAAATAAAAAAACACTAACTTCATTAATAATCAGTGACAAAACAACAAAATATGACTACATCCACCAGAATGGCTGAAATAAAAAGTGACAAGTGAGAGAGCCAAGTGAAGGGTGCTGGTGACAGACACGGGGACAGCCACACTGGCTAAATACACTATCTACTACTGTTGAACACTTGCATTTATGACTCAATAAATACTCCGAGGGAATCAAGAGAAAAAGACCAAGCATTCACAAGAGACTACGCCAAAGTGTTCATGGCAGACTGTTTAGAAGAGCTACGAAACATCCAACATCCTGGCCGTCAGCAACATCGAGGGCAGGACACCGAGGCAGAAGCAGGTATCAGATGGTTGTGAACTACTATACTGATGCTGGGAACTGAAAATGCATCCTCTGGAAGAATAACCACTGCTCTTAACCACTGATTCATCTCTCCAAACCTAAACCCGTCTCATTTGTAAAATATCAGTTTTTAATGATGTGTATGTATGTGTCTACAGGTGCCTGAGGAGGCAGAGGAGTTGGAACCCAAGGAGCTAGAGTTACAGGAAGTGGTAGCCACCGATGTGGGCTTTGGGAAATTAACTCAGGGCTTCTCTAAGAGCAGAATGTGCTCCTACTGCCTCTGTTCGGACCCGCCTTCCATGTTTATCATCAGATGTGGTTAAGACTACTAAAGTAGGAAGAAAATAATATTTCTGGATCTTTTCTCTTTCTGAGCTCATGAAATACAACCACACAAGAGCCAAAAAAACAACTAGAAAACGTCACTTGGCATCTACTTGGTGAAACTGCTGTCCTTTATACTTAAAAAAAGATTTTTTTGTTTGTTTGTTTGTTTTTTATGACCGGGTATCATTACCCTACACCAGCCTTGAACTCCTGGCCCTCTTGCCTCCATCTTCTAAGTGCTAGGATTACAGGCATCACCATCACATCTAGATCCTTCTTGAAAATATGTCGAAAATGAATTATAATGGAAGATCCTACAGAAACAATTCTCTTGAGGTCATGCTATACCCTAAGCAACCTCTCTGGTTTCTTGTAGAACTTTCGAGTATCCAATGATGTAGCTTTTACAATCCTCCACACAATTAAAATCATCACATTGAGAATTAGCTGAAAAGTTTTCTCTTAAAGAACAGAAAAGCTAACAAAGAACTTATACTAAGGATGCCAGGAATACTTACCTTAATTAACATAAATTTCTGCATTGGTTCAACCCATTCTAATAGAACAATGCTAGTCTGAAGTGCCCCACACAGGTATTTATGGCCCGTGTAAGGATTTCTTACTGAAAAGGCAAAAAAGTAAACATCAGTTTTCTGAGTATATAAAATTCTTACAGTACTACTTACATGCCCCCCTCCTCCCCCTTAAAAAAGATTAACAAAAGCTCAAAAGCAGGCTGCTTGTTTGTTTTTAATTACACTGAAGGGGGTACTGTTTCAGGAGATGGCAAGGTGCCCCAGCACTCGAAGGATTTCTGTTTATATCCGCACGTAGGACTGCTGACCATGATCAGCTGTCACGTCAACAGTGGCAGTGTAGTTAGCTGAGGCTGCACCATACTGAAGAAAGGGTCAATGTGAATTTGGGGAGAAGTTATTAAATGATAGGATATTCAAATTCAGGTGGTTCACAGGGTGCTTTTGACAATAAGGTACAAAGGCTAAAATGCTTAGGTTCTAAAAAATGAATTGTTTACTTAGCTCCTTTCTTATTACACCCCTTCTATGGTCACTAGAAAACATTTTTGGAGGCACTAATCACACTTTATAACACAAGCTTACAAATAATAAAACAGAATTGCCTTGGGTTTTTGAGCTTTTCTTACATTTAAGATATCGTTGAATACATGGAAATAAGGGGTTTTATGAAAACTGTATAAAGGACAATATCCACTAACTTCACATGGGTTTGAAACAGTTAAAAGGCAGAGGCACCAAGGGGCAATATTACCCAGCTAAAGCCAATAGAAAAACCCAGACGAGAAATCACGGACAAGAAAAACCTGGTCTCTTTCCTCACATAGAGTCAAGTCAGCGAGTGGCTGGGTTAGCTGCTACTGATCAGAGGAAACAAGTCCACACAGCCCTGTCACCAGCTCTCCTCAGCAACTGCTCTTATTTCTGCTCAGCCTCTGGACATGAGGCCTCAGCCCTTATGTCTTCCCCATCTTGTCTCTCTGCACTGCTCCTGTTGAGCTCAGTTTGTCCTCATTAGTGTATAGTAATAGAGTTCACGTTCAAATTAGTCCTCACATACCCAATCATCTGTTCACAAGAATTCACCCATATCTGTATAACCTGAATCCAGGTAAGATGAGTATTCAGCACTTAGCACTTAAGTGATGGGATTCATTTCCCCTCTTATTTGTCACTCCATTCAAAATGTCCTCTCCAGCTACTGGCAGTTAATTCTTCTGAGGCCCAGCCCAGATGCCTTTCTCAGCTGGCCTGTGTTTAGCAGTCTCTCCACACACCCGGTAGTGTAATGAGAGAGTGCTCAATTCCCTCTTATAATAATAGTAACTCAAGGGAAGGAAACCATTTGGTTTTTGTTGTTGTTGTTGTTATAAGGGTGGCAGAGCAATTCAGTCCAGAAGTGTGTGCACAGGGGAACTACAAACTTCTTATCATGAGCACATGGTTCACAAGTACAGCCATGACAGTACACCCTGAGTGAACAAAAGCAGCTGCATGAACCCCCTGTAAGCGGAGGAGTAAATGGTAAGTAACCATCCACAGGGAACATGGCATGCTTATTTTCAGTAACAAATGTCACCCTACCATCTATAACAACACTCATCAAAATATTTGCTAAGCATCTGCTATGTGGAGGGTGCTGCATTTGTCTTAGTCTACACAGGCACAGAAAGGTCAAGAACTCAGCTTTACTTTAGGGCTGAGGGCAGGTAAGCTATGCCCTATAGCATGTGAGCCTCACAGGGTTCCCTTATGCCCTGCAAAGCAGGAGTCTACTTACCCACACAGCACTTCTGACACCACTTGGTTTCAGGGATTTTTGCTGATACAGCAAATTTCCTAAATTTGGATGGAGAATAATATGTGATTCAGACAGGCAAAATGTACATTGCAAAGACACTGTTGCATATTAGTGGAGAAAGCAAGAGCTAAACATTAATTCTCACCAGAAGTAAAGGAAGGCTGGCAAAACAGGTCAGTGGGTAAAGAAAAGTCTTTGCTACCAAGCCTGATAAATGGAGTTTGATCCCTGGAACCCTAATAATGGAGGGTTGTCATTTAATCTTCTCATGCACACCTTGGTACACACACACAAAATAAATGTAAAAGGTTAAAATATAATGGATCCCTTTCTCAACCCCTCCCATTAATTCCAAAGGGATTACATTTTTAAGTTAAACCAAAACAAAACCATGGAATATTTTGAATACATAATAATATGACCTTAGAGCTTTTTCAAAATGTAGAACCAATAGACTGCATACAATACACACATAAGTGTTCCAGTCTTCATTGACGCATCACTAGTCCCTCAAAATACAGCTGACATACAATGGGCTACATTAGAAGCTCTGGTTTATCAGAAAGTACCAGGGACAAAAAACGAAGAGAAGCCAAAAACCAGGAAAAGGTATTTTCAGCACATATAACGAATTAAGTTATGTAAAAGCTGTCTTACTGGCTAATGGCTCAGCAATTAAGAGCATGTACTGCTCTTCCAGAGGACCCAAGTTCTAATCCCAACACCCACGGCAGGTGGTTCACAACTGCCTACAACTCTACTCCAGGGGATCTGACACCCTCTTCTGTCCTAAGCAGGTTCTTGCACTTAGGTGCATGTACACACACACACACACACACACACACACACACACACACACACACACACACACACACCCCAAAGGAAAAAAACAGAAGCCTTTAAAAGACATTTGTCCGCACTGCAAGAAGCTAACAACAGATCTTCAAGGTCCCTGAAGGCTAAGGGTCCTCAGCATTGGCTTTACAATGAATCTTGCAAAGGAGGACTGGCTATATTACAGTTTACTTAAAAGACCATTCAAATCAACAAATGAAGACCACTATTACAATAAAAACCAGAGCTCTGCATGATTAAAAAGGTAGAAAGTACAAAAACAAACTCTTCACCTCCAATTATCTCCAAATGCAAAAAATATTAATTCAATAAATCATTTTGATTTTCCAGGCTTAGAAATTGTACTTTGAAAAAAAACTCACTTTATGTAAGTTAACACAAACATGTTAAGAGCAAAGGTAGTATACATCATATATGATTCCCTGAAAAATTATTTTTTATTTTTGCCGAAAAGACAGAAACAAAAATTCAGGGAGAAAATGTATAATTAGAAAGCAACAATTTTAGAACAAAAAATATGATAAATAAGTTCTTGTGAAAATACATTACAACATGATTTTATAATTAAAAATTTCTATTAATCCAATCCTTCGCCTTCTACAGAATAAGCATATGATCTCTAAGGATAGAAAAACAACTCACATACCATCTTACCCCTGCCAGAATGGCTAAAATTAGAAACACCAGTGATGACTTATGTTGGAGAGGATGTGAAGAAAGTGGAACACTCCTCCACTGCTGGTGGGAGTGCAAACTCATACAGCCATTTTGGAGATCAGTATGGCGGTTCCTCAGGAAAATGGGAATTAGTTTACCACAGGACCCGGCAATCCCCCTCTTAGGCATATACCCAAAGGATTCACATCAATGCAACAAAGACATCTGTTCAACTATATTCATAGCAGCACTATTTGTAATAGCAAGAACCTGGAAGCAACCTAGATGCCCTTCAATTGAAGAATGGTTAATGAAGATGTGGCACATCTACACAATGGAATACTACTCTGCAGAAAAAAATAATGGTATCTTGAAATTCGCAGGCAAGTGGATGGCACTTGAAGAAACCATCCTGAATGAGGTAACCCAGTCACAAAAAGAGAAACACAGTATGTACTCACTCATATATGGATTTTAGAACTAGATCAAATGATCACCAGCCTATAATTCACATCACCAGAGAAACTAGGATACAAGTTGTATTCTAAGAGATTCATATAAAGTCCCTCACAGAACTGGGCAGGGACAAGTCCCCCAGACCTCAGGTAAAGTGGGGGAGGACAGCTAATGGAGAGAGAAGTAGGAGAAAATGAGAGGGAGGAGAGGAAGGCATGTGCGACCAGGAGGATTGAGCCTGGTTAGGAATGGAAAATAGGAAAGAGAGAGAGAGAGAGAGACAGAGACAGAGAGAGAGAACATAAAAGAGGGAGCCAATATTGGTTTGAAGATAAAGTTGAACACAAAGAAAGGTCGAGGGAACTACAAGACTGACTGCTCCCAACTAACAATCTCAGCTTCTGTGGAAAGGCTATCATAAATGCCCTTCCCGGAGAGTGAGATCAACAACTAACTTCTCCATGGAGTCCTCAACTAATGCCTGTTGAAAACAGGAGCAAACACCCATACATAAACACTGAGTCGAACTAGAACCCAGAAGCAGATGGAGAGGACAAGACCATGCGGTAGAAGTACATAGAGACAGTTTACCTGAACAAGGAGGAGCTAAGGGCCACTAGACTGATAGCTGGGAAGCCAACAGGGGACTGACTCGGACCCCCCTGAATATGGGTCTCAGCCAGAAGGTCTGAGCAGTCTAAGAGACCTCAGACAGTGGAGCCAGGATGTATCCCTGGTGCACAAAAGGACTTTGCAAACATATCCCCCATGGAGGGATAACTGCCTTATTCTAGAGATAGGAGAGAAGCCCTAGTTCCTACTTCACAGGACCTGTCAGATCTACATGACCCCAACTGGATGGCATTCCCCTACATATGGTATTGTGGTGGGGGGTTGGGAGGGGAGGGTGTTTATAGTGCATGGGAGAGGGCAGAGAGGGCAAAAGGGAGGGAGGTCTGGAGGGGAGGGAGGGAAAGGGAACTGGGATCGACATGTAAAATAATAAATTAAAAAAAAAAAAAAAAACGCTTTGACTCCAAAATTAAAGTTGAAGAACAAGTTACTGGGGAAAAGTATTTCTATTTTTGTTTCCACAGAAAATGAAAAGATGTGGATTCCTTCCAGACTAATGTGGTTTGATCACACCAGACTGCCTGAAACAGAGTACAAGCTGATCCTACATTCCAAACAGCTGGACAAAACAGCCCTACAGACTACAGCTAGGATATCTGAATCTTCTTCGAATCCAAGACAGCGCCCCTTACCAGCAGGAAGTAGTTTGGAAAGAACGACGCCCAAATTCTCAAATATTGTGTATAAATGTTTGTTTTCATTTAATTGGACTTTGTTATATAAAATTAAATAAAAAAAAAAAAAAAAAAAAGAAAGAAAGAAACACAACTCACCTTGGCAGTATTCTATCGGGGAGCTTGTGTGCTGGAATTGCTACAGGTAACTTTTGCATCTGTCTTGCATAATCAAAAAGCCCTGGTAAATTATGGGAATAAAGCTGAGAAGCTTTACCTGGGAAGAAATAAGCACCATGTAAGAGTGAACCAATAACGAGCAACAAGGATTGCTAAAATACATAAAGGCTGGACTTACCAGATATTGATAGTAAGCAATTGTTCATCACGTATAACCATGTACACCTTCGGGGGAACAGCTGACAAGCAACATACAAAGTTTATAGAGGTTACACATAATAGCCATGCAATATGTACATAGTACTATGCAAGCTGAATGTCAAGAGACCAGTTCTTTAGTATTTAAAATGCATACTTGCAACTACATCAAAGGAAGCAAATCTAAGATTGAACACAGCATGATTAACTCGTCACCCTGTAATGAGGGACTATGTAACTCATTATGTAAAAACATTTTAAATAACATCTATTCCTTTCTTTTAGTCCTGGGTTAAATGGCTAAGTCTCTCCTGTGAATTACTCTTAAAGTATATTATGAAATACATGTGCATGCATAATATAGAAAGAAAAGGGAACACAATGTAGAACATGAGACAGGCTGCAAGGGACCATGATGAAAACTTGCAAACTACAAAGGTTGGGGTAAGTGGAAGTTGAGAGAAAATATGAGAATCTGCACACACAGTGTGAGAGAACTGGGGAACAGCTCAGGAAGCCTGGTGATATTGGGGCAATATACTTTAAAGGCAGATAATGGCTGGTCTCACAGAGACTTTTCATCAGCACACATGAGAGGGATGCAGTGGCTGCTGAACCAACAGCATCAGCATCACCTTGGCCTCTGTCAGACATGCTAGTTCTCAGACCTCGTTCACACACCTACCAAAGCAGTTCTGAAGTGGGCCCAACGCTCAGTACCCATCAGACCTGCTGGCAACTGTGATGGCCACTTATGTATGTAATTAGGTATCCTGATTTAACAAGCTTGTTGGCTGGGCTTGCTCTGGCAATTCCTACGGGTCTTTCCAAAATGGAAATAGGGAGAATGGAGAGATAATGAAATACATCAAGGTACTAAGTACATTACTATATTAAATCACCAAGTCATAATAAAATGTAATAGCAGAAAGGAGACACAAAGTAAAATGATTATTTTACTTGGGAAGTACATTCATGAAATACTTTCTAGACAAACATTAAAAAAATATGGAACATGTACTTATAGCTAACTATGTTTTCTTTTCTTTCTTTCTTTCTTTCTTTCTTTTCTTTTTTCTTTTTTTTTTTTTTTTTTTTTTGAGACAGGGTTTCTCTGTATTGTTTTGGAGCGTATCCTGGAACTCGTTCTGTAGACCAAGCTGGACTTGAACTCATAGAGATCCACCTGTCTCTGCCTCCAGAGTGCTGGGATTATTAAAGGCGTAAAGGCATGTACCACCAACACCCGGCATTAACTATGTCTTAAATCCCAATTTCAACACATATTTTTCTACTTTATGCTTTTCACTAAGACATTGTAACCAAAATGGGAGTTTACTGGCCACACTGAGAACAAGAGGCAAAGGAAGGGCAATGACTTATTCTAGAATACACAGCACTGAACTTGCCTTGGCAGCAGGAAGCTGACTTTAATCAGTGTTGACCTCTGGAAATTTTTACACAAATGCATACTTTGAAGTCCTTCCTAAGTGCCAAACCTAGGACAATGTTTCCTATCTACTAATATAGTCATATAGAAAGTGCCAGGACAAAACATAAATGCCTTTCAATTTTTCAGCAGGGCGTAATGGACTGGGATTTATGCCTAATGTTGGATTTCACCACCTAAATACAAACAAACAAACTAAAGATTTCCCAGATAATCAATGCTCCCTTCAGTCAGTGAGTAAGGCTCCAGGCAAAACAATCAGTTTCATGAGAGAACGTAACGGTCAAGAAGGGATGGTTCGATATTTTCCTAGATTCATACTTTCTTGATGACTATGTGACTTCAGTAAACTTATTTAGTCTTTGTATTCTTATGTGGAAGATGGAGTATGTGGGGCTGGAGAAATGGCACAGTGGTTAGAGGCAGGGCCTGCTGTGGGGGACGACCGGGGCTTGATCCTCAGCTCACACATGGCAACTAACAACCATCTACAACTCCAGTTCTAGGGCATCCAACATCATCCTCTTTTGGCTTCTATGGCCCTAGGCACACACATGGTGCACAGATACACATGCAGGCCAAGACACCATTCTCATAAAATTTAAAAAAATTAAAAAGGTTGAGGGGGCTGGGGATATAGCTCAGTGGTTGAGCCCTTGCCTAGGATGTGCAAACTCTTGGGGTTTGGTCCCAGGACCTCAAATAAGAAAAAAAAAATGTGAGGAAAGATGGAAATGCTCATTTTTGAATAGCTTGTTATTATTTACAGATTTTTTCCCCTTCCACTTTATCTGTAGTGAATTCATATTGCTAAAGAATCAATTACCCATCTCATGGGCACCTAACACATAATGTGTAAGGCTGACATCCTCGTCCCTCTCTGAAAACTGCACTTCATCTACAGTCCTGACAGGGACCTCTCCTGACCCTCCTCATGGAGCCTGCCATTTGATATGGCCAATTCTATCTAAATCTTCTGTCTTTAGAGTACCATGTCTCTTTGTCACTTAGAATCCACTCAAACACATCTTTTCCATCTCTCACAGAGGGAATGGATGACATTCACCTTTGTGGCCTACATTCTGTGCTCATTCCTAGAGGGATGTCAAAGCTTGAGTGCTGGGATCTGTCTTTCATTCACAGTTTTTCTTCCCTAGGGCAGAAATCAAGTCTGCGGCTCTGTCTTTAGTATGTGGCAAACAAACTCTTCTTGAATGTTTTATGAATAAAAGGAGTACCAAATTATAACTGAAACTTATTTCTAATGTCTTCTTAACAAGAAAAAATATAGAAGATAGCCTACCTGTTCCATTGATGTCTCATGAAGTTCATTGAGATTAAGGGTATAAATGCCCTCTTCAGCACCAAATATCAAGTACTGATCTGAAATAACAGAGACACTTCATAGCTGATTTCAATAAACAAAAATACTTTAAAAAAGGTTTATATCATCTAAAATTCAATAAATGTGTTACCTCTGAAAAATACTACAATTTGTAAAGTTATAATACAAAGAAGACATTAGATACTCATAAACTAAGTTTATATATATATGTTAGTCTCAGAACAGTGAGGAAAACTGCATGAGGGAGACATGAAGAGTGGCCTGTTAGATTCGTCACTCACCAGAGGGTGTGACTGACTGGCAGAGTCTGCAGCTACTTTTTCTAAAGTTCCCTAAAGAGAGGATCATGTGCAAATAACAGAGTGAAAATCAAGAACTAACTCAGATTAAAAAGTATTTTTAAATATGTGGTGGTTTGAGTAAGAAAGGTCCCGTAGGCTCATATATTTGACTGCTCAGTTGCCAGGGAGTGGAACTGTTTGAAAGGATTAGAAGGATTAGGAGGTGTGGCCTTGGAGGAAGTGTGTCACAGGGCCCATGGACTCTGAGGTTTCAATAGCCCATTGCAGGCCCTGACTCTCTCTTGGCCTGTGGATCAGGGTGGAGCTCCCAGATACTGCTCCAGGGCCGTGCCTGCTGTCATACTCCCCGCCACGATGGTCACAGACTAAATCTCTGAAACCATAATCACATCCCCAACTAAGAGTTGTTGTCTTTTTACAGCAATAGAATGGTGACTAAAACAATAGACTATTACTTTTTGGCCATTACTGTTAAGCCCTAACATTAAAAACACAGGATCTGGGACTGGGAAGGCAAAGGAAACAAGACAAAATGAGATAGATGCTGAGGATGCAGCTCAGCGGGTGGAGTGCTTGTTTAGCAGGGTTTGATCCAGCACCACACAAACTGGACATGGAGCCTTAGGCACGTAATAGCAGACTTAGAAGGTGGAGACAAGTGGACTACAAGTTCATGGTCTGAGGTCAGCCTAGGCTAACAACTTGGTCTAAAAACAAGCAACACCCACCCAACCCATGTCCTAATCACTGCCTGTTAAAACTTTAACTAAAACCTGGGTAGGACAGTGGTTCTCAACCTTCCTAATGCTGTGATCCTTTAAAACAGTCCCTCATGTTGTGGGGATCCCAGACTATAAAAATCACTCTGTTACTACTTCATAACTAATTTTGGTACTGTTACAAATTGTAATGTAAATATCTGACATGTGACCTCCAAGGGAGTGGTGAACTACTATTTTAAAAAGTAAGAGAAACTTAGCCAAGGTCCTATTTAACTGCTTTTAAGACATTAAGATCTTCTCCAGGATGAGTGGAAGTATTCTAAGAGTAACCTAGACAATATGAGAACCCTCTACACTGTGCAGCCTTTAGGGTTCATGCTGGTATGGCACCTATGGTCAGACAGCTATGGGTTTAAACCAAAGTACTATAGCATCAGCTTCCTGTGAAGCAACAAACCTGAGTGTCAAAAGAAAACACTGATCTTGGATTTGTGGAAGAATACATACATATTTGTTTTCTTATGCACATTCATTAAGAGTGTTTACTGGTGACTCTATGGGTACTTTACATAGCTAACGAGAGACTGTCAGGATGCCGATATGCAAAAAGAACACAATGCCATCCTAACTACTATAGATATGAGCCCTTTATAATTTAGAACTCCTTTGAAACAAACAGTCACTTGACTCTGAAATTTAGGATCTAAGTCACCAGTTGTGGCTCTGAAAATAACACACTGGGCAAGAAAGGAAGAAACATCTCTCTAGGAAGGAAGGGAGGTCTGATGCTGTGACTGCCAGGCAACTCCAGTGAGTCACCTCTGACCTCAAACCACAGCTAGAGCACAGACAAATGTATTTACCTTAAATCTATAAAAACAGCAAAATGCTTAGAGAGAGACAACCAGGAAATGAGTCAAGTGAAACTCTTTCAGAGCTCTGCTGAAGGATAGTTAGAAAAGGAAGAAACTGATAATACCTCTCGTGTCTGGGTTTATCCAGGATGTGGCACAGTGGATTTTCAAGGGACAGCCATTAAAAACCTTTGAAAAACATGCTCCCATCTGGAAAAATAAGGACCCATCAACATGACAGTAACAAACAGTGGTCCCTAACATAACATATGAGGCATAACAAGTTTGTTTTAATATGGGAGATTATAGATAACACACTAAAATTAATTTCACCCTCAAATTTATAGAAATAAATGTGTGAAATCAGTCATCCATCTAACTTTTGAAAGAGTGGATCAATGTTTCTGGACATCCACAAAAAACTTTTTTGATAGTAATCCACAAAGTTTCCTGGCACAACAACAATTTTGCTGGAGAAAGAAAAATCTCTTATTTCTTTTATCATTTCACAATAGACAAATCAGCACCAATAACCAATTCTGTATAATAAATAATTTGCCAATAAGCATTAGAATCTCCTATCAAGATAACATTAATATTCTTAGGTAAAAAAGAAAACAATAATATCTTCAAAGAAAATATTCTTGTTTGGTTTCTTGACAAAAATGTCATCATTGAGGTTGGGCATGGTGGTGTACACCTTTAATCCCAGAACTCAGGAGGCAGAAGCAGGAGGATCCCTATAAGTTGAAGCCAACCTGGTCTACATAGTGAGATCCAGGCCAGCCAGGGCTACACAGAGAAACCCTGTCTCAAAAAAAAAAAAAAAAAGCCATCATTGAATTTCCTATTGTAAACTATGATGTAGGGTTGATTTAAGTCCATACATGTGCTCCACATTTAAAATATACAGACTCATTAAAAGGATCAATCTGAGGGCAGGCAAGACAGCTCAGCAAGTAAAAGCACTTGGCTCCAAGTCTGACCTGAGTTTTATCCCCAGGTCCTACATGGTAGAAGGGGAAAACTCACTCTAGAAAGTTGGCTTCTGACTTCCACACCTGTGATACGACAGAAGTACACATGTACATATGTGAAACACACCACACACATGTAAAATTTTCTTTTTAAATAAATAAAAAGCTGAGTGTGATTGTGATGGCTTCTGCTTGTAAAGTCAGTGCTGCGGGTGGTGGTGGGGAGCAGGCAGACACAAAGATATACATTGAAACAATTCTCACTGTAGTTTGAAAAATCAATTATTTGATACTTAGTACTTACATGCACTTTAGGTGTTGGGGGAAGACCATTACTAATTGGCTTCTAGAAAAGGAACATGTGTTATTGTTGTTATTATTATTTTGCTGCCCTTTTGGCAAGAAAATACTGCATTTCAAGCTCATTTCTTTGAATAAAATACACTAATATATCATAAAATAAAATAGCAATTTTCCTATATTCTTTCCAAAGTTACTTACTGCTCCCCCAAACCATTTGATATACATCCTTTCTCTAGGTAATCGTATATACTTAAACACAGAATAGCTTTCTGGGCAGTATTTGTTTTCTGAAGTGCTGGCCATCAACCTCAGGACCTCTTTCTTACATGCCAGGCACTCTACCAACAAAGACTAGCCTTTAAAGAGTCAGTTCCCATCAGGGAGGATAACCAACTCTTGGTGAATAATCACAGAGCGAAAGGTTAGACCAGCAGTTCTCAAACTGTGGTTGAGAAAGGGGTCATGACCCCTTTCACTGGGGTCACCTAAGACCATCAGAAAACACAGCTATTTTCATTATGATTCACAATAGTAGCAAAATTATAGTTATGGAGTGGTAAAGAAAATCATTTTATGGTTGGGGCCACTACAACCTAAGGAACTGTACTAAAGGTCACAGTGTTAGGAAGGTTGAGAACCACTGACTGGGTTAGACGTACATAAAGATCACGGTTTATAACGAGCTAAATAAAAATGGATTTAACTTTAAACAAGGAGGTTATGACACTTTACCTTTACATAGGTACCTTTACAATTTAAATAAAATACTATTGCTATAGTCAATAGACTAAAATATCAATACAGTAATTACAGAATACACTTGTTACACAGTGAGAAAGGACACAGTGAATGCACAAACACCAACACTTACTGGTATATCCTTCTTCTCTTTTCTGGAGAGGTTTGTGCCTCTGTGCTCACTCTGTTGCTGATGTAATGATCCATCTCGCTCACCATTTAGCTGGAAGGAGCTCACTCCATTTCCTTCAATAAGATATGTTTACATATACAGTGAAAGGACTATTTTTTTAAACGAAAGATTTCATTGTGACAATTATTAAATAGGAGAGATTCATTCTGCAATTGTAATCTCCCATTCAGAACACCACCCATCCCTGGGGTGTTATATATGTTCTTCCAGTTCAACCTACTTCTGACATCTCAGGTAAAATTATCTGAGTAAACATTTATTTTCATTTAAAAGAGAAAAGTAGTAAATTCATAATTACTTTCAAGAATTACAAGATGATTGATATTATATATAGTTACCAAGAAATAGTAACAGCTTTTAAAAGGTTCCTCTGTTTTCCAGTGGTAAAACAGTACCTTCTAGTGCTAAGTCATAAACAATACCTATAAATAACAATTGTTTTTCTAAAGTGATTAAAATTAAGGAATCAAAGAAAAACAACTTTATCTTTCCTAAGATGGAAGTAGACTACAACCAGACATGTTTCCTTATTTCTTCAAAGCCTGATTGTGACTTAAGATGCTGTAGCTAATGATGAAACAGACAGAGCAGTCTCCAAAGGGGGGGGAATGTTAATGGGATGGAGCTATAGAGATGCTCAGAGGCTAAGAGAACCTGCTGGTGCTGCAGAAGACCAGGTGCACAACTGAGCACCTGCTGGTGGCTCACAACTGTCTAACTCCAGTGCCCCAGGATCTGACAACCTCTTCTGGCTCTGCTGGCACCAGGCATGCACGTGAAGCATATATATACCAGCAGGAAGTGCGTGCGTGCGCGCGCACACGCGCGCACACGCACGCACGCGCACACACACACACACACACACACACACACACACACACACACGAAAATATTTCAGGCTAGTTCAGTTCACAAGGGTTCACATGGGGTCCTGTTATTGAAAGCACTTTGTACCCGGAAGCAAAAGGCAAAAAGAAAAAGGTTTAAGAGCCAAGCTCTTGCTATCAATGTCACAGAGGAATTTCAATCATCTCGTGGCCAATCCCTTCACTTCTCTGGAGTCTGTCCTCCACTCTCACCTAAAGCAGCAGGCTTCTGTGGGGGTAATCTGGGGGGAGGTGGTCTAGGTGGAACGTGGGATGGCTTTGCTGGGCTCCCTGATGAGGGACATCTCTTGATTGTTCCTTGATTACCATCCTCAGCAGAATGTGTATCCTGTGGTATGAAGATGGATTTAGGCTGAAATAACACAGAAAAGGAAACCAGTGATTAAGTATAAGATTACTTTCCTGAAGTAAATAAATATTACATATCAGAGACTTTCAAACTGTGTTTACTAGAGGAATGTTAAGAATGTTTATGATTCAGGCTATCTTATTACTTAAGTTATTCTTAAAATGTGCTGAGTTTTTGCAGCTGTGGGAGGAATGATATGAATTAGTTTCTATTCCCTTGTACTCCAGATTTCCTAGTTCTCATTGTCTGATTTTTGTTGTTGTTGTTGTTACACATTTTCTTAGTGTATGTAGCTACTTTGGCTTCATTTTCTGATGAATTGGCGTCTCATAAGTCTTCCAAAATAAAAATATTCCTCTTTCTGATTGTACTCCAACTTAACTGCATCTCTTGTCAGGTTAATCTAAATTGTCTATGTTAAAGTGCAGTCTTCCAGATTAGGGACAACAGAAGACAGTGATTAAAATATCCATATACTGGAGAACACCAGCACAATAAGACAGGAAGCCCGAGAAACTTATTGAGAAGCAGCTTGCAGAATTGAACAATTCTTCTACGTGTGCCCTTATGATGCCTACCAAAGTAATCTCCGCAGACAATCAAAGTACCTTTCATCTATGAGAACTGACATTTTTCTCAGTAATACAATGAAAACAAAACACTGTTAGAAGCCAAGACTTGTAAGGCTCCGACTTAAAACTATAACACAACTTACTTTTGTAAATGAAATTTGTTACACATACAAAGTCATAGAATAAGTGTACCATACTGCTTTTTGTATCCACTCATTTTATCTTTAAAAAGCATTAAGATATGCTGTATACATATATGAAATTAAATAAAACCCTATAGGTTAGGATTACTTTATTATTCAAGATGACTTTGTTAGGTAAAGGATTAGCTCATGCCAAGTGCTTACATTTTTAATTTATAATTATTTTCTGAAAATTAAATGTCTGTGATGGTAGTTTATCCTTTGTCCATACTTAGTGATCAATTAATGGTAGGTTACAGATTATTATGGAAAAAAACTTATGAAAATGTAAGATTTCTAGCTAGGTGGAAACAATACCAATCTAGAAATTATTTCAAAATATAAATATTTAAAATGTATTATATTACTTAAGTAACTACCGAATCATCATTTTTAAAAAGATGAAGTAAAATTATGTTCTTAGATAACAATCAATTGGTTTTTCTTTCAGGCTGGGAAACAAAAGCAAGCTATAGTAACGAGAACAGCAAACACTGCAGTGGAGAGCAATGAGTAGAGTTTGAACAGCAGAGCAGGGTGTGGACAGCGAATCTGTCTACCTTTGGTGGCAGAGGAGGCGGGACTTTTGCTTTCATGGTTGAACTAAAAACAGAGAAAATATAGTCATAATTATTTGGAGTCATAATTATAATTATTAAACACAACTGTTTTTCAAAGATGCAGAAGAAAAAAGCCTTCAGAAACAAATACTATTTTCTGGATTCATGAAATTTTTTATAAAATTCTGTAAGATGTCCAAATTCTATTGATTGAAACATTCATAAGTAAGTAGGGAGATGTGCATCTTCTTGGTTTCAAATGTTATAAGTGAGCCAACCCGGAAAGATGACCACAATCCTATTTTATTTCAATCAAAAGGTAAATAAGGATATCAGCAGGAGTTGGGCTAGGGGAATGATATGAACATAAAATACATCACATAATGTGTCTTGGTCTCTTTCCTGCTGTGGTGATAAAATTCTGACAAAGGGCTTACTCCAACTATAGCTCAAGCATGTGGTCCATCATGACAGAATCCCCACAGAATTGAGTCAGTGCTCAGCTTGCTTTCTCCATGATACACAGTCGAGGGTCCTCTTGCCCAGAAATGGCCTCACCCACATGTAAGAGGGGTCTTCTCACATGAACTAATCAAATCAAGATAATCCACCATATACATACCCAGAGGCCTGTTTGACGGGCAATTCTGGATTTTTCTTAATTCTGTTTCAATTACTGTTATAGACTGACTTTTATTTCCCTAAATTCAGATATTGAGAGAATTCTCAATGGGATACACATAAAAATATGGCTTTAAAGAGGTCATAAGGTTTAAATGAAGCTATAGGTTTGATGGGTATGAGAATAGGAAGAATGACTGACTTTTGCCCCACTACATACACATATCAAGGAAAGGCCATATGAGGACACAGATGGAGGCAGGATCTTGACAAGGAGTCAAGGTCACTCACATGCATATAGCATACTCTTGGCTAACTTGGACTACAAGAGACACTGTCTAAAAAGCCAAAGTCAGGGTTGGCAGCTGCACAACTAGATGGAAGAAACCATCAGACACCAAGTAGACTAGCACCTAGATCCTGAATTTCCTAGTCTCTAGAGCTGGGAGAATTAAGTGTCTGTTTAACCCATCCAGTATAAGGCGTTTTTGTGATCCTAATCTGAAGCTGAGTAATCCGAGTGGAATAGATAAACAACAGCACAGGGTTGTGGTACAAGCTAAGACAATGTGTTACTTATATTAAGATTATCACTAATATTAAGCCACTAGAACTATGACATAGGTCAAATGAGATCCTTTCTTTTTACCAAAAAAGAACAACAGAACTCACCGTTTAGAGTCATCATCATCACCTTCATCATCTTCTAAGTGAGCCACGTGTCCTCTAAAGAGAGCAGATAGCATTGTTAGGTGGTGAGCCTCCCCACAGCAGCTACAGACATGCAGGAGGGCCGACTGCAGGACAGAACTTCATGTCTGCATCTTTGTAAGACAGACTGACAACTAAAACTAACAAATCACTTATCACAGAGAAGGGGAAAACAATTTGGCTCATCTATGACATAAAAAAGTACTTCAAGCTTAATTAAAAGTTGTAATTACCGCTGATGTAATTCTTCTTCAACAGACTTTAGAAGACTCCTTGAAAGACACAAACAAGAAGGAGCATAAGTAAAATGGTACCAACTATGTTACTTCTATTACTTTATATTTACCCGTAAGTGTCCTGAATACATTTGCCACACTGATCATTTCTGTGCCACAAAGATTATGTTTTAATGAGATATATCTATTTTTTTTGTTGCTAATGTCTTAAAAATGTATCATAAATGAAAATAAATACAGTCTAATGTTGACTGAGCAGGAGACAACTCAGCATGAAATGCCACAACGAAACTGACAAAACAATTGCAGGGTTAGAGCCAGGGATTTCCACCTAGAATATTACACCTGATACCAGAAATTACATATTCTCTTTCTTCAAATAGGGATGACACACTTTGGCAGACTCATGCTCTCAGGCAATCCTGCAAAATGGAACTCAACATGTTGGCTTTCTGCAGAAGCAAGCATGCATGTGCTGTGAACACATGAACGTAGCAGCAGTCTGCTTTCACAGAGGACACTCACCCACCTTTGGACTGCTTTCCAAGGGTGCACAGGCAAACACATTACACTTTTGCAAGACTTAGGCTGTGTCAGACCAGCTCCGAGGGTTTTATCATTAGGAGTGGTGTTTAAAAAAGGGCTCAAATTTTCAAGAATGAGAGAGAATTGGGGTAATCCTGAACACAGGCAATTCAGAAACACAGCCTTCCCTAGGCTGTTGCAATTACCAGAAGAGATGTATTCTCTCTAAACCTTGTAAGTAGTACCTCAGTGTTCTTGGAATCATCATACCATGAAATAAGCATGGTTAGCTGTCTACTGTAGACAATGAGTAGACCTGTCTTACTTATCAAGTACTTTAAGCAAGCTAGCCTTAACGACCAGTTATAAATCTGGAAGGGGAAACGACACAGGAAAATAATAAACCAATTCCAAGTATTACCATCCCTACAGGAGGGTCTGCAAGATCCCAGACAACTTTCTCTAGTCTTATTTCTGCTATTTTCTAGAACTACTCAATATGTGATATAACAGATTAAATGAAGTGGAAGACATTAAAAACTCAGCTATCTTCCAGTAGTGTGAAGGAAATACAAAAAGAGAAAATAATGCATTTCCTAACTATTATTACTTCATCAGAGGAAAACAGATCTTTTCTTATGGACCCAGCAGTTTGCTGGGCTGCAAAGGTGTGGCTGCGGTTACTTGGTCCAGTCACATGAGAACCATGGTAGTGCTGTCAGGAAGGCTCTGAGGAGGAGCCATTTGAGCTGGTCCTTTAAGGGGGAGGACTTAAAACTGTACAAAACATGTATTTTATTAAAGTTGAATATATATTATTATTTTAAAATGAACATTTTTTAGAAAATTCTTTTTTTGATTTTCCATACTAAAATGTTATGTTAGCAACAGGAAGTCCTCAGCAAGTGAGACTGCAAAGGGACCCTAGATTAACCGTCTGAGAAGTGCAGCCTTACCTGGTGATAGTGGGCTTTCATATTGTTCCAGAAGATAGGAAGCCAGTGTGGGAGCAAATGCCTGCAATCCTATCACTAGCCTGAGCTACACAGTGAACAGTCATAAACAAGTGAAAAATGCCTTTTCTAAGCATGTGGCAGTATTTTTTTTTTTTTAAGCCATTAAGATTTGAAAATAGGAAGACAGTTTACATACAGTTTTACTTTCTGTTACCACAGACAATGGGATCCACATAGCATTCTGGCTTTGTGTGTTTGTGTGTGGGGCAGGGGGAGGGGGGCGGTCCAGGCTGGCCTCAATCTTGCTATGTAGTTAAACACAGCCATGAACTTCTGATCCTCCTGCCTCTACTTCATGAGTGCTGGGCCCAGCACATCCATTTTTGGTGTGTGTGAGCATGCGTGTGCATGTACGTGTGTCTGTGTGTGTGTGTGTGTGTGTGTGTGCGTGTGTGTGTGGTACTGAGGATGCACAGGGGGCTCTGTGCAGGACCGTGTGTGTGTGTGTGGTACTGAGGGTACACAGGGGGCTCTGTGCAGGCCCATGGGGACCCTACTGACTAAGGTGTACCCTAGCTCTTTCACTCTGCTTCTGAAGTGAGTCTCTTACAGGAAGTTCTCTAACAATAGCACTTCTACTCATTTATTTCCAAGTCTCTTACTATGGATTAAAATAGTTTGCTGACAAGTTATACAGTTCATAAAGTCCTGTGAAGGACATGTGGCAGACTTTTGTGTCTTTACAACAGAGAAAATGAGAACAGCTCAGTTTGCCAAGTGATCCAGTACAGCACCTACAGCTGACAGCTCTGGAGAATATGTACCCTGAGCTACTCACCAGGCCCCTGTGCTGCACAGGAATAAAGCCATATGAATTTGGCTAGTAAGGGATTTTTGCTGATAGAACTGAAATACTATGGAAATGACAGAAAATTTGATGAAAAAAGTCTAAACTGGAACAATGTATGAGCGCAGGGAAACTGGGATGGGAGAAGTCTGAAACTGCCTTCAAGCGCCCAGCACATCTGAGTTAGCGAAAGGGTCATGCGGCATGTTAGAGTCTTACACAGTTGCCAGGCCGACTCGAAACAACCTGTGTATGCACTTCCCTGACTGCATGTAAAAGCAACAAACTTGGCATTTCTCTAAGACTGAAGAGCAGCTTTATCTGCTTCCTAACATAATTGACAATTACTCATAATTATGTGTACTCATACTTACACATAAAGACAATTAGTACTGTCTACTAAGCCCTGTGGATACTAAACATTTCATTGCAGTTATCTATCTCTCCCTCAGTGAAGAGGCAGGCAGTGTTATAATCCTCACTTTACCAGAGACAGTGGTAGTCAAGTGCTCACAGAAAGAGCAGATGCAGGCTGGGAACGGCATTGGCTACTAGGGTAGTCTGCTGGGGGAACTATGATTTGACCCACACTTTACTCCTATCCAAAGACAGTATCTTTACAACTCTGCTCTATACTACAGCTACAAGCAAAACCAGACATAGTTTGATTTTCTTTTAAAAATAACTGCTTTCAAAAAACAAAACAAAACAAACAAACAAAAAAGCCCTCACCCCAGTTACATCAGAATTCGAAAGAAAAGGTGTTAGCTTTTCTTTTGCTAAAACGGTTGCAATTATAGCACAAGCCTTCTGTTATGGAAAGCGAAGTTCAGTCCGTGTAACAAACCTAACTGGACAGTTCCTGAGGGATCTGCTCGAGGCAGGGACGCGTTGAGGACTCTGTCTACCCTGACCCCTTCGGAGGAAGCAGGAGGCCCTGCCAGAGCAGCAGGTCTATAGCAGACATGTCCATACAGTAAGAGAAGTGCTACAACCATGCTCACGTCACGTGTACGTATACACCTACACACGAAACAGCCAAATCTAAGACTTTTGGCCAACCTACCTTGAGAATGACTCGTTATATAGAATACAGTTCCTTAAGCAGGGATCCAATTCATCAGAAAATGAAGGGTGGGCAGATTATTAACATTTTACCTAGCCAAAGTAACTATACACACTAAGAAAATGTCTAACAATTAAAATCAGACAGTGGGAGCTAGGAAATCTGGAAAAGCACTTATAGCTGTATTATTTTGCATTTTGTGAGCACATTAATTTAAATGAAAGGGTAAGTGATATATAGTCAGCAAATTATTCAGCCTCTTGAGGTGCTTGGACGTGGTTGTACCAGGTTCTTAAAACCAATAACATCATTAGAAAAAAATTAATTAATTTTTAAAAAAATCACTATCCCACAATGACAATCTGTTCTTTGTTAACCACTAAAACCAGGACAACTTATAAATAACAATTACAATTTAGGTAAAATTACTTTTTTTTTTTTTTTAACCAAAGGAATTTTATACTTAACTTTCATTTTAAGAAAGACGAGAGGCTACTGAATGGTGTTCATCTTTAATTCCAGTACTCAGGAGGCAGAGGTAAAGCAGAGACAGGAGGATCTCTGCAATTCTCAAGCCAGCCAGGACTATATAGTGAGATCTCATCTCAAAATATATAATACACGAATAAACAAACAACCAAAAGATAAAAGAAGAAAGACAGAGACTAATAAATAATGACAAATTCTTAATATTTTATGTTTAATTGAAATTCACATTATAAAAAACAGCATATTCTTTTAGCTTTTCACTCAAAGACTTTTCTCTGTACTGCAAAGTGTACTAAGATAGGAAAAAAAATGAAGTGTTCAGATTATAAGAAAGAGGAGATCAAACAAAGGTATCTGTCATTAATCATTATTTTTCAACTGCTTAAAGATTGGAACAGATGTCTCAGCTCTCTAGTGTAAGATTGAAATTTTAAATTCTAATTTAATATGTATATTCATTCACAGAATACTTTGGTAATTTAAATAGTCCCTTACAAATATATGAAATAAGAAGGTAGGAAGGGCAGTCTTGACCTTGGGTTTTAAACTCTGGCTTATGATGAATTTGCAGAAGTCTGTAAAATGTTTAATTAAACAGTGCTTTCAGCACACAGACAGTGCCTGGTACAGAGTAGATATTACTAGATGTTAAATTTATTTCTCACATGAAATAACTTTTAGGAGTTCATATCTATTTTCATTGCTAGCCTTCTTTAAAAGACTATCGGAGCTAATAAACTCAAGATGAGGATGTCTAAGCAGTATGAATAATCTAGCTGTTTTCAGTGGTTAGCACATCTGGGAGATGCACCAAACAAGTTTTGCAGAGGGTAAACAGGTTGACTTTAGAAAGCAATCAGCAGCTGAAATGCAGATTCGTTGTAGCTAGAGCATACTGTAACCAGGAAGACCCCCAGGTTAGGTGTAGCTGGAGCACACTGTATCCCAAAAGACCCCCAGGTTAGGTGTAGCTGGAGCATACTGTAACCAGGAAGACCTGTATGTTAGGTTAACAGAAAATGTTTGAGCTGATCCTCCCACAGGATGCTGACTATAGATGGCCAGCAGAGAACCTGTGGAAAAGTCAAGGGCACACTGCACAGCATCTCCAGCTCAATACAATGTACTAGCTTAAATATCGAATATTAATTATATTATTAAAGACAATTACTTTATATTTAAATTTTAAAAGAACTTACTTACTTGTTTCCACCTAGAAAGTAATTACTTTGGTGTCCTTGTCCATATTCTAATTGTAGATCCTGATGGCATAAAGCAGAACATTTAGCACAGCAGTATAGCAGCCACTGCAAACTAATACATACTATTTTAAAAAGAAAAGCCCCAAGTCCCAAATAAATCTGTATTGCTCTACACTGTTAAAAAGAAGGCATGGTAGCACTTTAAAAAAAAAAAAAAATACAAGATAGAAGTCTGTACTACTGATTTTTATTATCTAAGTATTTTTCCAGGAAATTTTCCAAATGACAGCTACGAGTTTCATCTGTGACTACTGTTATTGTAATTGATATTTGTAAAACTCAGCTTGTAGAAAGATAAAAGCTCAAATAAAGTATTATCCAGCTACAATGAAGCAAAAAAAAAAAAAAAAAAGAACAGAATGAGCAACACAAAACATCTGGGTTTGACTTTGTATGCGGCATGTGGAATGACCGTGTATATATACACATTCACATATTTCTACTGCTGCTCATGCAGGTGATTAATACACACATATAAAGCTGGGCACTACTGCAGACGTGAGGTATGTGCATGTGATCTTGTACAAGCCTGGAAGCTGCACTGAAGGAGCATTAGAACAGCAAAGTTTAAAATGAATACAAGCGCTCCTTAACTATGTTGCAAGTTGCAGAGAGCAAGGAATTAAAATACAGAAGAATGAGCAATAGACAGTCTCCACTAAAACACCACCTTGTGAAAAATGTACCATCCAACAACCATAGCAAGAACCAAGCTGCCTTCCCCTTTTTTAAAGAAGCCACTTTACTCCAATCACTGTTACAAGGAATATCCTTTCAAAATAACATTAGCTGTATGACTGGGGCTCTAGAGAGGTCACCTTGAGACAACCTCTCAAGGTCAGAGATGGCACTAACATCTCCACAGAGTTTACTACACAGATCTCCTCAGCACTTAAACTGAATGTTAATGTCTCCAAGTCTTTTACAGCAGTCTGGGCCATGGACTCTCAAACACAGAGCAAAAGGCCAAATCTGTCTGCCTTCCTTTCAGCTGTGGTCTAACACAGCAATTGACAAACAGACTGCTCTGAGTAATAAACACTTTTTCAAATGCCACCTCTTTTGCTTCCTGAAAACAAATACTTCCCCAGGGTACAGATACTCAGAATCACAAACATCTCAAATCTAGAAGTCTATGATTAACACAATTCCACGCAACACACTGTACTTTAAAATTAACTTCAAGGTCTGTCCAAAAAATATCTGTTGAAAATCAAAGGAGTGATTTAGATTAATTTGAAATTTTTCCTCTTTAATGTTTGTGTTTAGTTGTGCAAATAGTAACTGTTCTTACCAATGACAGCAAAGATAACACATAATAAAAAAGATTAATCAACTGTTACACTGGTGTCAATCAAGTGAAATTCTAATGAAAACGGATGCATGTTCTCCCTAATTTAGAACATATCTTAATATAACCAAATCACCATGTTACAAGGCTACAAATATTATTTCACTTTCCAGTTTTAGTGATCATGACTTATACTTTATGTACTGGAATTTAGCTAATAAAAGTACTCATCTCTAAGGGTGTTTTTCAGTTCAAGCCTATTGTTATCAGGTGCAGAAGAACAAACCCTCTAACCAAGAGCGGCAAAAAACAGCTTTAGACAATAGACTCTCATAGACTTTTATTTAAAGAGCAGCTTCATAAGCATACATATATGCAGAGTGGATGACATCTTCACAAACACACACATGTGCAGAGTGGATGACATCTTCACAAGCACACACATGTGCAGAATGGATGACATCTTCACAAGCGCACACATGTGCAGAGTGGATGACATCTTCACAATCATACATATATGCAGAGTGGATGACATCTTCACAAGCACACATGTGCAGAATGTATGATGACTTCATAAGCAATACATGTGCAGAGTGGGTGATGTCTTCACAAGCAAACATATATGCAAAGTGGATGACATCTTCACAAGCACACACATGTGCAGAGTGGATGATGTCTTCACAAGCACACACATGTGCATAGTAGATAATATCTTCACAAGCACAAACATGTGCAGAGTGGATGACATCTTCATAAGCACACACACATGCAGAGTGGATATCTTCACAAGCACACACATGTGCAGAGTGGATGACATCTTCACAATCATACACATGTGCAGAGTGGATAATACCTTCACAAGCAGACATATGTGCAGAGTAAATGATGTCTTCATAAGCATACATATGTGCAGCGGGGATAATATCTTCACAAGCACAAACATGTCCATAGTAGATAATATCTTCACAAGCACACACATGTACAGAGTGGATGACATCTTCACAAGCACACACTTGTGCAGAGTGGATGACATCTTCACAAGCTTACATATATGCAGAGTAAATGACGTCTTCATAAGCATGCATATGTACAGACAGGATATCTTCACAAGCACACACATGTGCATAGTAGATAATATCTTTACAAGCACACACATGCACAGAGTGGATGATGACTTCATAAGCACACACATGTGCAGAGTGGATGATGACATCATAAGCACATATATGTGCAGAGTGGGTAATGTGTTCACAATCACACATACATGCAGAGTGAATGTCTTCACAAGCACACACATGTGCAGCATAGATGACGTCTTCACAAGCACACACATGTACAGAGTGGATGACATTTTCACAAGCACACACATATGCAGAGTGGATGACATCTTCACAAGTACACACTCGTGCAGAGTGGATGACGTCTTCACAATCATACATATATACAGAGTGGATGACATCTTCACAAGCATACATATATGCAGCGTGGATAATATCTTCACAAGCACACGCATGTGCAGAGTGGATGATGTCTTCACAAGCATATATATATATGTACATATATATATATATATATACACACACACACATACATACATACATTCAGAATGATGTATTCAAAACCATGCATATGTGCAGAGCGGATGTCTTCAAAACAATACGTATGACAGTGTCAAAAGCACAAAAAGTGTTGTGGTGGATGATGTATTCAAAACCATGCATATGTGCAGAGCGGATGTCTCCAAAACAATACTATGACACCACAACAGTTTTTGTGCTGGTGGATAATGTTTTCAAAAGCATACATATGTGCTGTGTAAGCCCACAAAATGAAAGTCTCACAATGACTAAAGGTCAGAGAATTCAGAGCTATTTTTGCTCTTCCACGGTTATAAGACAGGAAGTCTGATATAAGATGTGGTTACAAAATGTTCCGCCTAGACAAAAGGATATTTTAATCTAGGGTATGGTTACTTGATGTTTTGAGGAGATAATTGCATTTGTGTGTTCTGTGTATCATAGTAAAGAAGTCTTTTGCCTTCCCCCCTTTTGGATTTAGGTATTTAAGGGCTATGAGAAATAAATTTGGACAGATCACAGTATTCACTGGCTGCCCTCCTGACTGATTCTATTTCTTTCTCAATCTTCACCCCTCCCTCTAAGTATGGACAGCTAAGCCAGGCAGGACCCCAAGAATGTACAGAGTGGATAATGTCTTCAAAAGCATACATATTTGCAGAGTAGATTATGTCTTCTGTTGATGTGTAGGAAGGTCCATTTAGCTGAGAGATTACAATCAACAGCAGACTGACAATAATAACTAGGAAATGAAAGTCAGTCAATGTCAGGAGTATATCTAAAGTAAAGAGAATAATTTTAAATAACAAAAGAGATACTTTAATAGAAAATCAAGCAGAGACTCACATACAATAAAGCCAATGGAGTATGCAAGTTGTAGGTACACCCAAGTCTGATGATTAAGACAAGTCTCTAGTCCACAAGGAAAGCTAACACTGAAAAGGACTATTCTTCATTATTTCTCTCCTGAAATCAAATTATACTATAATAACCATGTGGACCCAGAAAATGAAAAGATGTGGATTCCTTCCAGACTAATGTGGTTTGATCACACCAGACCGCCTGAAACAGAGTACAAGCTGATCCTACATTCCAAACAGCTGGACAAAACAGCCCTACAGACTACAGCTAGGATATCTGAATCTTCTTCGAATCCCCCAAGACAGCGCCCCTTACCAGCAGGAAGTAGTTTGGAAAGAACGACGCCCAAATTCCCAAATATTGTGTATAAATGTTTGTTTTCATTTAATTGGACTTTGTTATATAAAATTAAATAAAAAATACTCTATATGCAAAAAAAAAAAAAAAAAAAAAAAAAAAAAATAACCATGTGGACCATCAAGATGGTTCGGCAAATTAGGATTCCTGGCACCATGCCTGACTACCTGAGTTTAAACTCCAGAACCAACGTGGTTGTAGGGGAGAAATGATACCTAAAGGTTGCCCTCAGACTTCTATCCTCAACGTGGTGTGTCCCACACATGCACATATCAAGCACTACCCAGTAATAAAATTTTAAGAAAAGGGTTTGGAAGCTAGAAAAAACACTAGCAAAATTATGTTTGGAAAGCACTCAAAATAACCAAGATGATGGCATCATTTGGCTATCTCTGATAATCTAAATCAGAATGTACTTGAGCATGCAAGCATCGGAAAAATAGCAGCATTAAACAATGGATGAATGATCATGCTTAATTACACAATAACATCAAAGCAGTAACAACATGTTAATGGCAAAACACTGAAAACATGCAATGACTTAGGAAAGATTCAACCTAGGGACTCAAACAACAGCCAAGACAGTTACTCTAGCACATACTAAAGAACTTTATGGGAGAAAAAGTCCAAATTTCAGGGGTTCCTTTCAAAGAGGGGCAGGTAAAGCTATTTTTAAATCTAGGGAGAAAATTCTAAGAAAACAGAAAAGAGCTAAGAAGGGCCAAAGACCTCACTGTGAGATGTTGGAAAAGGAGGACATACATATTCAAAGTCTTAGGACAGATTTTTTTTTTTTTTTTTTTTATGTTATGTCACCATGGGAGTGAATACCTATAGCAGATGGGAAAACAGTAGGAAGTAAACAGAACTGAGACCACTGGACACAGATACGGACACACCAAGAAGAGCAGGAGAGAATATTTTTCTTCATTACCAAAGAGAGAGACAGACAATTATGGCAGGAGTAAGAATAGTTAGTAAAATCCTTTTTTATATGGAAGATGATGTGAAAGAAATACACTGGGAATGAATCCAAAATAATGCAAAACAAGTTCCTTTTAAATTCAGAGAAGCAGGCCAAATTGGAACACAGTCTGATGACTGATCCCTATTAGGTGACGAAGGCTGAGGGGCCATGTCTGAAGAACATAACTTTCATACTGAATCTCAGAAAGGTGGTGGGTTAAATTATTCTTTATGCCATCTCCTAACAGCATGGGGTTTTAGCTGGACACAATGGTGCATACCTACAATCTGAGTAGGTAGAGGCATGTGTATCTTGAGTTCAAGGTCAGTTTAACTCTACTCAGAGAGATCCTATCTCCAAACAAAATAAAACAGAACATGGAGAATTTTAATAAATAGCGGGGTTGACTTCAACTTCTGAGTCTGTGGCCTATTTCCTCTGTAACATTCACTAATTGTCATTCTAGTCTGAATATCTAATTTTGAAGAATATTATAATCCAGAAATCTTTTCTTTAGATTCCCTATCTCAACTGCTCAAATTTTTTTCAAATCTTTTCCTCTTTAATATTTGTGTTTACTTATGCAAATAGTAACTGTTCTTACCAATGACAGCAAAGATAACACATCATAAATGAAAAAGGTTAGTCAACTGTTACACTGGTGTCAATCAAGTGAAATTCTAATGAAAACGGATGCATGTTCTCCCTAATTTAGAACATATCTTAATATAACCAAATCACCATGTTACAAGGCTACAAATATTATTTCACTTTCCAGTTTTAGTGATCATGACTTATACTTTATGTACTGGAATTTAGCTAACAAAAGTACTCATCTCTAAGGGTGTTTTTCAGTTCAAGCCTATTGTTATCAGGTGCAGAAGAACAAACCCTCTAACCAGAGCGGCAAAAAATAGTTTTAGACAATAGACTCTCATTTAAAGAGCAGCTTCATAAGCATACATATATGCAGAGTGGATGACATCTTCACAAGCCCACACATGTGCAGAGTGGATGACATCTTCACAAGCATAGACCTATATACAGAGTGATGTATTCAAAACCATATATATGTGCAGAGAGGATGTCTTCAAAACAATACGTATGACAGTGTCAAAAGCACAAAAAGTGTTGTGGAGGATGATGTATTCAAAACCATGCAGTTAAGATTTCCTATCTCAACTGCCCTTCAGTGGTTAAGACTGAAACCCCATTCTCACTTTAAGAAGCCATCTAAATGAAACATTCCTCCTATTTTGGAGTCACATATCTGTCCACTCACTTAGCTTTCCTCAGCTTCCTCACTTCCTCTAATGCTGCTTCTGTGCAATAACCAGTTTCTATATATTTTTTCTTCATCCCAGGGTCTCACTATGAGTTTCAGACTATCCTAGAACTCAGGTTGTAAGTAGCTCAGGTTGGCCTTAAACTCAGTTCTCTTTTTTGCCTTAGCCTCCTAAATGCTGGAATTACAGGCATGAGCAACCACCCCATCCCCCTTTCTTCATATGCCAACTAGAGGCAACACATAAAACTTCACAGCTTCATCGTTTCCTCTTTGATGACTCAGATCCATCTCTTGGGTTAACTCCCATTTCTAAAAGTAGTGTAACAGTGCTTTCATTTCTCTGCCAGCGACCCTACACTGATTCCCATGAAACACTGAAGCACCTATCTGACAGGCCACAGTGGATCTGCAGCTTTAATTCCTCTCAGAACTGCAAAAGCCAAATTGGCTCAAAACAGCTTTTGGTTTTTGGACACCCCCCCCCCCATGGTTGCCTACCCACTGTGTTTTCTCCACTGGTCAGCAGTTGACAGTTAAACACATTTTGGTAACCAGGTATATACTTTTTTGCATGGCTAAGAATCTGTATCTGCCCTTGTAGTGGTGGTGGTAGCACACACCTTTAATCAGCACTCAGGAGGCAGAGGCAGGCAAGTCACTGTGAGTTCAAGGTCAGCCTGATCTACAGAGTGAGTTTCAGGACAGCCAAGCCTACAGAGAAATCCTGTCTCAAAAAAAAACAAAAAACAAAAAAAAAAAAAAACAAAACACAACAAACAAAAAAAAAAGTATCTGTAAGTATTGCTTTATCTAACAAGACAACAACTTCTGTCTGCAAAAGAAGTATGTCTAAAATTTTTTGTTTTATAAATAATATAAGACATGAATTTCAACATTTATATAAATATTCAGATTAACCAGGACTCAAAGAGGTATCCAATCAAGTGAGAGAAGAAGAGAGAGAAAATCCCATTTGAGAGACAGAAAAGCAGAATCTGGGAATAGATGTTGCGGTAACTTGGGGTTCTGGCTAGCCATATGAGTAGAAGGAACTACTTAGTGATGTTTTAGAAAACACGAGTTATCTAATATTTACTAGGTGAAGTTTCCCCATGCAATGGGAGGATAGTCTTAATAAATATAACTTCAGGGATGCTGTACAATCCAGATCTTATTCATGTGAAAAGTAGACATGGCATAATGCTAACAAATTTAGAATTTCATTTGACTCTACTGTTGACTTAGTGATAAATTACTTGTTCAAACTATATAGGATGCATGCAATATGTATAATATATGCAGTACATTAATATACATTATATAACATATAATGCCATTTATATGTAGTATCAAGTTTTATATATATGAATGTATATATATAAATGGTTTCTTATTCATTGAAACAAGATATGTCACTAAAATTGGACATTTTTCAAGGAAATGTCATTTTAAAAAAAAACCTCATTTTTATAAGAAATTTATGTTTTCTTCATAAAAGAAAAAAGAACATTTACTACTGCAATTCTACACTTGAGTAGATCTGACTTGTCATGGGGAAAAAGTTACTGCATTTTTTTTTTTTATATATATAGAAGCTCAATAAATGACAAGTCTTAGTTTATAAAACAATAAAAGTGGACCAAATATCCGAGCTTAGGAGAGTTAAGACTAAAACAATGCTGACAAAGAAAATCAGAAGATGAGAAATACCAGATTAGATCTTGCAGTGTAGTATATTTCTTCTGAACTGTCGAAAAAACCATCACTGTCGGGCTGTTTAGCAGAGACCAAGAAACCCAGGTTATTGACACTTAGACTGACAAGCCACAAACTCACAAGGAACACTTTCACATGAGAGGTGTATCCTGCTAGCATAATTCTATTAAGGCAAATGCAAAATCAAATGATAACAAGTAGCTTCCACACAAGCAACATGACAAAACTGCTTGATAACAGTTACTAAGTTAGTGCAGATCTGCTTAGACTAACTTAACAAAACACAATTAGCAGTCATAAACATTATGACTGCTTTAATTCTTAACCTTCCCTACCCTTCTACATGAATGGCAGGCTTTAATGTTAAAATATGATCATTTTAGGATTTTGGCATTCTTTCTTCAGGATAGTACAATGAAATCATAAGACAGAGGCTATTGTCTTCCTTTGTGAAGTCAAGGGGTGAGAATGCACATTCAACTTCACAAGAAAGCTCCTACTGTAGCAGCCTTCAGTATTTATTAAATATTATTTTCTTCCAGTTTATTAAATGGGAAAGGAAAAACTCACCATACTAATGATCTTGAAGCCTTGGCAAAGCAATTTTTTAAGATTATTCTTTTAAGCTCATTTTCATTCTTCTATAAAGTATTAACTACTCAAATATTTGTAGAGTACTCTGCCTCCAAGACTAGATCAGAGCATTGCATCTGGACAGCAGTACATAAAATCACCACAGAAGCATCATGAGCCTTTACATGCCGGCAAGCTTCATTTGTTTAGAGGCAAAGAATCTAGCCTCCACATCTGCACCGAGTGGTAGCACTCTAAACATGCCAGGCACTCACTGCTGTGATGTTCAGAGACCCTGGGTTTTCCTAATGAATACAACAACAACAACAACAACAACAACAAAAGCTCCTTAAAACCAAACAAACAAACCAAAAAAAAAAAAAAAAAAGTAAAAGGCCAGCATTTAAAACAGTTAATCAGAGAATGGCAAAACTTATCTCATCAAATAATTTTGAAAATACTCAGCAACACAGATTTATTTAGTATTTCAAATTACCATTTTTCTCCAAATACTTTTGAAATATTAATTACTAGCTAGTAATACTGATGTATCACAAATGGAAATTTAAGATTTAAGTTCAGAGGTTAACATTCTAAGACCAGGGTACTTACAAGTTCATGATGTGGCTCTGTTTCCTTCCGTAAGGGAGGATCAAACTTTACTTGGCCAACTGAGAAGAAAAAGAAGTTATGTCAGGATATGGATGTTTTCCTCCTTGTTTTTGTTTGTTTGTTTTGTTTTGAGACAGGGTCTTACTATTTTAGGTCAGGCTAGCCTTGAACAAAGGAACTTCCTGTAAACATTAAGTGATGTGAATTAATTAATTAATTCATGCAAGCAAAGCTGGGGTTGAAACGGACTTGTTCATAATAGGCCATTACTCTATGCTAAGTTTCATCCTTGGCCCACTAGGCATTTTCTACAGTAAAAACAGAAAGGGGCAAAATGACATGCTGAAATCAGGGTGTAACTTGCTCATGTGTGATAGATGGTCTAGCATAAAGATCTAGAAGGCATAAGTTTTCAAGTGCTGAGAAACAGCTCTATATAGCCTAGCTATGTGTGAGAGTCTAAGTGAGTGTGTTCGGTAGTACTTGTTAATGGCTCAGATGTCAAAGGATGGTCTGGAGTAGACAGCTCAAGAAGGGGCCCTTTATCACTGTTTGCACACAATCTCTCATCAAAGATTACAAAAGAACTTTCAGCAAGGTATTAAAAATAGCATTTATCACCCCTCCCTGTTCCTGTACTCTGGATGGAGATGTGTTCCCAGGAGGAGGACAAAGTCTCCACAGGGACTCATTTTTCACACCTAACACTGACATCACGCTTCTGTTCTGACACTGTGTTCCCGACGTTGTGTTATGCCTCTTCCAGCTATTGTTTAAATGACTGCTGACCATCCCAGTATGCAACACTGTCTTTGCTCTTAATAATGCCAGACCTCTGCCTATTACCATCTATCAGGTTGAATCTGTTTTGCCTACCACTTCCTTGTGTGTTCACAAGGAAACAGTTGAAGGCAGAGGGGTTTCCTAAAAACAAAAGGCAACAAACAGCCTTTCTGCAAACACGAAAGTTTTACACCTGATGCTTGAATGCCATTTAGTTGCCAACTGGTCACATCAAGAAATGCCAGGTAGCTGGAAACAAAACATTATCAAGAATGTACTTAATCATTGTTCCAAAGCCTATCTGTATAGGTAACATTATAGAATAGTCTTCTATATATCAAATTTTACATGTACTCATAAAACACCTTGTAGTAGCTGTTTTTTTTTTCTTTTTTTTCTTCTTATATTCATCTGAGAAGAGGGAATATTAATTAAGAAAATGCCCCCCAGCAGACTGGCCTGTGGAGGTTTTCTTGACTGATGATTGCTGGGGGGGGGAACATCCTGCTCACTAGGGTGGAGCCACTGTGGGCTGGTGGTCCTGGGTGCTTTAAGAAACCAGGCTGAGCAGGTCACAGAAGCAAGCTAAGTAAGCAGTATTCCTCCACAGCCTCTGCATCAGCTGACAAATGTTGATGTAAATTAGCCAAGAGCGATGAAGAGATCAACCGGGTGAACTCATGGGCCAAACTGAGACCAGCCCATCCCTCTCTATTGAACCACAGGCTATATTTAACAAGCTCTCCAGGTATCTCACAGGCACTCAGGAGCTAAGATGCACACCCTCGATGATGTCTATCTTCCCTAGTTCCCATGTTTTACTTTTCCTTCCAAAATGTAATATTCTTGTCATCAAAGGTTCCAAAGGAATAAAGAAAATAAAATTTGTATTGTGCTCATTAACAACAATGTTTACAAAGAAAAAAGGGTAAGTTATAGAAAATAATCTAACTAAGCTCTTCCAAAGGTCCTGAGTTCAATTCCCAGGAACTACATGGTGGCTCACAACCATCTATAATGAGATCTGGTGCCCTCTTCTGGTCTGCAGGCAGAACACTGTATACATAATAATAAATAAATAAACCTTTTTAAAAATCTTGTTTCTGGTCACTGAATCCGGATGGTAGAGGGTCTATACTCACAGTTTATCTCTGAGCGGGTTTTTTCTTCTCTCACATTTCTACTTGTTGAAGGAATTCTATGTGGTACAGCAACAAGAGGCTTAAAAAAAAAAAAGAAACCAAACCCAAATTATTGATGTGTAACACTTGATAATGAAGTCAGTTTTATCCACAAAACTATGCACAGATAAATGAAATGTTTCATTTTACAAAAATGAAAATTAAAGCAAATTTTCATATTTTAAAAAGGTAATCACCGCATCAGTCTAAATTATGAAGGTAAAAATAAATTTATTTTAAGTTGCCTATTCAAAACAAGCTGTTTTTATTCTGGTAGAACGTGCTTCTGTGACCAGGAAAAATAAACAAAGAATTAAATCATGTATCTGTTTATTTGTACACATAATATTAGGGGTGCACAGAGCCATTTCATAAGAATGAATTGGTCATACTCAGGCAGAGAAGCCATAACAGTACTTCTCAACCTGTGGGTCATGACCCCTGAGGGCAGGGTGTCAAATAAGCCTTTCACAGGGTTTGCACATCAGAAATCCTACATATCTGATATTTACATTATGATTCCCAACAGTAACAAAATTAGTTATGAAGTAGCAAGAAAAATAATTTTACGGTTGAAGGATCAGCACAACATGAGAAACTGTATTAAAGTGTCGCAGCATTAGGAGGGTTAAAAGCCACTGAGCCAGAAGCAGTGAGGCACACCTATAGTCCCAGCTACTCCAGGGTGAGGTTGAGGGGATGAATGCCAGCCTGGGTAGTAAATGAGACTGCTTCCATATGAAAGAATGAAAAGAAAACTAAAAGCATTATGAAGAAAAGGACAGCACTATGAAGATCTGTACACAGCATTTTGCAATAATGGAGGCCAACCATCTTTTACTCATTTTTAATGTGTACTATATTTTAGGTTTTTATGTGTGCACATTCATGATTATGTGTGGAAGTCCAGAGGACAACCTGGGAGGGCTGGTTCTCTCTTTCCATCATGTGGGTCCCAGGGATGGAATTTGGTTGTCAGGTTGGGTAGCAAATACCTTTACCTCAGATGTCTATTAAAGTTTATTCTTTGGCTTACAGATTTTTGAAATAACATGGAATACATATTCACTTGCAGAGGGTAGGAGATAATGGCATGTTTCAATGTTGCCACAATATGAACTGAACTGACTGAAGCAAGCTGTTCAAAACTGTGCAATTATGTTTCTGTCAACTTTGACATTTGTTTTTCAGAAGACCCCCCCACCTCCCTTTATTAAAAGTATGTTCTTCATTCCATCTTAATCTCTCTGGCTTTTAGATACACCATTATAATTTCTGCTAGAAAAAGATAAGCAATCATTTAATTTGGAAAGGAGTTGTTCATAGAAGCTGGCTTTCGGAATGATTATTCTGCCATTGTTAATGTAAGAGCTGTCAAGAACTCAAAAGTAGCAAAAGAATGAATGAAAACTTATGGTTTAAGGAAACTCTTTGGGAATGGAATCTCCAGCATGTTGGGAATCAGATTCCCAAGAGTTACTTGATTAGACAAAGAAAGACTATCTAGAGGCCATATTATTTCCAACATGAAGAACAGAGGTAAACCAAAGCCTCAATAGAGTTTTCCATTCACAAGTACAGACTGAGACGATTGTAAAAGAAAGTCCCCCCCCCAAAGCAATGCACTCAGAGAAAGATTACTGGGAGAAAGGGCTGTCATGACACCCACCCTGAAGTTAAAGCAGGTGGGACAACACTGAGCACAACTTACTCTAATCAATGTGGCCAAAAAGGAAGAAATCAAACAGGCAGAAGAAGAGTTCAGAATCTGGAGAGGGAGCCCTGAAGGGACAAAGGCCACAGAGATAGTCTCAAAAAATAAACAGAATTTAAACTTGACCTTTGAAGCATGAATTATTCTCAATAAATATTGTATACTAGTCATAAAATCTGCCATGGTAAGTTCGGCAATGATCAAGTAAGAATCATCCTAATGGCATTTAAAGAAACAAGCCACTCATAAATTCAACTTTCTTTTTTTTTTAACAATGCCTTCCATGCCTTAGATTCAAGTAATTTCTAAGATATATTAAGTATTGTGAATGAAATAAACCATTTTTGGTTTGTTGAAAAACAACCACATTTATTTATTTTACTATGTGGACACACATGCCATAGCATGTATGTGGAGGTCAGAGAACAACTTGAGCAAGTCAGTTTTCTTCTACCAACATGCATGTTCCAGGGACTGAACTCAGGTCTTTAGGCTTGGCAGCAAGAGCTCTTATCCTAAACCAATGTGCTATCTCATTAACTGCTCACCTTTTAACTCACAGTATCCAATATAGCTCAGGCTGGCCTTCTTTTACTCATTTTGCCTCTACGTCATTTCTAGCATTACAGGTATACAATACCATCCCCAACGATTTCTTTTTAATTTAAAATTTTAAGTTGCACAGAATAGCCTCAAACTTTCTATGGAGCTGAGGCTAGACTTGAACTCTTGATCTTGCCTGTATCTCCCAAGTTCTGAGATTATACGTCTGCCTAATAACTAGGGCTGGCTCTGGTTTTTTAAAGTATTATTTCTTTAAAAATTATAAAATCCTCTACAAGGCATTTCATGTTGGTTCAAGTTATGATTACTCATAGCTCTATGACTACTATATCATTAGATAACGCAAATGCAAATATAGGCCCATTAAAATATGAATAATATAAAGTTTATACTGAATGAAGGAAAGATGTGGACAATATGATAGCACTAGCTAGTTAACATAAACCAGTTTACTGATTCATATATACATAATAGGATGTCATTATGTAACAAACCCTGGCTGTGAACTTGTAATCCTGTTAATGATGATGATCAAAGTATCACCATGCTTGGCAAGCTAGTGTTTTATCATCAAAGGGAAATTTTGTACATAAAGAGACATTTGGCATTACTGGGGACATTTCTGGTTTCACAACTGAGGATCAAAGGGTGCTATTGGCAACTAAAAGGATGAGGCAGAGATACTGTTAAATTTCCTGCCCTCACACTGCAGCTGCTCACAACCAATGCTTGTCTGAGCCTAAATATACACAGTGGTCAGTCTGACACAACCTACTCTAAAGGGAGTAGTGGTGGCCTCTGTCTCTCTTCTAGGTGAAGGATTAGCCTAACTATGGCTCATGGCCAATTCCCACTGCAGTCTATTTCTATAGAAAGATCTCACTGGAGCATCACCAAGCAAGCCCCTTCCTGGATTATCCACACTTTTACTCACTAGCAAAGTCTGGAATGACAGACCATGGGGCTCAAATTCAAATCTACTTCTATTTAAGTTTTAGCAACAATGGATGCCAACCGTCTTAGGTCAAATCTAAGACAAGTGAATTTTGATGCTTTGACATCATTATGTTCACTTTCAGAGCCCCATCTTTAAAAACATAACCAGGCACATACATCTTAATGCAAAAGAAATTATACCCACCCCAACAATAATCTCCCTCTAATTTTCTAAGAATTTTACAAAATATGAAAAGTACAATCTTTCTTTAAGAGAGGTAAGTGTGTGCGGGTTGGCTTTTGTCTGCTTGAAAAAGCTGGGGTCACTACCTCCACCAGAGTGGCCAGCAGTAAAGACAACAGTACACTCTTTTTTAATGTGTAATACTGTGCAGGTATCCCTGGGCGGTACAAGAAAGCAGTCTAAAAAGCCATGAAGCAAGACAGTAGTGTTCCTCCATGATGTCTGCTTCAGCTCCTGCCTTCAGCTTTCTGCCTTGGCTTCCCTCAATGATTGACCATGATTGTGACTGTACGCCAAATAAACCTTTCCCACCCTCAGTTGGTTTTTGTCAGTGTTTTAGCAAAACAATGGCAGGCAAACTAGAACATGCATAAAAATAATAAAATCCAAATAAAATACATTAATCTTTTAAGCTTCCTTTAAAAGTTTATTCTAAATATATTTATGTACTGCATGCTGTTATTTAATGTAAAGAAATCTATTATTCAAATATTTGGTCATAGGAATCTAGTGAAATATACTAAAGATTTATAGTTATGTGTCCTTTTACTTTTAAAATTATAAGTATTATATATTATTACATAATATGTATTATAAGTAGTGCAAAGTTAAAATATAAGTATTAATAACAATACTAAGTATTAGCAATACTTATTATTGTGTGTGCTTGGGTGTGTGTGCGTGCGTGTATACGTGCGTGCGTGCGTGTGTGTGTGTGTGTGTGTGTGTGTGTATGATATGTGTTTTCAGTGCATATGAATCATGGGTGCACAGAGAGGACAGAAGACAATTTTTGGGAGTCAGATCTCTCTACCCAAGGTGGGTTCTGTGGATGGAACGGGGTTGATACGCCCAAGTGGCAAGTGCTTTTTACCCACAGAACCGTCATGCTAGTTCACCCATCTTAATCACATGTAAGCTTGCCTAGATTGTAGTCATTGTTCATGAATACTATTCAAGGACACAGAGTATTTAGACATTGAATTCAAGCATTTAAATTAAGAGGTTGATTTTCATTTTTCAAATGTCTTGATGGGGCTGGAGAGGTGGCTCTGTGGTTGAAAGCACATACTACTCTTCCAGAGGACCTGGGTTCCACTCCCAGCACCTGTATCAGGTGGCTAATACCAGCTCTAACTCCAGCTCCATGGAGAGTGACACCTCTGACCTCTGTACACGCACACACACGCGCACACACGCGCGCACACACACACACACACACACACACACACACACACACACACACACACACACACACACTTGATGTTTTTAATCTTTGGTTCTTTCCTGAACCACCCAACAGTATCAATCTCTTTACAGCAGTGCCTCTCTCTGAGTTCTCTTACAGGAGTTTCTGACTTCTCTACAGAAAGGAGCTATTCTTTTTTTGGGGGGAGGGGGTTCAAGACAGGGTTTCTCTGTGGCTTTGGAGCCTGTCCTGGAACTAGCTCTCATAGACCAGGCTGGCCTCAAACTCGCAGAGATCTGCCTGCCTCTCTCCCGAGTCTGGGATTAAAGGTGTGGGGCAACACCTCCTGGCAAAAGTGGCTATTCTTTTTTCCTACTCCTGAAACAGGGCTTTTAAAGATTAGGGGATGTATTTCATCCACAGTAGCTTCCCAATAATGTTCAGTGAGCTGAATATAAATTAAGATTCAAAACTGAATACTTTCATAATCAAATAGCTGTTCAAATGTTGCAACTAGCTTTTGAAAAGAAACCACAGAGAAATGTGGCAGAGTGGGAAAAGCATAAAGAAAATCTGCCTTTCCAGTAAGTGAACAGGAGAGAAACTCAAGAAGTAATGCCAAGAGCATTAGAGACAATTTTCCTTCAGTGAACAGATTTTCTTCCTAATATTCATTTTTCTGGAAGAGTAGTCCCCTCTTCTCTTTCCTTTTATTAGAACTATTCTAAGTAATTGCCCCTAAGAAAGGGCATAATGGGTATTACTGTTACTTCATGGTGGTTCTTACAACCTTAGGGAGTCATGAAGACATGTTTGAAACCCTCAGCAGCTCCATCCTAAACCTGACAGCAATGCAAGACGACCAACCTAAAGTGACTATTATGAAGTAACTACAGTAATTTCAACAAGTGGATTAAATGATTTTGCCATCTTCCACATCTGTCATCAAATAGCCAATAAGCAAAATCTAGCAAGTGACTTCCCAGAACAAAAAACTTACTCTCCCCAACCAATAGTTTGTTTAAAATAGATTTTAAAAAAAGTTCAAACATTGATACACACACACACACACACAAAAAAAAAAAAAAAGAAAAGAAAAAAAGAAATCCTACCTCAGGGTCATCATCATCAAAATCATGGTATGTGGAATGATCTGGGTTATTCACTTTATCCAGCAATTCTATTGCCAAAGACCTTGTCAGAGGCTGGGTGACAAAGGGGTGCTATAAAACACACAAAACACTTTAGAGATTTGATTAGATATCATATCTTACAAATATGTGAATGTTTCAGGGTAAAAGAATACCTGTAGTAGCTTTTCTGCAGTTGGTCTTTTTTTTGGATTTTTGGTAAGTGCCATCTTCACAAAGTGATGGAAACTATGTGACCTAAGAGAGGTTGAAAATTAAGCTTCTGTATTCTAATTCCCTTCTTGCTTATCCTGCTATAAAAGTCAATTAAAAAAAAGATACTTACCACTTCAACTTATCTTTGAGTTTGGGAGGCTGGAAATTGCTTTTTGTCATTAGAAACAATGCCCTGAAAAACAGATAAAACAGTGCACTTCTCAACATTTCACATTCTAATAACAGGAATACATTTCTATCCAGTCCCAACAAGGCTAAAGTAAATTCATGACATAGTCAATACGCATCAATCTGCACTGGGCTTAGCATGGTCACACTGACCTCATGGGGTGAAGGTCAAACATGGGTGGCTGGAGCTCGGCCAGCTCGATGGCAGTGATGCCCACTGCCCAGAGGTCACACAGCTGATTGTACCCTCCTTTCCTCTCAACAGCTGCAACTTCTGGGGCCATCCTGCAGGAAATAATCCAGAAAACAGAAACCATGTGGTTAGTGTGCTTCCCTTTACTCTCACGAAAGGCACACAAACTTGTCAATGGAGAAATTAACTTCTGTTTAGTCCTTGATATCGGAAAAAAAGATTTGCCGTATTTGAAAGACCCACTTTCCCCAAGTTCTTGATGTCTCATGGGAGGCACCTCAACCTCCCCAGTGACACTGTCATCAGTTACCTATGCTACAGAGTTTATCAAAATTTACCAGTGTGACATTAATCTGCCCCAAATCTGTTCACATCCTGATCTCTGTTCCCCAAAGTTCTATAAAGAAATGACATTTGCAACAAATGGTCATAAGTGTTTTACTCTACTGCAACTTGGTCACTGATTTTATTTCACCATGTCTCTGGGCACCAAAAACTTTCAAATTTAGCATTTAATTTATATTTACTACAACTTTTGAATGTTCTTTAAAAGTTTTACTGCAATAATGAAAAAGTTATCAAAATGAGTACTTCCTTTTCAAAATGTTTTATTCAGAAGCAAGATACCCAAACTTGGTAAGTTTTTAATTGCTTTTAACTTTGCTACTGTTTAGTCTAATTATACCTTGACTTGTTTAAATGGTTAATTTTCAAATACACAATCTTTGAAATCCCAAACCACAGTTTTAGAGACAACGAAGAAAACACACAATTTTCCAGTTCAAAAGAGCAAGTTGAGTGAGGGCTTCACAGATGCACATACTGTTTTCCAGTATGGCTGCAGGATAATTAGGGAAGTTACAATAAAACAACAACAACAACAAAAAGAGGCAATTTTTAAAACGATTTAAATCGTCTTGAAATATCTCTCATGGAAATTAAATTATGATAAGCATAAGCAAAGTAAACTTTAAAATGTGCTGGCTCTCAGCTACTGACAGCTAGAATGCAGCCACAGAAGACAGAAACCCCTATAGCGACAGGCACTCAGTTGCTGATCTTAGAAAGCAGTATTTGCCCTTCCCAGGCCCAGCACACCAGCAAGCTTCACAGCGACATGCAGATGGTTGGTTGGTGTATTTACTCCTGCCATGTACAGTCATGTGTGCCCACTCATCTGTGAACTAGTGCTTCAGATATGTGTGCTGCAAACACACAACGTAATGAAGTATTATGACCCCTCCCTCCCCAGACAGAGTTTCTCTGTGTAACAGCCCTAGCTGTCCTGGATCTCACTCTGTAGATGAAGCTGGCTTCCTCATAGAGATCTGCCTGCCTCCCCAGTGCTGGGATTAAAGGTGTGCACCACTATGCCTGGCAGAACACTCTTATAAAAGTAAAATGACTAAGCTGGGAACAAAATTAAAGTGAATGCTTTAGAAAAACTTGTTAAAGACAACCAAAAAGCCTAGCAAACAAGGCAAGGGCACAACAATCACATAAAGTACTATGATGGCTCCAAACGGTGTGACTCCATGTGCCGTGCATTTGACGACAGGGCAGAAGAGCTATAGAGACACAGGTCACAGGAGTCACCAGAGGTAAGGGGTAGTTATAGGAAATGTGTCTGGATGGTGGAAATTAGCTTTATCTTCACTGCTGTCCTTCACCAAAAGCAGTTGAGTAAGTTGGAGCTCCATCATCACAAATGAAATGTCTAGAGTTTGTTCATTTACTACTAATCCCCTTATCACTTCAGCAGGCTTTCCTGACAAGCCACTAGTCTGACCACTTTGCAAGAGTGATTCTTTACTATGAGATAAAGGTGGGAAAAGGCACAGCACAAGACAGACACAGAGAGCAGGAGTGTTAACCAACATCACTTAATTCAGCTGCACATGCTGCCTGGGTATTTCCCACTCTACAGGGTTTAACCTCTGTAGCTGGAGGTAAAGATCAGTCCCCATTAACAAACGTTAACTGGGCACGTGTACACAATGAGGAGAGTCAGGAGATGTGTGTGTTCCTCCAGATGCTTAAAGACAAATTGGGGAGAGAGGACTTGGGAAGAGCAACAGATTCTCCTCAAATCCTTGATCCTCTCTGAAAGCAAACCAGATCCAGGAAGAGCAGAATAAGGAGAAACAAATACACATCTTTTGAAGCCCTAGGAGATACAACTTACCTAAACCACACAGACACTAACAGTAAATGTGGAATAACACTCTGAGAAGAGAAGGAAACCCAAGGGATGAGTACACAAGCCTGGTTAGCCTCAAAGACTGCCCCACATGCTGCAGAGTTACAAGCTAACAGAAGTCAGGCTGAGACTGGCTGAGGATAGGAATAGTGCTTAAATGTCAACAGTTAATTCCAGATTCCTACTCTTATCCGCTGGCCCAGTAATTACTCCTTCCTCATTCCCACAGGACAAGGACCAGTAGAAATGGCAGGCTTCACTCAGGAATTAAGTAGATTTGTGTACAGAATGTTGAGTTGCCCAGTGTCCTTTGCTTGCCCATGTTGGGAACACTAAACACCAGGCCCACACCTTGCCTTTACTGCACACTGAGATGTGATTCAGCTTTGCTTTTGTGTTCTGAGCCAGGCCCAGTTTGCTCCATGCTGTCCTTAAGCCTTGGGCTCCAATGAGTCCCCAGTCTTGGCCACCCCAAAGCAGCCACCCCAAAGCAGGCATACCCACCACATTCAGTTCTAGAGCCAGCTGCAAGATCTTGCTCTTGGGGTGTGAACAAACATATAGTCATTTTTAAACTTTTGAGGGAAGCCTCCTTCATGAAAGTCTGAATGTAAAAAGCTGAATATAAATTCTTGTGGAAAACTGAAGACTTTTTTGATCCTCTGAACTCTGAAAAGATGGCAGGCCTGCAACTTGCTATGCAGAGCATCAGGCTAGCCTTGAATTCAGAGATTCACCTGGATCTTGAGCATAAGATTTTTTAAAGTAGGAGAAACAGGGCAGAGTGGTGCATGCCTTTAATTCCAGCATGCAGGAAGCAGAGGCAGGCAGATCTTAGTGTGTTTGAGGCCAGCTTGGTCTACATAGTGAGTTCCAGGATAGCCAGAGCTAAATAGTGAAACCCTGTCTAGAAAGAAAACAAACAAATAAATAAGTTGGGAGAAAGTGAGAAAACTAGTAGGTTGATTACAGTGGCCCAATTTATAACTAGTGAAACCCAGAGAGAACGGGAAGAAATATAGCTGAGAAATGACCAAGTCAACAAAACAGGAGTACCATCTAGAATGTAAAAGAAGTTCATCTCTGGGGTAAAAATCCAATGACAAGTGTGAATCAAAAAAAGTAAAAACAAGCAAAATAGCTAGGATATAAAAGTAACAGGAAGCATCATGGAGTATCAAAACAAGGTATGACTATGGAGGGGGCAGGTTACAGTCAAAGAAACATGCATCAGAGTGGCTTTCCATGGCATCACAGAAAAGCCACATATACAACACCTCAAAAATTCTAACCTAGTGTTCTACACCCAATGGAAGGTGAAGCTAGAGATGCAAAGTCCAAAAGCTTTTATACCTACACACCTTTTACCATAAAGATACTAAAACATATTTCAAAACAGATAAAAAGAGGAAGACCCATAATCCAAGAAAGCTCTGGAGCGAAGTTCTATTAAAGGCTACACTCGAGCATGAACAGACCAGAGTGGAAAATGATAGAAGATTCCAGGAAGAAAAACAGAGCTGTAGCTCAACTGTAGAGTGTTGGTCCAGAATGCATTAAGTCCCTGTGCACGCGCACGCACACACACACGCGCGCGCACACACACACACACACACACACACACACACACACACACACACACACACCTGATAGCTTGACACGCTATGTATAAGCATACAGACAAATCTTACAGAACTGGCCAATGTGAGATGGGGTGGGTTGTCTTATAGGAGATCAAGATCTAAGCAAATTAAAAAGAAAAGATTCAGGAAAACAGAGAATGATGGAAGACTGTTGACCGATTCAGCAAGAACACTGTAAGGACAAGACAAATGAAAGATGAAGAAACTGTAATCTTCAACTATTACAACAAATTCTACAGATAATGGCTAGTGCTAGACACAGCAAAGGACAGGGCCGTAAGTTATGTTTGTTTTTTTAATAAAAGCCATTTTAACTCTAGCAGACTTTGAAAAACTTGTATTTGATAAAGAGACCAACTAATACAAGAAATATTTATCATGTTCCAAATTTAAAAAACAAACAAACAAACAAACAAAAAACCCAGTAGAACAGCTGTGTAGTGAGGGTCAGACTAGAGATGTCTGGGGAGTAGGAGCTTTGACACTGAAGGTATGGCAAGACTACGCAGTGGTGAAAATCAGAGCAGTGCTGTACCTACCCACCACTGTGCTCAGTGCTCAGCTAAGCCACTAAAACACAGTTACATGGCTAAAACGATAGGGTAAGTAAAGAATGATAGGATGGTTTTCCTAAGATAGCAAAGACTATCTAAAAGACAAGTATGGTCAGAAAGGAAGGTCTGTGGATTAGACTACTAGAAAAATGTTGAAGGACTAAACTGGGGTCTGGCGTGGAAGATTCCAGATGCCCAGAGGCCTGTCTTTGATCACAGTCAAGTAAGACTGCAAAAAGGACTGTTTGGGGAGACAAACAGTGGTAGAATGTTACTTAGCATGTTTGAGGCCCTACATTCAGTTCCCAGCAACACCAAAACAGCAAGGTTCTTGAAAACTGTGAATAATGCAATCATCACAACACGAAGGAAAAAAAGACAGATATAAAAACATTCAAATATGCATCAAGTATTGGGAACCTAACAACTGTATCATACTTTAAACGTTTGTCTGCATTATGAAAATGTAGGATATGGTTTGGCCATCCCTAAGAATACATGCTTAAATTACTAAACTCAGTGGTTACCTTCATGTACTCTGTCTTAGGCCCAGGAATTCTGACCAGTCCTTTTTGTTTTTTTGTTTTTTTTGTTTTAAGAAACATTATATACAACAATAATGACAAAACAATAAAATCTTTTAGTGAATTAAAATAAAATTACCAATATGGGGTACCAATGAAGGACTTCCGTTTGGCAATTGTAGCTGTTATCTGTGCAGAAACTCCAAAGTCAGCTATTAAAAACAAAAAGAAGAAAAAGCAAAACCATTTACAGTAACACCGAAAGTAATTTTCAATAACGATTTTCATTAATTTTATAGAAATGAAACAGTCTCCCACGTGTTATGTTTTTTAACCTTAATGAACTATTAAAATACCATAGTCTGTAGCACACCCAAGTGGATTTCCATGTAACTCACATGAATCAAACAACAACAAAAGTTAAGATAAATAATTTTGGTAGGAAAGAAAAAGCTTGGGGAAATTGAAACTGACATTTCTTGATATCACAATTTCTAGTTTCTAGGAATTTCTATTTAAAGGAATATTACTAGAAAGGACCTTTAGGCAGCTGTATATTCTATTCACTCTCTGCCAGAAAAGACCCCAAATATGACATTCCCCTCTGCAGCACCTTGCTGGTCACTAGTGGGGATTTGTTACTACTTCCTAAGTATGCTCAGTGCTAACATCTCCTAGTGGATTTAATGATTCTAAATCCATCCTAAGGGAAAGTGAGGCATGGAACACTGCCACAAATTCAGCAGCTCAAAAAACTGCTCAATAAGCAAGACAACGAGGGGACAGGACTGAACAGAAAAGGACAGAGCCTTTCTGCTTGTCTCATACTGACAGGCTGCTTAAGAAAACTATCTTGCATGTTAATTACTAGATAAATACTGTCAATCTGATTAATCCTATAGTAGACTGTCGTTCAAGGCAGTTTTATTTGTTTGTTTATATTGTGGAGCTGGGACAAACCCAGTCCCTTGTACTTTCTGGGCAAGGGCTCCCACTGAGCTAACATCCTAGCCCTATTGACATTTTTAAGAAAAATATATTTTGAAATGTGGTTCATCCTAAATAGTTTCAAATTAATTTTTCCATATTTGTTATTACATGCTTGTTGTAAGTTAACAAAGTAACCATATTGAACAATTTTCCTGTTTCAAATTTCACAATGAGTCATTACCTGTTCTGAACTTCATTTTAATCATATCTTGTAAGTTACTGTTTAAAGTAAAACAACATTTAGCATCTAAATTATATTCTCAGATAGATAATAGTCTTTTTAAAATTGGACCAACGATGTAGAATTTTTGGAGTTACTGGATATTTATGCTATCTATCCCTGAAAAACAAAGCAAACAAAACCCCAAACCAAACCCCACTATATTTCAGGAAGATGTGTACATGCAATGGAATTCTGATTTACTTACCTAATTTCACATGACCATTATCCGTTAATAGAATGTTAGCGCCCTTCAAAGGGAGAACATTTTAGATGAGTTGGAAGCAGATATTTTATTAGGTGAAACATATACTAGGTTAACTATACATATTAAATAGCCACAGCCTTAGGCCTAGAAATCCTTAAATTTAAAATTTGTTCAATTAAAATGTTACATAACTATAGGAAACATTGCTGTCCACTTTTTAGTCAATTTCATGATATTTACATAATGTGCTCCCTTAAAAAGGGCTCCTTGCTATCACAGTATGAATGCTAACACAGAAGTGATACCTTTTAATCTAAATGCTATTTCTCAGCTGATCATATATCACCACTACACTAAAATGTTATTTTAGCCTCACATTTCAATTGCTCTGATTATACTTTAAACTTGATTACTATATTTCCCCAGCCTTAAAAGCCCCTCCTTGTGCTCCCCTCTTACCCCCCGACACACACACACACACACACACACACACACACACCAGTGATGGCACATGACTGTCCTACTTTTTCGTAGATGAGGCTTTCTATTCTAATAGCTTTCTCAAAAGTTTAGAGTCAGCTAGCACACCAATCACTAGCTGTGAGTCCACAGCTACCTCCATGCAACTTTTAAATGAGCACTCCAAAGCAGGCAGCTCTTTAATCCAATGTGCTGGTATGATTATTGCCTGTGGAAATATTCTCAGAACCCCTACCTCTAACCAGCAAGACCAAGAAACAGCAGAAAAATAGAAGGGGGAAAATGAGGGGGAAGGGGTATGTGAGAGGTGGCAGAGGCAGAGGCAGGCACATCTCTGAGTTTGAGGCCAGCCTGGTCTACAGAATGAGCTCCAGGACAGCCAAGGCTACACAGAGAAACCCTGTTTCAAAAAACCAAGAAAATAAAATAGAAATCAGAGACTTCTAGACCCTTAGAACATCATCCATGAAGTGGAGATACATCCACTTATAATACCACTGATCTATAGGACAATAAGGAAAGGTAGGAGATACTAAGGGGCCCACACCAGGGCTTTTGATCTATCTCCCTCTGCATGGTTAGACTTCTGCCAAAGTCCTTACTATGTTCTCTCCCCACTGTCACGTTAAGTTTCCTAAGTTACGACTTCTATCATTCCACACACACATCACAGCTTCTGACTCATCTGTTCTTCCCTCTATCCATCCCCTTCTCTCTCTCAGAGACAACTGACTGCCAGCCAGGTTCTTAAGTTCTAGTGTATAGTAATAAACAAATTCTAGGGTTTGTGTATGTAGGTGAGAAAGAAGACAAAAAAATGATTATTTATGACCCAACAAAAGATTCAAAGTTGGGCAGAAACAAACTCTCTGAAAACAAAGCATGGAGCGAGAGCCTCTGAAACCCAATGATATTTGGCTGAAGTCTCAATGAAATAAGTATAGATAGCTGCATCCAAATCTGGAACAAGAACATTCTAGGAAGAAGAGATAGATAGCAAACATCTAGAACCAGAATGAGCTTGAAATATTTCAAGAACAGCAAATTTAGTGTGGCTATGTTGTGGGATACTTGTGGGAAGGTGTGTTACTGTGATTGGGTGTAATAAAAAGCTGAACAGTCAATAGCTAGGCAGGAGGGATTTCTGAGCAGAGAGAGGAAGTAGCAGTTAGTGGTGGCTAAAGAGAGATGCGGATCGAGTCAGACACACAGAAGGGGACCCAGGTAAAAACCATGTGGTAGAACATAGATTAATACAAGCAGGTTAGTCTAAGTTATACGAGCTAGTTCAATACAAGCCTAGACTAAAGGCCAAGCTTTCATAATTAATAAGACATCTCCATGTTGTCATTTGGGAGCTGGCAGGACAGAGAAAGACACATTGCATGGCTGAGACTGAGTAAGAGAGAGAGCAATGGAGTGTGGGGCCAGCTCAGAGAAATGCATGCAGAGCATGCATAGCCTGGACCATGCATAACCCGCTGGCCACAGTGCAAGCACCTGTATTTCTCAGTGAGTACTATGGGACTTTAAAAGGCTATCTGTTTTTCAAATGTAGCAGCCACTATAGAACCACTCGAGAATGGGAGCAGTAAAAGCAGAAGGAAGGCTACTGCAGCGACATGGATGAGACAGGACATGATAGAAGCCTGAACAAGGGCAGAGGCTGTGCCCATGGTCAGAATTTACCCAGACCCCAAAGTCTAAAACAAGTCCCCAGGTAGCTCGTCACCTATGAAACCCACACACTGCCTGCTCAACAATATAAAACAGACATTACAGTCTCCAAAAGGGCCTCATACTTCACTTTGCATTTGTGTTCAAGTTGTTCTTTTAACATGGAGAACACACCAATCTTCACTTGTGACAAAAACCCACCAATCCTTCCATCTAATTTGATGACTGGACCCTTCTTTAGCACCCTGTCACCCACAGAAGCTCCTTTACCTTCGGAGCACAAGGCCCCCTGCTTGTGTCTTGTAAGGGGCTTATGGGAAATACCTAAAGCATGAATCTACTTACATTCTAGGGAACACTGGACATGTGGAATGTGGGAGTTTTGAGGACAGACTCCAGGGCTTTCTCAGGGAATAGGAAAGCAGCAGAAAAGGGTAAAGAAGAGGGAGAGAATGGTATAAGGGAGTAAACAAAAAAAGAAGAAAAAAATAAACAGAAGGAAGAACATTTCCATTGAAGAGCACAGTAGAGACACTCTCAGGAGTCCTGTTGGCCTGAGCCAGTGGCAGCTTGCTCAGTATGCTGTTCTCCAGGAGCCAAAGTAGAACCCAGGAGCTGACAGGCTTCCTTCGATGCAGACACTTTGCTAATGGTATCTTACATTACCTTAAGAGTGCCAAACTTAGTAAAGGAGATGGTAAACAGGCAATTCACTATCATTTTATGGAAGCCATGGTATTAATGTGTGTCTTAATAGTTACAAAAGAGATAAAAAGCAAAACAACAATAACAGCTATAAAAAACACTAACAACAATAACAGCTATAAGAACACCAATCCTGTCAGGTGTGGTGTTGCTTGCCTATGACTCTAGCACTTGGGAGACAGAGGCAGAAGGAACCCAAGTTCAAATATATTCTCAGCTTCATAGTACATCTGAGGACAGACTGACCTACACAGGCAATGTCTCAAAATACCTTCAAACCAGAACCAACCAAGCAAACTCCCAAAGAATCCACTCAGCCCCACACTTCAAAGGGCAGACTTTATGTATGTGATCCTGCCTCAACAACACTACACTACTCTAAGAATGTAATGGGACTTACCATACGGCCCTCGTGTTCATTATTGTAACCTATTTCAGGTAGCAAACTTATCAAAGAGAATAATCAAAAGAGATATGCTCAGGGATTGAATCAGAGTATTTAAAAGTGAAAAGCAGGCCATAAATATAATGTATACCTTTATATCTCTGTGCATTTTTCCTTTACTGTGAAGATAATACAATCCCTAGAGTTTCAAAAAGAAAACAAAAAAGAAAAAGAAAAATAAGCAAGATTTATCACATGGCATAACTGACTAGTAGACACTGTTTTATTTACTCTTTATAGAGAAGAAATATCAACTGATTATAATGAAATATTACAGAAGACAACAGGGTCAAGATGAGAAAGATAAAGAAAACTCAGACAGAAGCACTAATTTTTCTAAAATAACATTTAGTAAACTGTGCAAACACTTTGAATTTTTAAAGTGTATGTCCCACTAGAATCAGAATAAATTTCAATTCCTGATACTACTGAATTTTCAAGCACATCGTGCTTGAAGTCTAGGTTATATTATAATCTTTAGGCTTTATAGTATTTAACTGTAAATATAGCTTGCATGTCTTACAATTTATAAATGTATTAAGGGGCTGAAGATATAACTTGGTATAAAGTACTTGTCTAGGATGTGAGGTCCTGGGATCAACCCCTAGCACCACAATAACAGAATACAAGTAAGTAAAATAATGCAACTGTATTAAAAGTTTTCAATAGTTTATCAAATTATTTTGTCTCCCTAACAGTAATGAATAGTACATAAACATTTAATAAAGAATAGTACTTTAAATATGACTTGCCTGTAGTGTTTCTCTGCTAACATACGCAATCTGCAGTTCTGAGAGGGGTCCAGTTACTGTACAAGGAGAAAATTAATATTAGCAAGATTAAGCAACACATGTGTTTTCCACTAAGTAACCAAGTTTATAAATCCCATTAAGAACAGACTCAACAAGGTCGGAGATATGGCTCAGTGGTTAACAGCACTGGCTGCTATTCCAGAGTTCCTGAGTTCAATTCCCAGCAAGCACAAGGTAGTTCACAACCATCTATAATGAGATCTGGTGCCCTCGTCTGAACTGCAAGCACACATGCAGACAGAATACTGTATACATAATAGATAAACAAATCTTAAAAGAAAAACATGAACAGACTCAAAATACCTAAACCATTTTACTAAACCCAATGCCAAAAAGGCAGTTTTCATTTTGATTCTTTTTCAGTCTGACATGCTCACTGTCATATTTCTAGTGTTTGGAACTTTCCCTAAAAGTATTACTACTACTACTACTACTACTACTACTACTACTACTACTACTACTATAGTTGTAAAATTAATGCATGTTCACTATGAAAATTCTAGTGAATACAGAAGTTAAAAAAGCAAAGGTCTCTTCCTTATCTAGAGTATTATAGATAATACATAATTATAAGTTTCGTCTACAATCTACGAGTTGATTTTATATAGGTATTTTATATAATCTGATCTTCAACTCATAATAGGTTATGTTCTTGAAAAAACCCATTTTAAGTTGATAATATTCTAAGTCAAAAATTAATCTTATATAACAGCACACGACATCACAGTTAAACAGTCCTGGATACATGAAGCATCAGTTGCTAACTCAAGTTCTTATTGCTCAGTGGGACTTGTAGCTTGTACCACCATCTAGTAATATAATCAAGGGTACATGACCTCTCACTACACATGGGTACAGAACAGTATCCTGGGAAAGGTCAAATTCAAAATTTGACATATGGTTTGTACTAAATGTATATGCCTTTCATGCCATTGCTAAGCCAGAAGCCTGCAAGTTGAGTCAATGTAGGTTTACATGTACTGCGCATAGAAATGAGCAAACACTAACTCGGCACCAATTGTGAAACCTACTTTTTCACTATCATAGACATTTTCTGAGTGATTTACATGCCTTAATTTTTTATCATAATTGTAATGTAAATTACACTGATAGACTGTTACACGCTGCTTCAAGACTGAGGAGAGAGGAGGCCCTCCCTTGTCTTCTTCAAAAGCTCCTGTCCTGGCTGAGGCTGGCCCCAGCTCTGTAATGGGGAGAGAGAAAACCAGCAAGCAGCGAAGGGTGTTAAAAACACCACATCCATGAGAAGAGCTAGGAGGTGAAGCCCCTCCAACAGAGGTTGCTGCTGTTTATCTCCCATACATAAAATGCCAGTGGAATGAAAGTTGCAAACCCATCCACGGCGAGAATTCAAGAACATTTAACTAGTAGTTCCAGCTAATAGCCACTTCAATTTCTGATGGGGAATGTTCTTCTGTATATATGTTTGTCTTATTGATTGATGAATAAAACACTGATTGGCCAGGCAGGATGATAGGTAGGACTAGGAGAATAGGAGGATTCTGGGAAGTATAGACAGAGAGGAGGCATTATGTGATCCCAGGAAATGACATAGCTGGGCAGAATCAGAATATAAGCAGGGGCAAACAGGAAATTGCTCTCTTCTCTGTGTAGAAGCTTAGCAGTCACCTTTTAAGCTACTGGAGGAGTAATACCATGCTGGGCATAACCAGGTAAGCCACAGCCTCGTGGCAATACATAGATTGATAGAAATGAGTTAATAATTAAGACAGAGTTAGCCAGTAAGAAAACGCTAGTCACCAGCCAACAGTTTCATAATTAATATAGTGTCTGCATGTTCATTTGGGACTGAAGTGGTGTCGGGGCCTGCTGGGTCAGAAAACTCATGTTACAAATTTCTGCTGGGTGTTTGGTGGTGTTGCCTTTGTTTACTCTGTCATAAGGCTGTCCCAGGCATTTCTGCTGGATGCTATAAAGTGGTAATTTCATGTTGTGCAATTTGAAGCTTCTATTTATCTGCCACTTGATACCATCTTTTGCTTTTGCTTGCTATATACATAACTACTTCATACAGCGTACAGTGAAAATATGGCAGTCATAGCTCTGGATGAACATATTTTGTGTGTGGATTTGCTAAGGTCTGAGTATATATTCCTCTAAAATTCATGTAGGATCTTTGTCATGGTGTATCTGCTCACCTGTGATTGCTCATGTGTGTGTTCACGTGTGTTCAGGCCACAGGATGATGTCAGATATTTTCCTCAATCACTTTCCATCTTATATATTGGCAAAGGGTTTCTTAAACCCAGAGTCCTTTTCTTTTACCATATGATGACACTGGATGCTACCACTTATCTTCCTGGACACTGAACTTGCTGGCAACTTAATCTTAGACTTCTTAGTCTCCAGGACTATAAGAAACGAGTTTCTTCTGCTTATGGATTAACCAATTTCAAGCATTCTCTTAAAGAGCACAAAGGACTATGGCTTTAGTAATGTCATGGTTAATCTTCATTGTCACTGGGGAAACTAGTGAAGCACAGAGTGTGTCTGTGATGACCTTTCTATAGACAATTAGATCATGAGGGTTTTGACTTAATAAATATATTGCTTTTTTGATGGATTCATAATATCATGAGATTATGGAGAAGAGAGAAAAGTAGGAGGTATTGGGGAACAGTTGTAAGAAGGCCACTGGGGACATGTTATTAGTGTTGTATCTTGCCTTGGACCTCTCCAGTATTGACCTTTTCTTTGCTTCTTGTCTGGCACGATGTGAACAGCCTTCTCTGCATGATGTTCACTCTTGGCTGTACCCAGGTTTCCATGAAGTAATTAGTGCTTGGAAGTATGTAATACTCTTTGATCAGCCTGTAAAGCTGTATGCTTGTGTGGACATGTCAAACAAGCTTACTTTTCTTCTTGGAGATTCTTCCCCACTCCCCTGTCTCCATGTTGCTAGTATGTGGGGAACAGTATAACATTCTAGGTTTCTTTATCCAATGAAAGAGAAGTTCTTCTCCAAGAACCTTAGTTTTTGAGGTTTTTTATTTATCTTTAGTTAATTATTTGGCCAGGAGGTGGTAGCACATGACTTTTTCCAAGCACTCCAAGAGGCAGGGACAGGCAGATCTCTGTGAGTTCAAGGGTTGCCTGGTCTATAGAGCTAGTTCTAGGATACTCCAGGCTACATAGAGAAACCCTGTCTTAAAAAAAAAAAAAAGAAAAACATGTAATTTGGATGAAGAATATGGTTTGGTGGAAAAGCACTGCTTACCACACACATAGCCCAGATTTCAATGTCAAGCATCACACATGCACTTCTGCCTGGTTTTCAAGGCTCTCACATCTGACTCCAGCCTCTAAATACACTCTCCTAGACTAACTGAAGTGACTTCTTGTGTCACACTTGTCACTAGTACACCACTGACATATCTATTAGAACAGACTTCCTCCTGTTTCTAACCAAGAATTGCCTATCTTCTCAAGATGAACAAGGCCCACTCTAACCTCTGAGCTTTTAAAGATGATTTCAGAAACCCTTTTTCCTCCTCTGATTGTGGTTGTTAGAATATAGCAGAACACTAATTAGTATATAAAAGCACAGCAACAATCCCACTGTTCCATCATTCTTATGCTAAATAAAACCTATACCAGGAAGATAGTAATGGGAAAGGAACTCTGAAAAGTAAACTTCCCACAATGGCCTTTCACCATCTTCTTTAGTACAGTGTCAACCCTGACATTACTAAGAGGCTCCATACCTGAGAAAAGGAGCTCAAGAGAAAATGAACAAATATTTTCTCAAAGAAATTGACTTCGTGAATTATTAAGATACTGTGTTTTATATATTAATCAAAAAGTAAACCTGCAGAGAAAGAATAAACCTACTCTAGTGAGAACCAGGATAGAAAGACATGAAAAAAAAAAAAAATACCCCACAGAAAATACCAAATACACTTTACCTTCTGTATTATACCACTGACTCTCAATAAAAATGGTTTTCATCATTTTCTAATTCCCTAGATTTTTGCACTAACAGAACAAACTAACATTTAAGTCCAGCTCCATGAACACCTGAGAGCAAAACCAATGACTTCAGTATCACCATCACTCAGAGTCTTGGTTACTGTTCTCTTGCTGAAAGGAGACACCACCATAAAAGGCAACTTATAAGAGAAAGCAATTAATCCGGGGCTTGCTTACACTTCTGAGGGTGAATGCATTATCATGGCAGGAAGCATGGTGGCAGGCAGGGAGGTGTGGTGCTGGAGCCGCTGAGAACTCACATCTGATGCACAAATTGCAGGCAGAGAGAAACCGCAAAGCTGATGCCCAGTGACACACCTCCTCCAACATGGGCCATACCTCCTAATCCTTCCCAAACATGTCCACTAAGTGTGGATCAAGCATTCAAACATACGAGCTTATGGGGGACACTCTCTTTTAAACCATCACACTCAGGTGTCACTACATTCTGTCATTAAGAACTTCGTAGTACTTCGAGGCCAGAGTCTGACGTTCTGAACTATGATGTCCCTTCAGAGTTAGCAAGAAATTCCAGTGAATACACCTTTCTCTTGTACAAAGCAAATGCCCCTTTCATTCCTATAGATCACGCAAGTCAAAAATAAAGCATAGCTTTCTTTTATTAAACAGCATTAATGTCTGGATATAGCAGATAACAAACTAAGAAGTGCTGCCTAATGTCTATAAAGCAACTCTGGTCTCACCATGATATATATCCTGTAAGGAACCACCACCACAGAACTCCATGCAGATCCAAAGTTTATCTCGCCTGTGAAGAGAAACAGTTGTCCATTATGTCTTCGTGATTAAAATATTTGTGAGAGTATTTTGTGTGTTATGACACTGAAAAACCTACACAAATGCAATATGCTATCTTTTTAAAATGCCAGTTAATCCCCAAGTAAATGACTTACTGCTTTGCTGTAATCCAACCCTAGTTTTTACTACTTACGACACACAATTTGTAGAATATAAAGCAGTCATTTGGCATATTCAAATGGAACTTCCCTTTAGTTAAAAATTTTCTGTCCTACAGTTTATCCATTTACCCAGATTAGCACAGAAAATGTCAACACATCTCAAACACTTTGATAGCACTCTTAACCAACAGATGTAAATGTTACCTTCAAATAAGATTCCAGAATAACATTTCCAAAGTCTATTAAATTTATCACTATTGTTTAGATAGTATTTCTCATTCATATTCTAAGATGCTGTAATCATTCAGTGACAGAAGAAATAGCAAAGATCTATCTTTTTCCTTTGTTTATTCCTTTATTCAAACATTTATTACTTTTCTCTCCTAAAATACATCAGGAACTGTACCATTCTCTGGGGCAAAGATGGGATAGGAGCTTCTGGACTTGGTAAATGCTAACTGTTATATAGGTGAACAAATATATGAATGAATGAAATAATAAACAAATAAATAAGCAGTGAGATCAGAGTCAGGAAAATATGGCCACTGGCCCAAGTCTAGACTGTTGTCTGGTTTTGTATAGTCCTCCAATGATAAATCGTTGGGAGAAATCAAGAGAATATATTTGACACATGACAATGATGGGAATTTTAGTGTCATATAGTTTCATTAGAATACAGTCATTATTGTCCACTTACATACTGTCTAAGCTGTCCTCATACCAAGACAGCAAATGTGAGTAGCTGTGTGTCACTTACAAAAACATCCAATTTTACTACATGGGTCTTGATAGACAAGTATCACACATTTTCTCCCATGCATAAACTAAGCGACTCAGCGAATAACAGGGACTACTAGGGAATGGGAGAGAACCCAGAGAAGGAGGGAGAGGGCAGAGTGGATAGGGTAGACAGGATCTAAGCAAGCTATGTGCATGCATTATGGAATATCACAGTTGACTTAAGTTAGGGTTGTCACTGCTGTGATGAAACACCATGACCAAAGCAGCTTGGGCAGGGATGGGTGGTTTATTTGGCTGACCTTTACACATCACTGTTTATCACTGAAGGGAGTCAGCATAGCAACTCAAACAGGGAAGGAGGCAGCAGCTGAAGGGGAGGCCACAGGCCCTCCCACATCAATCATTAATTAAGTGCCCTACAGGCTTGCATACACCCTGATCTTAAGGAGGCCTTCCCAAATTGAGGCTCCCTCCTCTCAGATGACTTTAGCCTGTGTCAAGTTGACAAATTTAGCCAGCACAACAGTGGAAATTAGTAATTAGTACAGATAATGCACATGAATTTTTAATGTTACAGCCATCATATAAAAAAGCCGTTTACTGAATCTTGGATTAATGTGCTAGGAGAGCTGGGAGATGAAAACATCTCAGCAAATCAAGGGGAGGTTTTGTGAGAAGACAATATTTAAGCTGGGTCCTGAAGTTCAAGCAGGAATTCCCCAGGGAGACACAGAGAAGGGGCCTGTGCAAAAGAACAAGAACTTGAAAGAAGACAGCACATTTGAGAGGCTGGTAACAGCACAGAACAAATGCAACCTCAAGAGACAATGGCCAGAGATGAAATTAGAGCACGCTGGGGTTGCACCGTGGAGCAGTTCTGGGTTGTGGACTCCTCGGTACTGTTACCTTCACCTGGGTAATGTTTAGCTTGTCAACATCTCCTGCAATGTGGCGTTAAAAACCAAGCACTACTCCGACTGCCATGTGAAAGTGCATTAAAAAGTGCAGCTGTGGGTATAAACAGGGTCAAACATGGTGGTGGCTGGATTAGCTACACCTACCTGTTGGCTTGGCTGTGTACAGCAGGCCATGTGGCAGACAGCAACCACATTAGCAACCAGGGTGGAAAGGTCAGCTAAGTGACAGTGTGAGGTATCGAGAGGTATTGACATACCATGGTTCCAGAAGGTAAGGCTCAAGAGAGTAAAGCCCCAAAGAGATCAGAAACCACCTAAGATTGAACGCTTACACGTGTGACATTTCTGTTGTGATTTCTGATAAGATACTCATCAACAAATATAGCCCACAGAAATATCAGCTGGTTGGCTAGTAATCCAGTTTCAAGAATTCTCAGAATGGTCGGCTGTGATCTTATTCAAAATGAGGAAGGTGAGGCTGGAGAGTTGGTTCAGTGGTTAAGACTGTTCTTGCAAAGGACCAGGGTTCAATTCCCAGTACCCACATATTAGATCACAAACATCTATAACTCCAGTTCCGGGGGATCCATGGCCTCTGAGGACACCAGACACACATGTGACGCACATACATACACATAGGTGAAACATTCAAGTGCATTGAATAATTTTTTAAATTTAAAAAAAAAAAGTGAGGAAGGTACCTTTTACTAGAGGTTGCTATGCTGACATGTTAAATTCTTCATAGAAGCCAGCCATTATCTTCTTTACTGAAACACCATATTCCTTTTCTTTCATTAATGTAAGTATATGTATAAGCAGGTGAAGGCCAGAGGATAAACTTGGGTGTAGGCCTCAGGGATGCTGTCTACCTCTCTTGAGACAGGGTCTCTCAATGGCTTTGAGCTCACCAATCAGAAGCCCCATCCTCCTGTTTCTGTGTCACCATCACTGGGGTTACGAGATGAGCTACCAGGCCTGGTATTTTCATGTGGGTCTCAAGGGCTGAACTCAGGACCTTGTGCTTGCAAGACACTGAGCTATTCTGCCAGCCCTGGAGTTCTAGATATATTCTGATTATCGATTCTTTGTTGGATCAATAGCTAACAAAGATTTCTCTATTCGCAGGCTGTCCCTTTGCTTGTATTATAATTTAACTTACAGTCATTTATTTAAATAACCTAACTCAAAGAAGACATATTTTTTTTTTTTAAAGACTAAAAGTATTAAGAGGAGATGAGATTGATTATGTATCACTTTCCACAAAGGCCAGGCTGGTTGTCACTTGTAAGTGCTCACTGATGACATGATTAATAATTTATTCACATTGTTTGCTAGGGAATGGCTGACAATTGATTTGATTGTATTTTTTGGAAGCCATTTTTTCTCCCTTTTGCAAATTAGTCATTGATTATCTCTAATCTTCAATGTCTCTTCTATTTGTGAAAAAGACATCTACTGATAGTGGGTGACAATCACATCTGCTAACTGTCCAGTGTGAAACAGAGCCAATATAGATCTAAAAGTTTCAATTCATTTGAAGTGTCAAGCTGCCTTGTACTTACTTCCTCACCTGCCACAGGCTTCAGCTCCATCGCAATAATGCTTTGCCTGCCCTTTCCAGTTTGAAAACAGTTCTCCATAGAAAATGAACAGGGGATGAGTTCTCTCCTGTCTTTCAGATTCACCACCACTGTCATCCACTTAAAACGGCTCCGTTCCCTGTCTCTTCTTACTTACATACAGTGAATATTTAGTCTATGCAGTGACTTTCTAGTTTATATAGGCAAAGAAAAAATATGGACTATATATGCTAACATTATTAAAATACGCCAAAAATGCTTAACTATTGTAACATTCCATTTGGTTAAAATCTCTTATTGTAAAAAATGAAAAAGCTTGAATAGTCAGAATGTCTTAGAAGAATGACTCTGTCTCAAATGTCTCCACTGTGATGATAAACCCACAGTACACAGTACTTGCCACATCATCTGTCTCATAGGCGGGGCTGAGTCAATGGCCCATTTTATACAGGCCAACAAGATATGAATCTTTGTGGGTATTTATCTGAATTGGTATAAATTTCCTGCCCCAATAAATGCTCAGAAGCCTTTTCTTATTTTGTAAAAATAACCTTTCTACCTTACAAATAAATAAATAAATAAATAAATAAATAAATAAATAAATAAATAAATAAATGAAAAAGTAGGGTGTCTCTCACTATTTTAATCTTATAGTTTGCTATTTATTAGAATTTATAGGGACAAACGTTCTAACAACTGTTACGCTGATCTGAAAGTCTTTTCTACCTTTTCAACTTCCCATACACCACAGACATAAAAGTGATTGATAAACTACATGTGATTTATGCAGTGTTCACAAACACAGCATAACTAGAAAGTAAAACAAATCTCTGAGCAGAAGCACTAGGAATCAGTGCTGCTGGGGAATGCATGATAACCTGCTTTATCTTGGGACAGTAATCCATCCAGTGTGCTCTTTCTTTAGGAAATATAAAGCTATCAACTTATTATGCTACCAACCCTCAGCACAGCCTGCTGTTTTCCCAAGTCCCACTCCCCTCACAATCTGAACAGATATTGGCAGAGAACTGCTGATGTTCATATCTTTATTTGACTGAAACTGCATGGTTGTGTTTTCACTGGGAAAGGCAAGGGAAGGAGCTAACAAAGAACTCTATCGCCTTTGCAACTCTTCTGTATCTAATATGTTCCAAAATCCCAGGTGTTGTTTAAAGAGTAACTGTACACTAACAGTGACAACTATAGTCTTTTTCTCTGTCTAAAGAAAAGTTAGGAGGAGCCTGAAGTTAAATTACCCTTAACTCTAATGGGATTAAGGGATAAATAAGTCTTTGGTTTTAATTCTTTTTCTCTTTCAAGAAAAACACAAACATTCAGACAATGTGCATTTGATTTTAAGTCAAGAGAAGAAAGTTTAGTCTGTACAGTTCTTGTTACACCATGCTGATGATGCTCAAGAGCCTGTTAAGAATGTCACGTACTCAGCTCTACAAGAGCTCAGACCAGATCTCTCCATGAAGTGAGAACAGACAGCCTGTTAGAAAGTGGGCTTCTGGAGCTTAACTATTTATCAACTGGGCACTTACTAAGAAAATTCATGGGCTGATTCTGACTTCTAATTGTCAGAAGTCAAATCACACTTGCACTTCTTCATCTTTTTATCTGTATCTGTCATAGCAGCAACAGAACACTGTCATGACCCAGTGTTTTGGAGTGGTGTACCCAACTCCAAACCCCTTGCCCCCTGTAAAATAAGCTGGCTCGGCAAAGAGGCATTGGTGAGAGACTAGGCAGAGCCAGTTTTAAATCCTGCTGGTAACAAGCAACTGAGCTTCAAGAGGAAAGGTCCCATTACATCCTGTTTTCTTGTCTGTGAAAGAGTGGGCTGGATGACAAGATCTCTCCGTCCTCTCCAGTGTGAACACAATACAGACCTAATTCTTGGGATTCCATGCCCCTCTTTGGTCCAAGTCTGTACTTAATCAGGAATAAAGAAGACTGTAGAAGAAAGCTAGAGAAAGGAAGGAAGGACTGTGTTCTTTTGTTCTGTTTGGTTTCAAACTGTTTTCATTAGTATTCCCAGTAGTAGGATACAGTCACCTATCTAAAGCGGCCTCCTCACGTTACAATCCCATAAACTAAAAGAACTCAGTTTTATTTTTAAAAAGGACCCCAACTTTGTTTTAATTTTGGTTTGAGGGGGAAAAAATTCACTATAATCTTTACATTTGGACAAAGATAAACATTTTTTTAAAAAAAGCAAATTTGATACCAAATGCTTTCACACATCTTGTTTGTAGCTGGAAATAACATGTAGTAAGAAGCACACTGCTAATGGTGTGGGAGTGATCAAACGGGACACTGAGGTGCAGCTGGCGGCGGCAGCAGTCAACATTCAGTAAGCATTGTTACAGTCTAAGTGTTTCCATTTCACATGTACTTACATTTAGTACTGTAGGTACCCCATTACATAGTGTTACCATCTCCATGTCACAGCAGAGGAAATAGAGACACTAAATGACTAAATAACTTGCATGAGTCACATTGTTAATTAGTGATGAAAGTCAGGACATTTTCCCTCAAGTCCCTAACTTCTATTACAACATTGTCTTCCTGTGAGAAGACCATGGTTATTTTACCACATGATGGGTGCCATTTTAAGCCAGTTTGCTTTGCATGCCCCATGGCGCATGAGAAACATGATTAGACCCATGTCCCTAGGGAAGCACAAAAGCTCTCCTTAGTGAAGGGCCCAGACCCTCATCCAGCCCCCTGTTTTAGCAGCCATGACAGGCTGCAGAAAAGACCTAGTAGGATGTAGGCCCCTGACTCAGCACATGTGCTTACTTTCCTGCCTTCTGACCTTGCAGGAGCTGCCCTAGTTACTAGAAGGTCAGATACCCTCCATGGGGCAAGGAACCAATTAGAAGTTACTTGGCAGGCTCTAGGCGTGCTTTACTGTAGAAGTGGTGTAGAAGTAACAGTAACTACAGAGCATAGCAACCACCCTGGAAGGGCATATAGGCCATAACAACCAGTTAACCAATCAACGCGGACAGGTTGCCCAAGCCCGTAAGCACACCAATCCTGAAACTGTTATATATCCCTAGACACTTACCTTTCATACTCCAATAAATTCCTCTCCTCCAGGTTTCTCTGGGTCCAAGTTAAAGCAGTTAACTCACTGATAATAAAGACCTTTTGCTTTTGCATTGGAATGGGTCTTTTGGTGATTTGGGGGTTCAGAATTTGGGTACAATACTCAGAAGACCAGCCTGTCCTAGGCTTTCTGAGCAGAGTCCAGGCTGGAGACTATCAGGACCAGAAGCAGATGAACAAGTCCTTCTGCAGTGGTGACTTTTATTGTGATTGGAATGAATTACTAGCACCACAAACTTAAGTGATTTTAGCTAATACAATAATTGCCCTGCTGGGCCAGCTTCCTTCCACATGGACAGATACTCAGGATGTACCTGTTGGGCTGCTATTCGAACTGCTCCCTCTTAAAGCAGTATTAAACTGGCAGATGAGAATCCACCGGGAACTGTGCAACAACACTGACCTACCCTGATGTGAGAGGACTAGTGATCTTTTTCCTGTCTCCATCTAACCCACCCCACTTAACAGACTCTAACAGGCTGGGCTGGAGTGAGGAGAGCCAGTTAGGTTTGATTTTAACAAATGAAGGAGACGAGGGACAGAACGCTACCTGGCGTTGAGCATGTTCTGCATGTGGGTCATGTGAGACTAGGAGCCTATAAGAGGCATAGTGGCCCTGCCCAAAATACAGGAAAGCATTCTTCAATCTTCCTCTTAGAGGAACCTTAAAAACAACTAGGTCACGGTGTCAGACTCACTGTGCAGACAGTAAGAGGAGCCAGGTTTGTCTGAGGGACGCCACTAAGGCATGTGGCCTGCTCAAACAACACAGGAGCTAAGCTCATAGTCGAAAGTCCAGCTTGGGACCTGGAAAAGTATATTGTGCAAATAATTATAGTTCTTAGTCTTTTGAAGAAAATGAAACACAAGAATGAGGCCAGAAGTACAGGACAAGCAAACAAACAAACACTCCCTTCAAGCACCCAAACAGCCTCCCACCCACTTTGGGGAAAAGATGTTCCTGACTGAACTCTTAAGTCTAGAAAAAAGGGGCAGCAGCTGGTACATTGAGAGCCAGCTTGCTGGCTGAAACCACACCCAGAATTCCCAAGTCACAAGACTGTGACACTGTTACAGAATTAGCATAATAGGTCATAAAAATTTTATTCATGTGAAAAGAAAAGATCCTATCCTCTAAGCATGGTTCACAACATTGGAGTCTATTTCATTCTGGTAGGTGAATTAGGTGAGGAAATCATTCCTGGTTTTCAAAAGAAAAATAAACAATGTACCTGAGATAGCTTCCAAAATAAGCAACAATGTTTGAGTGTTTGCAGTCTTTCATCATAATGATTTCTTGCTGTACAACGGCAAAGTCTTCCCCTAGGATATAAAGCAAGCATGTTGGACATTGAGTAGGTAAGAGTCAAGATGCTCATTTACTTTAAAACATGTGAAGTTTATTATACTTATGATTAACTATAACACAGTTAATAAATGTTATATCCAATGCAACCAGTTCCTTAGTGGCATTACTTTTAATAACAATTTCAGCCCTTACTTGAGAGGAACACAGTACTGCAATGAAAAGTATGAGTGCCCATCCCAGACTTTTGGGTTGAGATTCTGCTCGCACTAAGGTATACATGCTTGAACAAATGACTTATCTCTTTGCACTAACTTCCTGCTTAGTAAAAAAATAACTGACCTCACAGGGCTGCACACCTGGAAAAAGCCTGGCAGGGTAATTTCCATACAGACATTTACTTCCACACCTTGAGCACTATCAAGGAAAAACATATCACAAATACAATATTCAATAGGAAGTACTCATTAGTTCTCTTGTTACCAAATAACATCTGATTGGCTGAGGTCGCCACACACCTGTCTGTAGACAGGCCAAGCACAGGGGAAGAGGAAGGAGAATCATTAACATTCAGCATGAAGATGTAATCCTGTGTAAAGCCAGAGGAGAGACCCTGAGTCCATGAAGGTGTGAGCTCTGTTGTGCAGGAAGGCCCACAGCCTAGCAGTGTGGTTACAGGTGACCCCATACACAGGTCTCTTCCACTCAGTCCTTTCCCAACAGTGGGAGGCTGGGAGAGGCAGGACTATCAGCCTATCATCTGCCCTGCACCCTGCTTGCCCAAATTCTTCAAAATAAGACCTGGCAACCTTACAGCCCCATCGCATGCTATGACTGCTGATCGAGCACTGGTCACAGAGAGAAATGCAAGTTCAGGGAGGGCAGTATGAACCAGAGAGAGGGGAAGCAAAGGGAATACTCACACCTAAACCAAAGCTACTCAATGTGTGGATCACAGCCCACTGAACATCAAACAAAACAGAGATTAGTGGCAAAGTAAAAAAGACAGTTTTACCCATAACTGCTCACATCCAAAGCATGAGGCTGTCAGAGTAAGAAGCCCTGGCATTTCTGTAAGTCCTAACTACAAGGGAAGTAGTGGAGAGGAGAGGCTTTGTCAGGACCCTAATTACTTTAGTTTGTGTGTGAGAGATCACAAGTCCCTGAAGGAGGACAGGGAATTTTCAAAAGTTCACATCACCCAGACCCCTTGCGTGTTCATTTCACACCTTAAGAATTCCCAATCTTCAGTGTATTCGGAAGAAACTCAAATTAGAAATACTATGGGACTGATACTAAGTTTCATGGACATGTTGAAATACTTTAGACATTTGCTTTGTCACGTGTCCTGGAATAGTACTGTTGGCAGTCGAGTGGAAAAGTAGTATGTGGTCAAAGTTGATCTAGTCAGCACAGCATGTAGCATTTGATGGCTGACCTCTCTCTGGGGGAGGCCTGAATCATTGGTGATCATTACAGAAACAAAACAAAACAAAACATTCAATCTGTGGCAGCACTGGGGGGGGGGGGTCGCACTTAATGACACAACTGAGTAACAAGTGAGCCTCACTTGTGTAAGACCCTGTATCACACAGCCACCTTAGCAGGGGCTTCTCTACTAACTATATTAACCTATTAACTATACGGTGATCTTCGCACACATGGAGTCTACATCCTCATTAGAACACACCACTCAAGGACAGGACCCTTAGCATGTGACACACACTGAATGAATCCACACATGAGCATGCAGTTCCTCCAGGAACAACAATGTTGGGCTTAATGTCAAGCAACAATTGGCATGTCTTGTGCTTTGGGCCATTTACTCCTTTTCATATTAGTGGCTTAAACTTTCAACATTATTTCCTATGAAATGTTATTGATCCAAGTATATCTCATTCCCCCTGTAAGAAGTCAACCCTATGATTGTGAATATAGACAATTTAAACCCAATACTTCAAAATCCAAAAAAAGCTTCCACACATTCAATTTTTAAAGGTAACTAAGATATGTGGATTTAGGTGGGGGGAAAAACACAGCTGATACACTAGTAATCCAAAGGAATTGAATAGCTGACTCAGACAGTCTCCTTCACAGCTTGTATGAAATCCCAAAGGTAAATAAACAAGGAAAGAATTCCTAACACACTTAGCAAGGACACCAAAGTTTTTTAATAATTTTTTTAGATAATAGTATGATAATAATATGAACTTGCATTTCAGAAGATACATCTATAAACCCCTCCAGGCATGAGTGACCAGGCCCTGCCACCATACTGTTCTAGCAGCCAGGCCCAGCCCCTTGGTAGGCAAGACCCTAAACCCATCCTAGACTATTCTAATGGCCATAATGGCTGTTTCTAGCCTCTCAAGACACAGCTGGCTAAGCTCTGCCTTATAGGAACAGATAGATTGGTTGGTAGGTAGGTAGGCAGGCAGGCAGGCAGGCAGGCAGGCAGGCAGGCAGGCAGGCAGGCAGACAGACAGACAGACAGACATAGGCAGCCAGACAGCCAAGGATCAGGGCACAGATTCCTACCACTCCAGGATATCCTGGAAAGCTCCACCCTCAAGAAACCTTCTATAAAACCCACTACCTGCTCAGTTCTTGGGTGCTTCTCATCCCAGCAGAGGTTGTCATTCCCCGGTATCCTTCCCAATATATCTCTTGCATAAGGTGTGACTCTGTGCTACTCCCGGGCTCCCAACTGCCAGCATACCTTTCGTCCCAGACCTGAAACAAAGCATCCCTCCTCCATACTTCCCCACCCCATCAGAAAACCCTGAGATAAACACCAAAGCGGACAATAGAAGCATGTAATGAATTAATCTTGAAATTAAGCAGAAAAATATAAAGTCATGTGAAGTTCTTAGAACAAACATATTATACATGAAGTATTCAATAAATGTTAACTATCATGAACAGGTGAAATTTCAATGATGGTTCCTAGGGGTCTTTGTCCCAGAAACATCACTTTTATTGCAGGTACAATAAAAGTGATGATCAGAGACAACATAATAACTGGAATAGGAGTTTAGGAATGCTGCTCCAGAAGTTGGAAAAGGCAAAAAAGCAGATTCTTCCTTAAGAAGATCAAGACTGACATACAAACCAATGGAAAAGCTAAGTTGTCTAGCAACAACTCATGCATATCTGATTAAAAAAAAAAAACCCCTTTCATAGGGTACCAACATTAAACAACAGGGGAAGAGTCTTTACAACAAAGGGTGCTGAGAAAACTGGATAGCTATATGCCAAAAAAAATGAACCAGCACTCTCCACATACATAGACAAAAGTGACTCAGACATGGATTAAAAACTTAAATGCAAGGCCTGAAATTGTAAGGTTCCTATGAAAAAACATTTGTAGCATTGGTCTTAGCAAATGATATCAGAAACAAGACTAATAATAATAATAATAATAATAATAATAATAATAGAAGAACAACAACAAAACAAAAATAAGAACAATGAGACTTACGTCTGACTAAGACAATCTTTGCATTGGAAAGGAAACTAATAGATGGGAAAGACAGCCTACTCAATGGAGGAAAACACCTGCAGACCACCCACCTGGTAAGATGTTACTGTCTAAAATACAGGAAGCAAGCCATCAAATAATACCATCAATGAAGAATGACTGACTGAGCACACAATTTCCACAAGATGTACAAAGATCAAGCAACTTATGTACAACTATAAATATATACAACTTTTATTTGTTAACTTTTAAAATTTGAAATTACAAATAGTGTTTCTGAGGATGTCAAGAAATTGGATTCCTTGGGCATTGTTGGTGCGCAAATGAAGTTGTACAACTCCTCTTGTTACAGGTGTTAGGGTCCTGTAGCAATCTCACCAAAGACCACCATCCATGTATGTAATCAGCAAGAGTATTTATTATCTAGAGAAGGGACCAGCATGCTGGGGCAAAAATGTTGAATGGCAACCCCTAAGAAAAACTTGCAGGCTCTTTAATACACAACTAAAGGAATTCTAAAAGCAGTGTGGTCATTCTAATCTAGGATTGGTTTACACAAGTAACAATCATATTAGTACATTTCTAATTGGTTAGGACTAGCAGGAGTGGGCTAAGGCTATAGCTTTTCCATTCTTGGGCAAGTCTGGATAAGTCCTAGGCTTTGCCCTTATTTGGTGATTGCCTTGAGGCACCTGGTTGTGGAGGAGGGTTGTTCTTGTCCTAGTACATACAATTTTCCTGTCCTTACTGTATCTTCCTCAGAAACTGACTTGTTCAGTTTTAGGAGGCTGGAACTGAGGCCTAATTCTTAACTGAATTATTAGGGACCTGTCATGATATTTGACTGGCATAAAAGATGGTGACTCTGTCGGTTTATAGCCAAATCAAAATCTTTATTACACCTGACTGGGACTAGTGCTCACAGCTGACCATCTTACTGGCAGCTTATGCCTGACCGTTGTTTTTTATTCTGACAAGGCTAACAATAAGACCTGGCATCCTCAACTGCATGGCCAGGTACATAAACAAAGAATAAAGTCGGTTGCCAACTATGCCCCACTAAGACAGGACAAAGTCAATGATTTCACTCATGCTCACAGATCCGGTGGAGAATGTCACAATGCAAAATAGCACAGAGGTTCCTTCATTTTGTATTCTTGCTGAGGACATTTCAGGCTTATTTTCTCTCCTGTGGAAAATTACCAAACTCTATCCCAGGACCCTGAAGTCAAGAAGCCACAGCTAGCTGCTGTTAAACTTCTTGCTACTGCAGCTGCTAAGAGAGCTGCCAGAATGTGATTTTTGCCTTCAAAAGCCTTGTGCTATGGACACCTGGGCTACACTTAGGACCCAAATACCTGAGTGTAATTCCAGCATCCAGGAATGAAGACTTTTCAATTGCTATAAACTGCGTCTGAGTGGTCATCTCTGATGTGCTCCCTGTAACACTATAGAAAACAATTCTAAGTTTCCCCAAATTAGAACCATATGATCCAGCAATACCGATTTTGAGTAGGTACTTTAAAAAAATTGGAA